CCCGTCGAGCATCGCACAGAAAGTTGTGGCTGAGCTTCGTGGGCTCCTGTCGGAGCTTGAGGAAGTCTCTTTTTAGTCCTACGTGCTAGGTAGGAAGTGTGAATTTCTATTATATGGTTATTACGTCTATAATATGAGGCCACACAGGAGTTTCTACTATATTTTTATTACGTCTATAATATAAGGCCACACAGGAATTTCTATTATATGGTTATTACGTCTATAATATGAGGCCACACAGGAGTTTCTACTATATTTTTATTACGTCTATAATATAAGGCCACACAGGAATTTCTACTATGGTTATTACGTCTATAATATGAGGCCACACAGGAGTTTCTACTATTTTTATTACGTCTATAATATGAGGCCACACAGGAATTTCTACATGGTTATTACGTCTATGATATGAGGCCACACAGGAATTTCTACATGGTTATTACGTCTATGATATGAGGCCACACATGAATTTCTATTATATGGTTATTACGTCTATAATATGAGGCCACACAGGAATTTCTATTATATGGTTATTACGTCTATAATATGAGGCCACACAGGAATTTCTACTATATTTTTATTACGTCTATAATATGAGGCCACACAGGAATTTCTATTATATGGTTATTACGTCTATAATATGAGGCCACACAGGAATTTCTACATGGTTATTACGTCTATAATATGAGGCCACACAGGAATTTCTATTATATGGTTATTACGTCTATAATATGAGGCCACACAGGAATTTCTACATGGTTATTACGTCTATAATATGAGGCCACACAGGAATTTCTACATGGTTATTACGTTTATAATATGAGGCCACACAGGAATTTCTACATGGTTATTACGTCTATAATATGAGGCCACACAGGAATTCCCGCTCAGTTATTTCAATTCTGCTTGTTTAGGGAGAAACTCTGCTCTGATAAATTCACATACCCCCTAGCATCTCTGAATCTGCTAGCAATAATTTCGAAATCTATTCAATTGTTTCATAGCAAACTGCTGTCTTTACTGGCAGTCACTTCTGCAGAATAATATGCAGCATCTGTATGATTGATGAATAATGGTCTTTATAGACATCTCAAGCTTCAATCATGACCAGCATCAGTGATTTATGGAAATTTGAAGCAAATTCAAATTTTATGTTATGTCGTTCGGCGGTTTATTAATTTAAATTAAATTACTTCAAAAATATTTGGAGGATTTCATCAAATCGATATTGAAATTTGAATATGGCGCTATTACCTTAGTTCCCAAAAATTTGTGTGCCATTATATTGAGCACAATTTATTTGAGCCCGAAAAATTTGGGCAGGAAATTTGAATTCATTTGGGCGACCGAAAATTTGGGCACAAATTCTTCGAAAAATGAACGATTTTCCACTAAAATTTCAGTTAGATATTTGCCTTAGTTCATTATTATTCCTTATTATTCCAGTCATTTTGCTTTCAATTTTAAGCATGTAGGTGGTAGTCTGAGTTGTTTCACATTATGAAATTTACGATCTGCCCAGATTTTACGGTGGATGATAATCCATTTGCAGATCTTGTTTAAATCTCTAGCTATCCGTACCTCTAGCAATTTGTTTTATTAGTAGCTGTTAGCTATTCCAGTTATTTCTATTCATTTAAAATATAAGCCTTTTTACTTGGTCAAGCCATGAATGACAAATTAGAAAACTAAAATTTCAAATATTATTTCACTTGGATATGAAGAAAAAGCCATCTTTCTATAGATTTCAGGGCCACAGGCCAAATGCCAAAAGTTTGGTTAGCAAAAAATTTAGCAGACGGAAAAGATTTATGCAATTAATTTGGTCTGCAATAAATTTGGGCGAGAGGCCCGCTCAAATTTTTTGTCGCCCAAATTTTTGGGAATTAAGGTATTGATAAAGGAAAGTCAACTTTAAATCCTATCCAATTGACTCTGAGCTATAATTTGAACGGAATCCGATTATTGCAATTATCTGATATCGTCAAGTTTTGTGTTACAAGAACATACACATATTCATGTTCAAATTCACATTATAAGCTTATACATATTGATATAAGTATTATATTATTATGTAATACTTATATTATATATATCATGATCTAGACAAGGGGTAATGAACATGGTAATTACATCAATAAAGATTATTGTCCCGCTCAACGAACACACTGAAATTGCAGTAGTAATGTTCGTACAACAACAGGAGGTAACTGGCAAACGTATTTATTTGATAACTTAATTAATTACATAATTTGTTAATTGATTGATGAGGATGGTCAGTGTTGGGTTAGAGATGTAGATTATGACGTCACTATCGCAGTAATAGAGTGAGCGGGATATGTTGGCAACTGTAATATATAATGGTTATAATATGAGGTTAGAAAGACAATGTTATGTACTAGCAACCTGTGTATGTGTGTGTTTGTGAGTCATATCTCAATTATCGTGACCAACTTGATAAACGCACATAAAATGAGAAGATTTCGTGCTATATTTGTAAGCAGTCATCACTTGCTTCAGATTCGTAGATTATTGGCATTTAATTAAACGTGTTTGAACAATGAAAACGAGATAAATAACTACGGTAAAAAAGGGTAAGAAACAAAATGATTAACAATCCAATAACTTACAAAATACACTTCCTAATTACTCTGACTTATAACGCCCTTCATCTACTGTAAAACACACGTCCTTACTCTACCCTTACCTATCACGGTTAACCCTCGTTAACCGTCTCTAACGGAGTCCTACCCTTAAACTACACTTACATAACAGTTTCATCCCTCGCTGACCGTCCTTATATCAGGCCCAAATCCACTTTAGTTCATTCTCGCTCTACCTGAGCCCGATTGTTGTTAACACAAACCCACTCGTGTTGGATTAACCCGTGTTAACCCTGGCTACAACACAGCCTATTCCTGCTCTCCTGAGTTAGGGGGGGGGGGGGGGGGGGGGGTCACCCTGATTTTTTTGTGAAACTTGGTTTCGAGATACCAGTTGATCAACAAACTAGGACCGGTGACCGAACTTTTGAGGGGGTCCCGGACCCCAACAGCCAAACAGTGCCCGCGGGGCAGCCATGCCCATATTTGGTCCAAATTAGGCCCAATTTAGCCAAATACCCTGAACATGCCCAAAACCATGCTTTGGGGTGCTCTACTTGTAGCTACTAGTCTCCTGAACACACATATTAAGTTTTATCAAAATTGGATAAAAATTGGCCGAGTTATGGGATAAAAACCATATGCCCATATTTGGGCATACGCACCAAATTTGATCGATTTTGGCCCATAAATTGGTCAAATATCAATATTTTTGAATGAAACCAACTTTATATGGAAGGTAAGCCTATACTACACATTCTCTATGATTATCAGCTCAATATCTACCTAACTGTGGATTCTGTGTTCAAGTAATCGCAAAAAATGGGCAAAATTGCCCATATAATCTCAGTTCGCGATATTTGCAAAACTGACTTCGCTCAAAACAATAGAACTCAATAGGGTTTCAATATTTTTTCATGAAATTTTCAGAATCAACGTAGAATTGTCTCATGACCTTAAGTTTTGGGACAGAATTTTGAGTTGGGCCTTTAAAACAATTTGGCGGCCAAATTCTAAATTTAGCAGTGCAAATTTTGGAATTTGGCCGCCAAATTTTTGGCCACCCCCCCCCCCCCCCCCCCCTCCCCCCCTTAACCAATGTTGACTCTCCCTACGCTTAAGCCAGACTGCTCATGTCCTCCGCACAGTTCCACTAACTACAGTCCACGATAATGCTCCCTCCAGGACCCTAATGTAACAGGTCCTGGCTCCAAAGTATCCTACATCAATGGCCCTCGATTCGGGCAAACTCAATCTCTCTCTTGCCAGCTCCAACCCCAGATATAAATAATGCCGCGTGCGTGTTTTCACTCGACATTTCCAGACACCCAAGCTCACGTGCCCCTGCTCACAACTTAGCAGCTGTTCTTCTCTCACATAGCCCTCCCTCTGTATCATTGTTCCAGGGTGCAGGTGTTTTAAATCCCATCTTTAAGAAGCTATCTTTAATCTTTTAATCATCTATGTTCACGAAGCTTTTTCTCTATTTCATTGTTTCTCCTCTAGGGTAATATATTTCTCGTCTGCCCAGGTGAGGTTCCACCCATAGTCTCCATTGTCTTCTCTTTCCCTAACTTTACGATGTTAGCGGCCTAAACTCTGATGTCGAACTGCTGATTATATTCATCTCCTAGCTCTTCCAACTATAATACAATAATATAACAATCACGGCTTACATATTTGATAAATATGTTGTATTTGGTCACGAAGGGAAACACACAGTATAGGGTTTGAAATATTCGTAAAACTACATCATGAGAGCCTGGTGTGATTAATAGCGTAATGGCGTTATATAACGCTGTTAGATAAGTGTATATTAAAGGTACTATTGTGACGGTACATTAGAACCAGACAGAAACTATAATATAAATATAAAATATAATATAAATATAATATAAATATAATATAAATATAAATATCATATAAATATAATATAAATATAAATATAATATAAATATAAATATAAAATACAATATAAATATATTATACAGAACGAAACGAAGCACCGTATTTACTACCCCGCTACTATGCGGCAAAGATAATGCATAAGATATGACTAAATAATTGTCTGAGCGGCTCTCCTTCCAATGAGCAACAGCTGTGTCTTGCCTTCCTTCAGCTTCATGAAGTTATTAACCATCCATACCTGTATCTGGTACGACATTAATCTTCTTAGTGACATTCTGTAGCTCCAAGGGTCTCATTAGTGACAGTGGGTGGAAGGATATTATATAGAGTTGGGTGTCATCTGCATAAAGTTGTATGTGGAAACCATATTAAGATATTAACATAGTTATTTTAGTTATATCATATCAGTCACGTTTTCGTCTAGAAATTTTGAGTCTTCAATTTAAGTTTTAATTCCAATAGTTTTCGAATAATAATGATTTTTCTCAGGGATTGTTAAGTCTGGACGGTGAGATAGCACCCATACTATATCACTTGGTGAGGTCACATAAAACTGATAAACTACTTGACCAGCCACCTTCTGGTCCTGGCAAACGCATTATGGCTAAGTAAGCATTAGAATAAACTAATAAAAACATAAAAATGTGAGCGGAGCTCTCGGGCCCGAGCATATTTTACAATTTGTTAGAATTTTCATTATACTATTTTGTAAGGCTTTTAGCGATCAATCATTGATAGATATTGTATTGATCTGAATCATTCTTTCTAATTTATTTTACAAGACTATTATCAGATACCATGCCATTACTTGTTTAAACCTTCTAGCTTTGTAACCTCAATTGTCCGATAGTTTTAAATTATGAGCACGCCCAAATTAAACAATATTTTACGATAAGAACCTATTAAATTTAATCGAAATCTAATTTCAGCGTAAAACTGCGACTGCACAAGATGATCCATAACAAGGAAGAATTCACAGAGGAAGATTATAAGAAGGTAAGTAAAAATAGCTAATAAAATAATTAGCAAATCTCAAAAAGTGTCACTGGCCAGACATTGACCAAATTTATGATAATATTATATTGGTACCAAAAGTTTTGTCTCGCCAAGCTGATTACGAATTAAGATCAATTGTAATATAATTTCAAAATAACGTATAATTTTGAAGTAAAAGGCATTTAAAGGCTGAAATCGGCCTTCTTTGATCCTTTTTTACACGTTATTTAAAAAACTTTGGATTTCACACCTTTTCATACTTTAAAACTCAGAATTATGAGAAATCTTTTCCGTGTCCTTCAGCTACACTCACAAGAATTTGAGAAACGATATCTCAAGAACTATACGATTTTTAGCATTTACAATTTTTTCGGGGCAAAAAATCAAAATTTTTCTTCACTCAGCCCTAATCGGCTTGTAACTTGGTTTCTATTGCTCGATCAAATAGTGTTTAGAGAAGCTCTCGTAATATAAAGATCCAGTAAAATAATTGGCCCTTAAAAATACATTAAAAAATGATATGTATTTGGTTAAAATTCATTGAATTCGCTGCCTTCAAATCAGTTCGTGAGTCGCTGCATTGCGATTTGAATGCGTAATATTGCACCAAGTAGGATATATTAGTATATTAGATCGTTCGTGACTAGGTAGTGCTCATTCAGAAGCACGATCTTTTAGCACAACCTTTTAGCACTCAAACGTCAATTATTAATTCCATAGTAGCAGCCCAATCAAATCAGCTTCATTCGTGCAGCGTTATTGAGTCACGTATTTTTGACCACTTTTGTATGGGTATTGCAGTCTATACAGCCTATTATCTGCAGTAAAACTGAGCAGTTCGGCCGAAATTACGCAAAAAGAGTGAAAGACATCAGGACTTGTGTAACCTAGGTGTATTTCCACCAGAAATACTGAAGAAACAACACTTTTCAGTTCGCTCCAACAGGATCTCAGTCCCTCATGGACAGTATGAGAATCATCAAGAATCCGTACAAGAAGTGCTGTGAGCTGCTGCAGTTCGTCAAGAACATTGTCCAACAGATTAAAGATATCAGCGACAATCCCGAACTTGTCGCAGAATGTAAGTAAAATAAATTCAAGGTAAATCGTCCTTTCTCTCTTTTCTTGCTGAAACTCCGAAAAGTAATCTCAATATTCATTTTAGCGTTCTACGATTAGTATATATGACCATAAAGCTGCAGTTAAAAACAGTCAAGCATCCAGAAAATATGCACGGTTGCAGTAGGTACCATAGACAGAATCATACAAAACTAAACAAAGTTTAGTGAATTTATATCTCCTTTCGGTATGTTTAGATTTATGCTTTCGGAGGGAAACTGTTGCAACTCGATCACTGTATTTGTCATTAAAAGAAATTGTGCTTTCCTTACTGACACTTCCCTGTCATCAGCCTGAGCCACTTCCTAAAATCCTTCATGCGAGTCAAGTAGATGACAACATCAAGTGTGGTATTGAGAGTATTCAGTAGACATCTTGCCAGCGACCACGAATACCAAAACATGAAGTAGTTTGAAAATGGTCCAGAGTCAATGTCCAATTTTTCTTTGTAGATAGTAGATAAGCAAACGGAAAGAGCGTATAAAGCGAAAATTGGAAGGTAGCAAAACAGAAATACACCAGTGAAAATAGTGATGGTACCGGCAGCTCTGCGGTGTCTTGCTTGTCTAGACGATATTACTGGTTTGGATAGGAGATTTATTGTGCTCACAATGAAACTGATGATTATCAGTGCGGCGGGCAATGCGGTTTCAATAGACAGCAAGACGTATTCGGCTGTCGTTTGAATTGGGTTAGAGTGCCTCTCTGTGTGTCAAAGAACGGGTAACAGTAACTGGAATCTGCTCCATATATCACCCCAAATCCAACTAAGAAGTTGGCTACTGGACGCAGTCCCAAGTAAAGGAGGTAGATGTAAAGGAATGCAATGACTACAGTCTTTCTGATCCTGTAAAAAGGATGGACGATGGCGATTGTTCTGGATGCAGTCAGCAGCAGAACAGCCATGGGGTAGAATTTAGTGCTGATATCAAATACTACGGACCAAATATTACAAAATATCTTGTACTCGAACAAGCCAGGATTCCTGCCGCTGAGGAATGCTTGAATAACTGGAATCTGACACAAACAAATAACAATATCAATGCTACACAAACATTTATAGAGTCTCGGTGCTAGTTCTTTCTTGCTATGGAAGTATCCAAAAGCCAGAGAGTTGCCCACAAAGCCCAACAATGCAGCCACTAAACAAGACATTCCGATAATCATATCCCACATTACTGAGGGACCTGAGGGCATATCTTTGCGCATCCAAACATGATCCTCATAGCTGTGGTTTTCTGCCATAATCTCTGCACAAGTTTTATTAAGTAATTTCGAAATGAATTAATAGATGCCTATCGTTCGGGGCGTAATCTCTAAAATTTGTTATTTTATAATTTATTTTGTATTGCCCATTATATCTTTATATTGCATACAATTTCGTAGTGTAGTTCAGTAAGACATACTGATTAGCTAATAAATGGTAGGGTCAGAATCTGGCAAGTGAATGGTGAAATTCTTTGCATCAAACATTAACAATACATTCATTTAATTTTATCCTTAACAAAAGTTCAAAAATATAAATCAATGGAATTTGAAAGTTTGAAAAATACAGTGAATGATAGTAATCGGTCTTGAATGAAATTGCTCGCTTTGCGATGTGAATACAAATCCTCAAATTATGAATTACAATACAATTAGTTGCACTACAATAGCCAACTTTGTAGATAGTAATAGAAACGTTGAGAATCTCGGGACAAACAGTGACACAAAAGGGGTCCAGTGTAATCCGGTGAGTATTATATACTCACATTTTAAGCCAAAATGTACTTTTAGCATTTATCAAACAGGCAATCCGTGAGTCTTGAATCGTGAGCCGCTACTTTCTGCTGATGATACAAAGTTGCTTGGCTAATGTCCTAAGTCGGACGTCGGTAGTGGTACTTAGCATAACTGTGATGAAACACGACAAGCGGTGTAATTCAGGAGTAAGATCCGAAGAAGTTATGTCTTCCATTTTACAGCTCAATTGTAGACGCCAAAATGAATCGAAGCAGAGCAGCAACATAATTGCATTATTCCAAGAGTGCGGAAAAAAATCGTGAAAATATTATCAAAACACCTGCTTTGCATTAGTTGTCCACATGAGCACTGAGCTTGAATATATTTGTTATACTTACTAAATTCCTAGCGGTGATAATCGATCACACGTTTACTAAATTGGCTCATAACTCATCAGACCTTGAGACAACTTACGGTGAACTTAAGTTTTAATTTACCTAAGTTATAATTATTCTGGTTATAATTCTTCGATCTGGCTCTCTCTACAATTACGGGTATAGGACATGAGGGCGAAGGACACGAGGGCGGTAATTTTTTGCCTTGAGCTGCAGGATTTTCATGGCGAGCCAACTTGCAGGATCCAAGTCGAAAAATGTGAGCATGAGCCAAAAATCGTGAGTCTCGACCCTAATCCAATGATACGTGAGGCTGTGACGGAATCTGAGGCTTACAAATTACAATCCAGTGATCCAATAATCCGAACGTTTGATCCGCTGAGCAAAAAAAGTTAGCTAGTGAGCCGAGATTTACAGGAAGTAAGCCAATAATTCGCTAATCCAAGCCCTTAGTCTGAGCCAGTGAGCCTGGATTAGGTTTATGAATGCCTAATTTTTTACTCACTCGCAATGAGTCTCGGCTTATGAATATAAACTCGAGTAGCTATATACTTACTTTTATGAATGACCCCTTGCCCCTTGGGTTTGCACTTTTTGGTAGAGAGCCTGTGCCCTGAGTTCCAAGAAAAGTAGAATAGGCAGAATCCAGTCTTACTTACTCAGGGCTATCAGTTGCAATTTGAGGGAGAGAATTCAAACATTTGTAGATACAAACGATTTGTACAGCTTATAATTTTAGCCTCTAATAGAGCACGATAGAAAGAGTTATATAAATGTTCTCTGTATTCCTTTCCGTGTGACTTATCATATCATAAATATTTTCTTCCGTGTTCTATCTCTGATTCTAATAAATAAATATAATAATAAAAGAGATTAAAAGAACATTCCAATTGCCATATCTTAGACACAATAATCTAAAAACAAATAACTTACACTGTACTCATTTCTATCTTGTTACATCTGATTTAAACAATTATCTGTAACGAATAACTTACCTCTTTCAGATAATCCGCTGTACCACGACGAGAGTGTACAGTTAATGTTAGGACGATGGTCAAAACTAGAGAAGGTATGTAAAACTTTCTTACTGCTAGTATCAATGACTAATCTGCACTTCAAATGAAATGAACATTTGAGTTTGTAGCGTATATATGACGCTTTGCCCTTGTCAGAGGGTCTATCATTATGAGTTTAGATTGAAATTGGCTAATCTCCTCTGAATTGAATACAAATCTGTAAATCTGTAAAATCTGTAAGGAATAAAAATAACAAGACAGCCATGGGGAAACATTATCTCATGTCACACCCTGAAATAAAAGAAATTCCTATCGAACCATTTAAATTTGAAGTCCTCAAAGTATGTAAGGATTATGCAGACCGAATGATCTGGCAATCACTGTATATCAAGCAGTTACTTCCTAAAATAAACACTCAGCTCTCACCTGAAGCAGACTCGTGGCAAAAGACCACATGGGCTATTATGTAAATGTCATCATAATATATGTACGTGGCACCCTTTCAGTTTCCCCGAAAATGTTAGGGAGTAGGAAGCTATTTTCGTTGCTGTTCTGTGTACGTTGGTCTAGCTCTCAAATATTGGACAGTTCTAGATTCTTTGGCCTAACATCTATCTTTTGCTTTAAAAATTTTCTACCGCTTAGAATCTTCCCATTTATTTTTAATGTTTCTCAGAGTTTTATGTATTAATTTGGATATTTACCAGGTCACTATGTAACAAAGTTTTTGTTCCGCCTTGAAGAAGCCATGGGGGCGAAACGTCGGCAATAACGTGTGTTATTTGTATTCAATTCAGAGGAGATTAGCCAATTTCAATCTAAACTCGAAATGAACATTTAAAAGCATTTACATTCCTTATAATATATATATTAACAATCCATCGTGTGGAAATTACAAAATGTCCTGTGTCAATGTGTCATAGCGGCTTTTCTTGTGAAAAATGCAATGAATTTCCAAACGAAACCTATCTATTGTGAAACAAAACAATTTTGAGTATTCGAACCATCATTATCAATTGCAAGGATCTATAAATCTATAAATGATGTAATAAAACTTTCAAAATTAAAACAAATTACGATATTATTATAAGACCAAAATTTACCTTTCAACGAACAAGTGCAAAGTTGGCAGCAGATAGTTTAAATTGTTCCACTTTTCCTTTAATTGCGGCGTACAAATTTACTTAAACTTCGCCCATTTTCATACCTTGTAATTGATATAAAGTGTCCAAGTGCGTCTGATTAATCAATTAATAAATAGTCAATTTCACCCACAATTATCAAGCCAATATATTGGCAGTATATCAGAAAGTTAACAACAAAGTAACAGCGATATGACCTCAAGCATGTTATCTCTCAATTCTATATACATTATATCAGTATAATAATGTATACCTTACTCGGGAATATTATAGCGGGTTAATTTATGACTGGGAAAATTAATGACCGGGAAAAATATGGCGGAATTTTCCAAAACCCACCAAGCATCAAAATGTATTACTATTAGTTTACCTTACTCGGGAACATTATAGCGGGTTAATTCATGACTGGGAAAATTAATGACCGGGAAAAATATGGCGGAAATTTCCAAAACCCACCAATTTATCCCAGTCATAATATTACCGAGTAAGGTAGATAACATTTTGTTACGGAAATCTGTTCAAAATCTGTCCAGCAGTCGTTACACTTACTGTAACACTGAGCTGGGACGCACAAACTTGGATTAAGTTGCCAACTTTCTCTGCATTCTCAGTGTGAGTTGTGTGAGTTATACGTATTGTAATGGTAGTTTGCACAGTACTGATCAGCGTTGTTTCCAGGATTTCCAGTCCAAGGACGGCTCATTTGATATCAGCAAGATACCCGACATATTCGATAATATCAAGTATGACGTGCAGCACAACAGCAAGCTGGGACTGAAGAACACTATTCGTCTCTACTCCTGTGTCAAACCTTTAGCTGATCTCATCGTACCCCAGGTTTGTTGCATTTGACACGTCACGTGACTAACCAATCAGCTTACAGCAATTTTCATTCGACCAATCAGCTTACAGCAATTACAGCAATTCTCATTCGACCAATCAGCTTACAGCAATTCTCATTCGACCAATCAAAGTTGCTTCAGAAGTGAAACTTCAAAAACAATCAATAACCTGGCGTAGTAATGAGTTCATTATAACCATATTTCATTATAACCATAGTTAATATTTATAAATAACTTCCTTCTTTTTTTTTTCTTTTTTTTTTTTTTTCTTTTTTTTTCTTTCTTTTTTTAAATATGCAACCTACTAAAACCAATGGAGCCCTCCCCGGGGTCATTACTCTCGCATTTGCGAGAGTCGTCCAAAGGTGTGAAAGTAGGTCAAGATTTGTTCACACCAAGCTCTAGCATCGCTATTTGTTGACCATCTGCCTTCACTGAAGGTATGTTTTTAGAGAGTGGAGGCCGACCGTCAGCTTGGGATGCAGGGCCAAGTGGTAAACAACGTCAAGGCCCCTTCCACATGGGCCATGTTGGTTTTGGCAGATACTTTGAAAATAAGATATGAAGTGAATGAGTGAAATGAAGTGAGTGAAAAGGGTGTAAAAGAGGAAGAGCTTGTAAGGTAGTTTAGGAATGGAAGGAAGCAGGGCATGTACTACAAAAACAGCTAGTAGTACTCTAAGATAGTAACAATAACCATTGAAAATTAAATAACAAAGACAGCAATATAAATGGGGTGGACAATATGCCCTAATCGGCCAAGATCGACACAATAGAACTTTTGTGACCTATTTTGTATCCTGTAAGTGAAAGTTTAAGAAGTTTGATATACCCCTGCCAGATCGGCATGTCCCCTGCCTGAAATCTTTTGCTAATGTACCATTTGGCAACAATATTAAAATAATTTATAATTTGTGAAGTGTGATTACAAACTATAAAATTAATTTTATTGGGGTCTTTGTAATTTCTATCGATTTTCCTTTTGATAAAATCTTCAAGTATTGTGATGAAGCTATTTGTGTGGATACAATGGAGATAGATATGAGGAATTGTTTCTAAGTATGTGTTACACAGGCTACACATGGGAGTATCTGTAACAATTTTCATTTTGTGTCTCATGTATCTACACGTCGTGATCCTCATTAAAAGTTTGTACTGAAATTGAATCAACTTAAAATTTTTAGATACTAAGAAAAAAAGGTTGCTTAGAACGACCACCCATTCTATTGGTTGATTTTTTAGGTCAATAACCCATTGACGTAATGGGGACAGCTCGTTTGGGCAGATAGAGTCGTACATTTTATCCCGAATTTTACTTCCCTTCACCTGTCCAGTTACAGAATGTAAAAATTTAAGTTTTATATTTGAGTCAACAAACTCAATATTCCTTGAGTTAATAGTGGGGCAGTTATATCTCCGTATCCCCATGATAATGTTACAGTACTCAGTTTTGGAAATATTATTTGGAGACAACTCCCACTTGTTAATGAACATATCGTAGTTAAGGATTGTACTTTGGTCTATAGAAAGGAAATCTGAGATGTAAAATATTCCCTTATCAATCAGATGATTGTTCCAAAGTTTGGCCCCGATGTCGGTTATTGCTGGGTTGTACCACACGCAGTGATCAATAGAACCCAAGGCTGCATTTACCGAACTTATCTTCCACTCAGTGTAACAATTAAGGACGTCTTGAGTAAAATGGCAGTTGGTTTTAGCGAGACCGTTTTCTACGGAGATGGTGATATGGTCAGGAAATTTCAGTTGCATAATCATAATATCTTTCCAAGTGTGGTGAAAGGAATTATTTAGTAGCTTGGATATGAGGCTGGTTTTAAGACCTATAATAAAATCAGATAAATAAAAAAGTCCCAGGCCTCCATGTTCCTTATTTCGGGGAATAATCTCACGTTTTACTTTATCGCGTTTGCAACCCCAAAGAAAATGGAAAATAGTCGTGTCAAAGATTCTGATAAAGGAAGCATCCGGTCGAGGGAGAGGAGAAACAAGATATGTTAATTGGGAAAAGAGAAGGGTTTTAATGACTGTGCATTTACCCATAAGCGTCAAATCCCTCTTGCTCCATCGGCTTATCCAAGACTGAACCTTAATCAATTTATCATTATAATTACTGTTGACAATATCCATCAGTGAGCCATCGTTCATATAAATTATACCCAAAGCGGTGAAGTTATTTGTTATAAAATCATAGCCGTATAAACTTTGAAGGGATTCTAGTAGAGTTGTATTGAGACGAGCTCGACCCAAAGGAATACATCTAGTTTTGTCGATGTTAGCTTTACACCCCGAGCACTGAGCAAAAGTTCTGAGTTCTGTCATAACCGCCTCTACACGTTCAATTGAAGCTTTCAGAAACAGATCAGTGTCGTCTGCAAAGAGACTCTGTAAGATTTCCACACCTGATATGTTAAGACCCCTGATATTAGGATTAATCTGAATTTTATTCGAGAAAGTTTGCGCCACAATCAGAAAGAGAATAGGAGACAGTGGACTACCCTGGTGAAGACCTCTTAGAATATAAATAGGCGAGCTTAAAAACCCATTAATATTGGCGTAGTTAAAGCATGCTTGAAAAGCCACTTTAATCAGTTTAATAACATATTCGCTGAAACCCAATAATCAGTTTAATAATATATTCGCTGAAACCCAATAATATATTCGCTGAAACCCAATAATATATTCGCTTAAACCCAATAATATATTCGCTGAAACCCAAATAATATATTCGCTGAAACCCAAATAATATATTCGCTGAAACCCAATAATATATTCGCTGAAACCCAAATATATTCGCTGAAACCCAAATAATATATTCGCTGAAACCCAAATAATATATTCGCTGAAACCCAACACATATTCGCTGAAACCCAACTAATATATTCGCTGAAACCCAATAATATATTCGCTGAAACCCAATATATTCGCTGAAACCCAATAATATATTCGCTGAAACCAAACATATATTCGCGGAAACCCAATATATTCGCTGAAACCCAATAATATATTCGCTGAAACCCAATATATTCGCTGAAACCCAACTAATATATTCGCTGAAACCCAATATATTCGCTGAAACCCAATAATATATTCGCTGAAACCCAATATATTCGCTGAAACCCAAATATATTCGCTGAAACCCAAATAATATATTCGCTGAAACCCAATAATATATTCGCTGAAACCCAACATATATTCGCTGAAACCCAATATATTCGCTGAAACCCAAATATATTCGCTGAAACCCAAATAATATATTCGCTGAAACCCAATAATATATTCGCTGAAACCCAAATATATTCGCTGAAACCCAATATATTCGCTGAAACCCAAATAATATATTCGCTGAAACCCAATATATTCGCTGAAACCCAATATATTCGCTGAAACCCAATATATTCGCTGAAACCCAAATATATTCGCTGAAACCCAATATATTCGCTGAAACCCAATATATTCGCTGAAACCCAACAAATAATAACTTCCTTCTTAATTGTTAAATTGTAACCCCACTTCCTGAAACTGTCAAAAAGGGAAGTTGAATTCGGGTTGCAGATATATGTATCTAAACCAGCATAATTTGGTCCGCAACTTTCACTAGTCTCTTTATTTTTGATAAGGATAGACAATAACTTGAGTTGAAAGTTGTATACTTTCTCGGAGAAAAAATAATAAAAATTAAATGTCTGGTGAGACTTGTCAAATATCAGAAACCAATCAGCTTCAAGTAGCAGCTTGAAGTGTGACTAATCAATAATAAGCTTACAGAGCTCCTGCATGATTAATTGTTATTTATAGCATTATTATTGTGAGTGGGGCAGAAAATATTTATCGACATCAATAAGTTATGACTCACTAAACATCACGTCTGAACTTCAACAAGTTAGTCAGACATTATGGTACAGTTTTTATGAATGTTTGATTACATTAAGATAATCAAGGCCTCGTGCTCACCCTTTTTTGCATTCTTCGGTGGAATGAGATGTGTGTGGCGGGTCTAAAACACGTACTTGCTTTTATTTGAGTAACTGTTAAGCGGTAAAGGTATGTGTAAGGTACATGGAAGGTATGTGTATGGAAATGGTTGGCTCAGAAACAATAAACATTTGTTTCCGCTAGCGGCTATTGGTACGTGCTATTATGAATGATTCTAAGATGTACAATGTACAATGTACATAGTACATTGGTCTTAATAGCACTGCAGATATTGTACTGAAAATAATGAGAATATTTTCGAAGTTTTAAAAGAACATAATATTTTACGAGGTTTCTTGTATTGGCAGAGAATCGTTGTCATATTATGGAAGATAACATGTATTTCAATAACAGTAGTGCTGGACAGCTTCTTGTTTATGTGCCAAAAAATTAAAGGTAAACATTGAAACAGTTAGCAAAATCATAAGTCACAGACATTCAAGAATTTTATACATGATATAGTTAGAACTTAAATTGTCTATCAACACGGAAACCGTCTAAAGTGCTCAGCACACCTGGGCTAGCTGCCAAACTAGGTGGTGGTCCCACAGTGTTGTTCCAGCACACCTGGGCTAGCTGCCAAACTAGGTGGTGGTCCCACAGTGTTCTTCCAGCACACCTGGGCTAGCTGCCAAACTAGGTGGTGGTCCCACAGTGTTCTTCCAGCACACCTGGGCTAGCTGCCAAACTAGGTGGTGGTCCCACAGTGTTCTTCCAGCACACCTGGGCTAGCTGCCAAACTAGGTGGTGGTCCCACAGTGTTCTTCCAGCACACCTGGGCTAGCTGCCAAACTAGGTGGTGGTCCCACAGTGTTCTTCCAGCACACCTTGGCTAGCTGCCAAACTAGGTGGTGGTCCCACAGTGTTGTTCCAGCACACCTGGGCTAGCTGCCAAACTAGGTGGTGGTCCCACAGTGTTGTTCCAGCACACCTGGGCTAGCTGCCAAACTAGGTGGTGGTCCCACAGTGTTCTTCCAGCACACCTGGGCTAGCTACCAAACTAGGTGGTGGTCCCACAGTGTTCTTCCAGCACACCTGGGCTAGCTGCCAAACTAGGTGGTGGTCCCACAGTGTTCTTCCAGCACACCTGGGCTAGCTGCCAAACTAGGTGGTGGTCCCACAGCGTTCTTCCAGCACACCTGGGCTAGCTACCAAACTAGGTGGTGGTCCCACAGTGTTGTTCCAGCACACCTGGGCTAGCTGCCAAACTAGGTGGTGGTCCCACAGTGTTCTTCCAGCACACCTGGGCTAGCTACCAAACTAGGTGGTGGTCCCACAGTGTTCTTCCAGCACACCTGGGCTAGCTGCCAAACTAGGTGGTGGTCCCACAGCGTTCTTCCAGCACACCTGGGCTAGCTACCAAACTAGGTGGTGGTCCCACAGTGTTGTTCCAGCACACCTGGGCTAGCTGCCAAACTAGGTGGTGGTCCCACAGTGTTCTTCCAGCACACCTGGGCTAGCTACCAAACTAGGTGGTGGTCCCACAGTGTTCTTCCAGCACACCTGGGCTAGCTGCCAAACTAGGTGGTGGTCCCACAGCGTTCTTCCAGCACACCTGGGCTAGCTACCAAACTAGGTGGTGGTCCCACAGTGTTGTTCCAGCACACCTGGGCTAGCTGCCAAACTAGGTGGTGGTCCCACAGTGTTCTTCCAGCACACCTGGGCTAGCTACCAAACTAGGTGGTGGTCCCACAGTGTTCTTCCAGCACACCTGGGCTAGCTGCCAAACTAGGTGGTGGTCCCACAGTGTTGTTCCAGCACACCTGGGCTAGCTGCCAAACTAGGTGGTGGTCCCACAGTGTTCTTCCAGCACACCTGGGCTAGCTACCAAACTAGGTGGTGGTCCCACAGTGTTCTTCCAGCACACCTGGGCTAGCTGCCAAACTAGGTGGTGGTCCCACAGTGTTCTTCCTCAGAATGTATTGGTAAAATCTTTCTGTGGATTATTCAGTTTCTGTTTTTACCGCTTTAATTTATCTGTAGAAATAGACGAGTAGTAAAGAGGTAAAGCTTTGAGTAGCAAATAGTACCATGATCATTTTTATTTTATCTTATTATATATTTGCTTATAAGTGTAAGAGCAATCAGCCTGCTACAAAACAAAATATGCGTGCTATTTAGTTTGTAAAACAATTGAAATTCTTGCAGGAGTACGGAATTACAGAGCCGGAGAAAGTGGAGATAGGGAGGATGATTCTTAGTCCTCTGGTCAGAAAACTGTTGGCAGATCTGAAAGTAGCCAGTACAGACGACAATTCTGATAATCCCTATCGGCTTAATGCCTCGTTAGTTATCGTATTATATTTTTTTGAGTCTTATTGTAAACTTTTTAACATAAACGTATTATAAATAAATGTATTGTATATATATACAGGGGGGAGGCCAAAAGTCAGTACCCATACGTTGGGTCTTATACTACCGCCGTGTTTTATATTTGAGAGTTGTTGCTTTGCAGATGACATACTGTACCTACTTGTTCGAGGATTCCGTCACCAAAATTTTAAATTCAATTTTTGGGGGCCACACCCAATCAACATTGAATTGCTTATACTGGTGTTTGTGAACATGTTAGAGACTCCATTGTAACATATTGCAACATTAATAAGTATATGTATTGTATATACAATATACATTAGTCTCTTTAAATTTAACAGTTCTCTTTGTTTTTATTTGGCAGATTCTCCCAATTGTAGTATCAAATAGAGGTGAGCTTATCTGACACGTGACATGTTTGGGGACCGGTTTTTGGTAGACCGGCCAATGTTTACAAAATGATATGATATATTATAACAATATAATTTTATTCAATGTGAAAATGAGAGTTGAAAATCTTTATCGTTTATTCTTTAAACCAAAAACTTTAAAATTAAAACTTGCATACCATGATTTATTTATTAAAAACATAGTGAAATATAATTTGATTTGATACGACAGATGAGCACACGCACTGTTTTATAAGCTACTTGTGTTGGTAATTAACGATTAGTGAGCAGGGCAGATAATATTGGGCTCCGTATAGTGCTAAAAAAAGATTCCATCATTGATAACCAAAAATCTCATCCCCACCAGAAGATATAAGAATGCCAATTCGCGTTGATCTTTAAAATCCGTCCGTTTTTGAAGGAATCCAAACTTTAATACTTTTCTTTTGTTAAGTTATGTAATTGTCATGGAGACATACTAAGTACAGCATGTAAGATCATTCTAGGACATTTACAATAAATGTTTACAATACAAAATTGTTAGCACTATTAAAATCAACGAAAGTTTTGTCGCCGAAATACAATTTTCATGGCTAAACTGAAGCTGAACATAGGTCATCATACCGACACACACTTTAAAAAGAAAACTCAGTCTTCACCCAAGTTAATATAAAAACGATAATTTTCACATTATACTATAAATAGACGTTTAAGTATGTGGCTGTTAAACGCAAAGAGAGTAAGGTAAACATCCAGGTGCATACCTACTACCAAGTGCACCCAGTTAAATGCCAGCAAAGTAATTTAAACTATTCAGGTACATGCCGAACGTGCTGACCCCTGGACGGTATGTGAGAACTCGGCTTTACTTCACCTCCGAGTCCCTCATACACTCTTTCCTGAATATTATCAGATATGCTGGACTCTGCAATGTGAGTTGTTATTTAATGTCATGCGGCTTTTTTAAAGGGTTTCCGTCCCGTTTCCGTAGTTGTTGTTCTGTCGATAAAATGTCATACGCATATTTCTGCCTGTCCTAAATTTGATCATCACATTTTCCTTATCAATTTGCCCGTAATTAGTAATTAGATCCGGCCAACGCCCAACTCAGTCCATCAGAGGAATTTTCTGAGAATACGTGATTCTGAGTGTCCGGTGAGGCACACGATAACCGATAATTAATTAGCGAAAATATGCAACATTCATCATAGGACCCTAAAATTTGGGACCGTGCCAAATAACTGTTTTTTCTGATAGCCAGAGGATCAGGACGAGTCCTGGAAAGAAGCCATGGAATATCTAGGAAGTGTACGTGAAGCGCAGTACCATACCCAAATTGTTCTAATGATGTACGAGGACAGGCATCTACCAGAAAGTGACCCTAATAGGTTCAGAGTTTCCATTAACTTCTCCCCTGGTACCGCTGCTTGTCAGAGGAAAGTGAACGAGAGACTCAACGCTATGTCAGGTATATACTTTTATCAGCTGCATTACTACAATAAAGATATGAGTAATTACTTATAAGATTTTATCAGTGCATGTGTCCCATAATGGGCGGTTCGGTAACATTTTGTCGTGGGAAAAAGAAGAATCTGGAAAACGCGACGCTATAAGAAATATTAAAATATCAATTTTGGTGCTCACGTTGCTAAGCGCGCAGCGGCGCGCATGCAACTAATCTATTCAAATATAATCAGCTCATAATTAAAGCGAGCTGCGGAGCTGCCTTAGCCCTTAGCTAGGAAAACTCTTAAGGGGGGGGGGGGGGGGGGGGCCAATGGATATTTTTTTGTGAAACTTGATTTCGAGATAGCAGTTGACCAACAAACTAGGACCAGTGACCGAACTTTTGAGGGGGTCCCGGACCCTAACCGCCAAACGGTGCCTGCGGGGCAGCCACGCCCATATTTGGTCCAAATTAGGCCCAATTTAGCCAAATACCCTGAACATGCCCAAAACCCAAATTTTAGGTGCTCTACTTGTAGCTAGTGGTCTCCTGAACTCGTATATGAAATTTCATCAAGATTGGACAAAAAATGACTGAGTTATGAGCCAAAAACCATATGCCCATATTTGGGCATACGCACCAAATTTGGTAGATTTCGTCCCATAAATTGGTCAAATATCAATATTTTTCACTGAAACTTACTTTATATGAAAGGTAAGCCTAAACTACATATTCTCTGTAAGTTATAGCTTTATATCTGTTTAAATGTGGATACTAAGGCGAAAAGACCACAAAAAATGAACTAAATTGCCCATATCTTGGTTCGCGATATTCGCGGAATTGATCTCATTAAAATTGTAACAACTCAATCAGTTTTAAAAATTTTTCCATGAAATTTTCGGAATCGACTCGAAATCGCATTTCCACCTTAGTTTGAGAACAGATTTTTGATTAAGGCCTCCAAAAAAATTTGGCGGCCAAATTCTGAATTTCTCCGGGAAAATTTTGGAATTTGGCCGCCAAATTATTTTGGAGGCCTAAATCAAAAATCTGTTCTCAAACTAAGGTGGAAATGCGATTTCGAGTCGATTCCGGAAATTTCATGGAAAAATTTTGAAAACTGATCGAGTTGTTACAATTTTAATGAGATCAATTCCGCGAATATCGCGAACCAAGATATGGGCAATTTAGTTCATTTTTTGTGGTCTTTTCGCCTTAGTATCCACATTTAAACAGATATAAAGCTATAACTTACAGAGAATATGTAGTTTAGGCTTACCTTTCATATAAAGTAAGTTTCAGTGAAAAATATTGATATTTGACCAATTTATGGGACGAAATCTACCAAATTTGGTGCGTATGCCCAAATATGGGCATATGGTTTTTGGCTCAAAACTCAGTCATTTTTTGTCCAATCTTGATGAAATTTCATATACGAGTTCAGGAGACCACTAGCTACAAGTAGAGCACCTAAAATTTGGGTTTTGGGCATGTTCAGGGTATTTGGCTAAATTGGGCCTAATTTGGACCAAATATGGGCGTGGCTGCCCCGCAGGCACCGTTTGGCGGTTAGGGTCCGGGACCCCCTCAAAAGTTCGGTCACTGGTCCTAGTTTGTTGGTCAACTGCTATCTCGAAATCAAGTTTCACAAAAAAATATCCATTGGCCCCCCCCCTTAAACTGTAAACATACGATAATGTTTAACTCATTGCTTATTATTTACTCTGTCACATGTATGAAATTATTATTTAAAAGCCGATCGAGAAAGAGGGTTTGCACTTTGCAACATGACAGCTAACTTTATTAAACCAGAGCGGTTGTCTGAAAGTGGCGGTGGTGATATTAACAAGATATTATCAGGTATCAATCCTGGGATCTACTCATTCTACTGCATTATTTTACTGCTAGAAGCATTACGTTATAATCTGCATGGAATATGTTGGTCGATGATGAGTTGAATAGACATTTATAGTAGTTTTCCACTGTTCAGTATTTTGATGCTATGCAAGAATGGGTCTTTGCTCCATTTTCGGGTCAAACAGCATTCAGTAAACTTCGATTATATTAATCGTACCTTTGAAAGAAATATTCTTACATTGGATGTTCCAATTACTGAAATGATTACCAGAATAAAAATTAAACTATCATTACTTAGATGATAAACTTGCATTTTAATGTTCTTGGGTCATTGTAAAAATAAAAACTTAGCATGATATGCCGAAATGCCACTATGAAAGTTTTCTTCTGTCATTACAGAATATTGCCCACTAACTGCCCCACCATCTCAGAGATATTGCTCGAGAATGGCGAGATCTCGTCCGGTGCAGTCACACCAGCTGAAGCAGAAGACAGTGAAAATGAGGCTCCGCTCCCCGAGTTCCCTGAGGTGAGGAGCTTGTGTGATATTGAGTAATATTGTGTGATATTAAGTGATATGTAGTGATATTGTGCGTGATATTGGTGATATATTCTCCTTAATTTTTCTAATAAACTAGATTAGTTGGTAAGATAACTAACTCTTCCATTTGTTCAGGCGATGGATGATTCAATGCCTCCAGTGCAAGAAGTAGAGTCTGTGGACTCCATGAAGTTCCTTACTAAAGCTGAACTAGTCGAACAGATTGTCAGACCTTTGGAGGAGGTTTGTTGTGTTTCTCTCAGAGTTATTAGTTTAATTAGCTTTGTTATGTTTAGACTAAAATACTACATTCTGTCCCATTTTGGTGAATTTCTCTCCGCTTACTAATTTATCAGTTAGCTAAAGAGTATTGGGAACCCATGAAATTCCTCTCCTAACGTCCACGACGTGCGGACTTGGTGGCGCCGGTAATAGCACTGTAATCTTATAACTCTGAACAGTATCTACGAGAAAGCAAAAGAAATATAACTTAAAAACAGTCCGAATTAAAAAACATAATGAAGAGAGAACAGCGGAATTTCACATCAAAAAGTACCCAAAGTCAAAAGTTTCAAAACCACACACTAGTAAGTACAACCCACTGCTGGGAAACTTTCTCCGGAACACACCTCATCAATAACACTGTAGAACTGTTAACGTACTCCAAACACCTATCTGTAGAGGGATGTACGATGGCTTTCCTACTCTGATCATATAAGAATCTCTGAGTGCTGAAGGGTTTTCCCTCTACGGGAGTCTGGACATGACAAGAGAAGACCCTCACTTCCGCCCTCTCCTCAGAGAAGGTGTCCCAGCTGGTGTCCCAGCAGTCGTTCAGCAAGTCTCCGTTCCACACAAACTGGTTCTTAGTGAAGCCAGTGAGGTGGGTGTCACCTAAAACTGGAGGTGTTGCTCTGCAGTTATATGGGACCAGTTTTCTGTTGTGAACTTCTAGACACATATTGGGGTTGTGAACTGATCTGACCTCGCCAACTTGGTCAAACTGGTCCTGTTCCCAGGTTATATAGTTTACAAATATCTCACGCAAATACCATTCAAGGCTTTTGCATAGCTTTATTTCGGGGTTAAACTCCTCTCTGATTTTATTGGAGATAATTTTGATTTTCTGCAAATGATCGGGCGACGATGCAACTTTGCTTAAAATCTTCTCCTTTAAAACGCTGTTATTACCCTCAAAGTTGATCGCCTCAGCTACGCTCTCTAATATCACAGCATCTCTGAGATCATCATTATTCCCGAAATACCGGTACAGGCCAGGGTCGTTACCATTGGGATGGAGAACCTGACTACAGCTGGAGACCCACACTCCCTGACCACACATCCAGACCCTGAAAGAGAGTCTGTTGTTCTCCACACCCCACAAACTCTCTACCAAACCACCAGGATAGAAGTCGAGTAAAGTGGACCTGTGTGCTGCTAGAGCGCCCCCCATCAAACCGGCTGACGGGATGGGATCCCACATACCGATGCTGGGGTCCACCTCTTCGTAGGGATACATAGTGATATGTCCCCAGCCTCTGTAGGGCTGGACTATGTACCTGTCATGTACCACGTGACCCAGCTCTTCATACTCCGTCTCCTGTATCATGTGTATAATAGGTACTGTCACCCCACCCGGGTACCTCTCCAGTGTACTGAGGAGCGGCTCTAACCACAGCTCACTTACCTCCATGTGGCTGTCCAGGAGCACCACTACCTCCCCCACTGCCTCGTATACACCTCGTAACCGCGACCTGGCGATGCCGAGTGTCTCGGGGTTTGTTAGGTGTCGGACAGGCATTCGCTGTTGTCTGGCGTATTCTAACACTTCTGCTGTTATGTTCAGTGTGCTGTGGTCGTCTATCAGTATTATCTCCCGGAGGTATTTCAGCGGGGTTCTGTGCATGATCGTTGTGAGAGTTCGCAAAATCAGAACTGATAGTTCGTTGTGATAAGACAACACTACAGATACTTGAAGATTGTAGGTTCGGTTCAGATAGTTCAGACATTTACTATGAAACAATGGTTTAGAAGGAGGGAGGAGTCTTCTTTCTCCCCACTGGATTGTGATGTTTCTGTAAAACTGTTGGGAGTACTCCTGGATCTGCCTAACTGACAGGGCAGATAAACGTTCCTTAAACTCAAACTCTTTAGCAAATCTGTTCTTCAAAGAGGAACTGTCGTCAGAGAAGTAGCTGTGGTTACATGACTTGATGACAGTGAGTGAGAAGCCACTATACAGAGAGTTCTGTGTTGTAATGATAAGTACTAAGAGCACAGTTTTCAGGATAACAAATGTGATTAGAGACAGGAGAAGTAAAGTAGCAGTTAAACGTAGGAACCGTCTCAAGGGAAACATTGTGTTTTCTATCTAAATCACCTGCCGGAATATTGAGGAATCAAGTGTAATCGTTCGTAAGAAAATCAGAAGAGCATTCAATTGGAAGTTCTGAGGATAAAAGAGCTCATTGAATATTGTGCACAACTACAATTAAGTACATTTATTGAGTATTTAGTAATGGGATGGAAGTGCTTTAACTTAACCAGGTGTAACCATTCCACACCCTGGCATTCCACACCCTGGCAAGGACTTGTTTTAATTCTAAATGAAAATCTCGAATATAACATTTTAACAATTACCAATTGTAATTACATAGAATTTATAACACAAGAGATTAAATCAAATTAGTTGAGGACCCAAAAACAAAAACGTGTTATTTTAAGGAACAGTTATTGATTAAAGATCCGTTGCCCGGATAAAAAGTGTATTACAGAATTATTCATTCGTGAATTATAAATTTTTGAAATATGCCAAGTGACCCGAGCAGCACAAGAAAGGAAACTTAGGTTAAAATTTGAGGATGTGTACTGAAAATAAATTGCAGTATTGGTCTTAATACAAAGAATACGAAGGTCTTGATAATGAGATAAATACATAGTTCACACCCTTAGGTGAGGAGAATGGATTTTAGGATACTTTAATAATAATTTACCATAGTACATGTACTGAGTACTCACATTATACACAACCGGGGTATTTTAGGTTAATCGATAAAAGACACATCCATGAGAAGTGAGGAATAATTTGAGAACAATCACTCTCACACCATAATAAATAGCAATAAATGAAAATCTGAATGATTACTATTCCAGAAATATCATATCTCGCTAGCAAGTGGCACTAGATTGCCTCTGCTTTGAAAGATTCGTCAGTCCAGCAGAGCTACCATCAATATGATTAGAACAGAAACAAGCTCATCGTACTCAACTTTCAAGACGTACTCAAAACGTGAAAAAGGTTTAGTGCTAAATTGTGCGTGATATGGTATATCTGTGGAGCTGTGGTCAGTTTAATAGCGCCCTCATCAGATAAACATTTCTCGTGTGGCACTGCAGTTGTTTCATACATTAGCTCAAATTTAGCTATACTCCAAATTTTTATCGGTTTTAATTTTGTACCGGTAAACTCTTTATAGTTTTCAGTTTCATATCTTTGTGTTTTTGTAGTCAGCCGGCTATACGGCTTCTACTACCAAGGTGGAGTTTGTCGACATACCACCACTATTATTAGTGCACCATCTAATTATATCCATTCAATTGGTATCAATGTGATGAGGGACAGTCTAAACTGTAGCTTGAAAAGTTTGAGCTGGAAAATTAAACAATTGGTGTGTCGTCAAATTCAACCCTCTGCAAAAATTCATCAAGATCGGATAGAATGATTTGGTGCCAGCTCTTGTACATATACTAGAAAATAATCGCCGCCCTAGAGTAGTATTTTTCGCCAAATTAGCTGCACAATCACCGCACATAAAGCAATTTTAGGCAAGTGCGCACTTTTCGCAAACTTTTACCGCACTTAAATGCTGCATCTGAAACTAACAGCTCATTTGCCCAGGGAGATCTAGTAGACGCTAACTGGACAGCTCTGTTGAGAACCCAGCCCTGTTCTCCTGAGGACGCCGCTTTTAGGGAGTGGTTAAACAGCTTCCCTAAAGAGAGGAGGTTCTCACCTGCTGGTTTGTTTATTGTTTAGTTAATAGTTATGTAAAAATACCATTACTGGGAGTGGGATTCTAGCCACAGCCGTATTCCATGCCATGTTTATTTAGTTTAAGTAGCCGAAGAATCCTGGTCCAAGGACTCCAAGGAATCCAAGGTTGCAACTATGCAAGCATAGTTGCTATGTATAAATAAACTTTTACAGTAAGTCCGTTCGAACATCTGAATATTGAGCGGCCGCCTACAATAAAAATGCGGTCGAATTTCTTGTTATCTTCAATGTTGACCTGGGGTTTCATTACAGCTCTCCGATACGCAGCGGCAATATTTACTGAGGGAGACGGACATGAAGCAGTGGAACCCCTGGTTACCCTTCACAACAACATTCCTCTTCACCAGGTTAATTTTATACCCCTCCCTCCATCTAATAATATCAACATACCATATAACTCATATACGGTAATGTAACCATAGTAAAACTACCATATTATAAGGTAATGTTACTCTTCACAACAAAATTGCTCTTCACCAGGTTAGAAAACACCCTCACCAATAATATCAACATTGGAACTGTTTCACTGTATTACATACCCAACACTAACCTTCTCTAAAACCCTCCTTGGATAGGCAGTTGCAGTTTTACCCTGTACCGTTTTATAATCAACTGGAATTTCTAATAATGTTCAAGATCTTTCTTTGCGAATAATAATATTAAATTGCAGTTTGAAGCGTTCCTTCAGAAGATAGCTGAAGCTAAGATGTAACAGACCTAATGGATTGCGAACAGTCGGATATCCACTTTTTCGACCCCACTCCTTCTCCAGTACCGCTTCAAGGGTAAAAATTAAACTTAGTTAATCCTCAAATAACTTTATTGGCGAGTTTGTACTTTTGTAATCTACCTTATCTAGAGCTTGTTGAGAAACTATAATTAAGGTATTCGCTGGAACTGTAATACACTGATTCAGGATACTGCAACACCAGAACAATTTCAAGACATAGAGCGAGAGAACACCCCACAGCCCGACCAGCACCCTTTAAAAATGCAGTCCTCACAGTTCGACAGAAACCAAAACCCTCTTAGTCCTACCAGTTACCGGGGGTAGAACCCCGCTATCTCATAGCTTCTCGAATAGGAGTAGGGCACATTGGACTTTCTAGTTCTCACTTTTTACCTGCCACACTTCAGAATTACTGGCACAGAGCCAATGCTGAATACTGGCACAGAGACACGAGACTTAACAGGCCAATTTTAGAACTTAATGGAAAGAAATTATTGTTGGGTCCTCGCCACTAAAGTTCTAATAAGGGAAACCTTCAAACTCAATCCAGATTATATGCTGGTTTGGTATTCGTGTTCTACATTAATATTGAAGAAAGAAAGATTTCTGCAAACTTTCAGGTATAATCTAAAGATAACAGATAAGAGTGCTTGGTGTAGTAATTAATACGTTTTTATTAGTGTGACTTTAAATTGTTTTATGTAGGAGGACGTGTTAAGTCTATCATTTTATTTCGGATGAATTTTATTTAATAGCTTTAGCTTTAGAATAAAAGATAAAAACATGGTCTAGACCACCAGTATTTATGTTAGGTAGACATTTAAACTGCATTTTCGATTCGATTTCTTATTTATAATGGTCAGCGTGCACCGATGATGTCAGTTTTAGCCTAATGCATCTATGAATCATTTTCTTGCTATTTTCTGCTGATTCTTTTTGTTGAATATTTAAACCTAAAAGTTAAATACGGGACTTAGTGCAAATGTAATGATTAAATGACGGGAGAATTTAGCATTCACAATTCAAATGTAAAACGATTTTTATAAATTTGCAAACCAATAATGAAATAACGTATTTTATTTAAGCAATAATGTTAAACACAATCCAAGCGAAATAATCAAATAATATATAATGACCTGTGGTCCAAAATGATTTTATTTTATAGTTGTAAAGCTACAGACAGCGGCCGCACGGAGTCAGGAATGAGCTATTCCAAACTAGCCTTATTATATATAAAATATAAATCAAAATGGCTAGCCGCTAGGTGTTTATAATTATATAGACAGGTGTAGTTCATGGAGAACACCTGTAGTTACATACAACTAACTGGCATTTTGATTTATATTTCATATATAATAGGGGTAGTTTGGAATAGCTCATTCCTGACTCCGTGCGGCCTCGGACCATTACACGTTCAACGTTGCAAACCTCTTTAAGTTTAATGTGAAAAGTGGTATACAACATGTATACCATGACCATGCCATATTGATATTACTATCTAAAATGTGTGTTTATACAGTTTATGAACATAATTGAACTTTAACTTCAAGATTGTAGCGCGATGCGTTACCATGTGCCGCGCCGCGCACTCAATGAGGCTTCTCTCGCTAGACCTGCGAAATGCGCTACTGTGCCGCGCCGAGCTGCGATTAGGGGGTGCACGATAAAAATAAACTTGCTCGGATTTTAAAAATTTTTGTACCACTATTTTCTAGAGACTGTGAGAGTTTTCCCAATACCAAATTTGTCATACCTTTTTGGAAAGATCAGTGAGTTTCGCCTAGGTGCCATATTTGATGGTGCGCGCGCGGTTTTTGGAGCAAAAGTAGCTGTAAAAATGTGTAAAAGTCGCGTAATTTGACCAAATTCGTTGATTTTTGTCGTATTATTCGGATATATCTTCGGTTCCTTGAATGAGATCATTCTGAAAATTGGCGACGACCTTCCGATTAGGGCTTTCACAACTGTCCGAAAAATATGGTGGATATCGAAGTTGATATAGTGTTCCAAATGGGGCAAAATACGCTGCTTTTAGCTGTAACATAATGTCTAATGGTTGGATATGCTTTAAACTTTTCGGACACTTTCCTTGTAAGTCTATGAGTAAGCTTACCAATTTTTGTTGCAATTGGAGGTCGGGAAGGATACTCAATATTTATTTCATATTTGTTTGAAGAAAACTGTGCTGGCCGGAATTAGCGCTAAAAAACCATCCTACAGTCGGCACGCCCGGCTCACTGTCGATGGCACACTACCTTAACTTACTGCGATGAATTGACATCGTCAATTAACTTCAAGACTGCGGGGTCCCCAGGCTCAACTTTACTTTTAAAGTTGAGCCTGAGGTAATTAAATTGTAGAAACGGAAATTTTGTAATTGTTTATGTGTTATGTCTCCTAATTTGTGCAATAATGTCCAATGTACGCGTACCTGCATGACGGTCATTGTTAATGGACTAACCCAGTGCGCGCTACTAGCTTTGTTACCTGAGGACCCCAGGCTTTAATGTTGATAAACAACGAATAGAGATTAGGCGGAATGACAGGCTGAGCGCGGCCCAGTAAGCTACTTTGTAGTATAGTATAGCATTTATTTGTTATTACATCTGCCTCTGGCTAATTACTGGGCCGCGCTCAGCCTGTCATTCCGCCTAATCTCTATTCCGCCTAATCTCTATTATGTTTATGAACATAATAGCCTGAGGTCCCCAGGTAACTGGCTAATTGCTAATATTTAACGAGAAGAAAGCGGCGCGCGCTACTTCGAAGAAATTTAGACGAGTATCATCCGTCAACTAAAAACAAAAAAGGCCTTTTTGAAATAATGCTTGTTCTGAGCAAGTCAACGCGTTGATCAAACGCGTATCATTCAGTCAAACTCAAAGTTCAAGAAACAAGAAAGTTGCCAAAAAACTTTCTTGTTTCATGTATTTTGTAAAAATCCTAATCGAAGTATATTATTCACTTTTAGTATTGTGTAAGCTCACATCATGAGTCTGCAAAACATTAAATTTTGTGTATTGTGTAAGCACTAAGCAAAGCTAGAAGTAGAGCTACATACTCATAAATAGATAGTCTGTCTATTGAACACGATGGTAGTATAGCTGCATATAATAGTCGATAGATGGTTCTGTTCTTAATTTTACTTTTTGTCTTGTTTAGTGGCTGTATTGGTAACCAAGGTTACCAGTTACACGAGTGTACGCAGTGTGGTTTACAGTGTCATGCCTGTATTAAGAGAGACTTCACCCTCACTCCTGAAGGTAAGTCGCGTGACATCACACCACATCTAGTGACGTCACACCATATCTAGTGACATCACACCATATAATTGATAATGTTGTATTATAATTATTTAAAAAGATCAAGATTTGAAGCATATATACTAATCTGCAGAGTACGTAACAGAAGTAAGTGACACGTGCACAAATACATCACACGAGACATGCACGTGGGGTCACCGCTGCAGCTGGAATAGAGTTACTGTACAAACTAATGTAGCGGATATAGGTAAGTCACTACATTTCACAATTAAGCTGAGAACATCTTTACTGATAGTAATGTTTATATTATTATGTTCCCAGCAGAAGAATGGTCATTTAGTGCTGCAGTTTATTTCAATTTTTGTCAATGCTGTCACTGACGAATGGAGAATAGTAAGAAATGTACGTTCATGGTTCAAATGTTTCAAAATACTGTGGAGACAGTTAACAAATTTGAATTGATCCTCATTTAAATCTAACTAAAAACATTCCCCCTCAGGGCTGCAGTACTCGCACGTGGAAGTGACTATGAAATGTGTGAACGACACAGTGGACGAGTGCTCCCAGTTTACCACATCCAACACAACAGTACAGGGGCGGGTAGTGACCACTACCTACAGAGACTGCTATCAGTGGTTTTGTTTCCAGGACTACTGTAACGCTCCGGCCAGCTCTTCCACTAACGTCCACCTTATCTCTCTACACGGCTTCGTGCTCCTCATAATACTGCTTTACGTGCTTAGCGACGCTTATCATGGAGTAGTCGGATCTGAAAACATTTTGCTACCTGTTTTCTAACAATTAATTCTGATCTGAAAACATTTTGCTGCCTGTTTTCTAACATTTAATTCTGATCTGAAAACATTTTGCTGCCTGTTTTCTAACATTTAATTCTGATCTGATATCATCTTGTTACTTGTTTTCAGCACTCAGTATTTTTCGTTCACCTACCTTCAACAACGAAAGTTAATATATTAACATTATGTTATATATTAACGGGTACATGAAACGATGGGTTGAGGAACAACACACTATAACTCTCTTAGTGCAGGCAACTCGAAGGTATCTCCTCAAGTACTAGTACAAATACAATGTTCCTCATACAATGTTCCTCATAAGTAACATGAATAAGTTCGGTATTAGGTTCCACCTTTTAACATTAAGCGTTAATACTTAAATCGCTTAAATCGCTTATCGCAGATATCTCTAGCAATCTGTAATTCAGAAACATCGAGCTGGCACCCATCTCTACGGTTCATTCTTGTTACACTAGCTGGTGCAACTAAAATATTGATTCCAGGGATAATATCCGGTAGTAGAGACTAGGTAGGACAAGTGAAACTACTGTTTACTGTTTAGGAGGAAACGGTCGAGTTGAAGAAATATGAGATCCTGGAGAAGTTCGCTGTTTATCAGTCTCATGATAAGATAATGATTCCAGGGATAATATCCGGTAGTCCTAAACAGTAGTTTCACTTGTCCTACATAGTCTCTACTAGTACTACCGGATATTATCCCTGGAATCATTATCTTACCATGAGACTGATAAACAGCGAACCTCTCCAGGATCTTATATTTTCTTCAACTCGACCGGGATACATTTGGTCTTTTGGAAAACACCTAAAAACTTATGAACAGAGACTCATATTTCTAAAACGTTGCAAATCATATTTAATTTTAGCCTGATGAAAGTGTAGCACACTGAAAGCTCGCGTTTATTCCTAAACAGTAGTTTCACTTGTCCTACCTAGTCTCTACTACCGAACTAAAATATGTTGTCACAATTATTTGAGTATTATCCACTTCAACTGGTCATAAAATATTGACTGGAGGCAAATCTGTATTTCTTGTTAAGAATCTCTGACATCAAAATTGCTATTTTGTAATCTGATCACGCCTCAGAGTCCAAATTTGGTATTGTTGTACAGTTTCCATGGCAACATGCCACATACAGGGACCGCACTATGTACTGGGTAACGAGGTTAGTGGAATGTGATTTGTACCGACCACGATATTACAGCAGCTAACATTCACATCTAGTACGAAATATTATTGCGGGCTCATCCCACCATTTTGCTTTTTATCGGTGTTTTATTGTTATTCTCTGTTGGCAACAGCTGATTGCTTGAGCCCACGTGACCGAGTCACATGTCACGTGAGCCGCGCATCACGTGACATAAGGCGCGTGTCGCTCGCCAGCAAGGTGACTCGGAGCACGACAATGTCCGGTTATGTGATAGCTTGCTGGGACTTGCACGTCACCAGCGACTCTACTACTTGTCAAACTTTTTAACTTGCAGTACATCACTTGGAGGACTTTATCTTGACTTCAGAATGAAGCCGCGTGAACTTTGCGAGTTTTTGACGACGTTTGAATAAGTGCTCTACTTTTCTGTGCAAGTGTGTTTAGCTTCTCCAGACAAAGGCTATACTACTCACACTTAGCTCGAACCTCTCATTTGTTCACACTCGTCAAATCTTTTGTTTTAAATTTGTTAGTTACGTTAGACTAACTTAAAGTTTAGGCTGAGCTGGGGTACTTTGATAATCTTATATTTGTCTTCTATCTACCTCCATGTATACAACTTTGGAAATAAAACGGAATAAATTAAGGGGGTGGAAATCTAAAATAGTTCAGATACAATGACAATTATTCCAAACGTGATATTATCATTCGATTTCAAATATCCAATGCTCAATTTCTAGAACAACCCAAAGCCTCCAAAAAGAAAAAAATTGAATCAATAATTTATTAAATAAAAGTTCTAAACAAGGAATAGTAAAAAACATCGCCCAAGTCTAAAACAAATAACTAAATATCAAAACGTTACTGTAGTTTCTGCCAACATCTTTTGTCATAAGCTAAATTACGGAGAATTAATAAAACGAATTAAATTATTAAGTATGATAAGGTAAAACCAGTAAAACATTAACATAAGCCATAATATAACTATGTCATAATTTAACTAATTCATATAACATACCAAGTCATAATTTAACTAATTCGTAATATAACTAAGTCATAATATAACTAATTCGTAATATAACTAAGTCATAATATAACTAAGTCATAATTTAACTAATTCGTAATATAACTAAGTCATAATATAACTAAGTCATAATATAAGTAAGTCATATTATAACTAACAGGGCACTTTAAGTCATGACGGTCGGAAGTTGCGAGAAGAAGTATGATACCGTGGTCGGGAGTTGGGTGAGAATATTTGAAATTATCAATTTTTCTTTCAGTTTTCACAGAGATTAAAAGTGTTTTTAAATCAGAGTTTAATAATTATCTTCCCACGATTGGCGAAATTAAAGTATTGGACAACTACAAGTTCAGTCCAAAGAACTAACATGTCTGTCAAAGCCCCATTCTCCAAACCTCACCCCCCAATACCTTCAGTTCAACTCCGGGTTCCACGGTCACAACCGCAGTTTACCACGTAACTACTACAACACCTTCAGAGAGATTTCTAAACCAACTCCACCACGCAAGTTCTCATCTAGAGCACAGGTAAACTATTCTAAATATTCTTTATTGCCATTTATTGTGTTAGAATTACTATGTTGCAATCTATGATACAGATGTAAGAAGTACTGCTTGTTAATATTTAGTTCTACACCAGATGAAGATCTACTCAAATATTGTTACCCTCACTAATCAGTATCACTATTTCAGGAAGGTACATTCTCCCACCCCTTCACAAAACACGACAACAAGAAAACATTTACTAACGACATCGATCAGCTGGCCATGGTGAGTGGTATAATAGAGATCATTAAACTACATCTCTCCGGACATTAGCTGTTCAGTAAAAATACTTTCTTTCCCGTGATCAAACAAATCACAATGTCACAATAAGAAGTTAATCAAAAAGTAAATCCTTACAAGACTTTTGAAACACCCTGTACCGTATACTATAATAGGTATACGTACTATTGAGCAGCTCATCAAGCACCAAGCTATGTTATCTATTCAACAAACAAAAAACGGTAAACCCAACTTTGTCTCCTCAGTACGGACTAAGAAAGGACCCGGACAGATCAAAAGGGAAGTTTAACAAGGGTCTAGTGGGGTGGGATAAGAAACACGATAGCAGGAGATACATATCTTGTTACAGGATGGAGACAAAGAGTGCGCCTATCAACTACCGTGTAAAGGACTGCATGAAGGTCAGTTATACAGTCATAGTAGATAGTAGAGGGTGGGGGTTTTTAATTGGTGAGAAAATTCAAAACTAACGTCCCCAAAATCATAATATAAAAGCAATGTCCCGCAGGACTGGGAGCCACCTCCCTATAATAATATAAAAGCAATGTCCCGCAGGACTGGGAGCCACTAGGGAACAAGATGGAGTTTAACACGATGTACAGAGAGCACTACTGCAGACAAACCCCCGTCACCCACGAACTAAGGGCCAAGTCCGCGTCTCTCAGTGGTCACTCTGTCGGCAGGCAAAGTGGACATTCTATTCCGGAGACCAGGAACAAACGTCCTAAAACCACCAATCTAGGTAGGTGCAACTTTGGGAGATATTTTATTAGTTTCTACCACTAATCTAGATAAGTACAACTTCCCTTATATTTGATTCTAATTGATCATTGCTTATAATTGACCGAAAACACCAGCGTGAGCTTGAATAATATGTTACTTGAATGACAACCAGCTAAAACCTTGTACAGTATCCCCACTGCCCCCAATAGTAACACGTGACCGAGAAAGGCCGATGGAGCTGAGACCGGAGTGGATGGGAGCTTCCCTCACCAAACAGAGGAACCAGAGTGACTTCTCTCTGGCTAACGAGTACCACGGATACAACTGGGAGGACAGGCAATCTGGTGAGTCTCATCACGTGGTTTTTGTATATCAGTTCATTATCAAATATGCAGTTTAAAAACGGACCATTGTTGTTCTAAGAACTGGAAAGCAGTATACAATCAGCTTTCCTTTTCCCTTCTCTGCATTTTGCAATTATAACGTTTTTACACTCACAACCTGACAGTTAAGTGTGTCGAGCATGTAACCAGCATGTTGGTTACAACTGCTTCACAGTAACCACAGTAACCACACGAGCTAAAGTCACTGTCTGACGAGCCTTCCTATTGCAACACCTGTTGTGAGACGAAACCATTATTAGGGTTGAATCAAGCAAAATAACCAATCAGGGTTGCAGAATTATTAACCTATCTCGCACAAATGTGTATAATTCATCGAACATTTAACCAGACGAATTAACTTAAACTACAAGGGTACCGCAATACTTATACACTGCACGTGTGCTCTATACAGTATTTTAAACCACACGTGCACTGAGAACCACACAAAGGCACCACATAGTTGCGGCGGTTACATTATTTGACGCATATTTCATGCATTTTTATGAGGAATTTTGCAATCTGAAAAGTTGTGGGTTCGCATAATTCACGAACATTCTCCGTATCTAAATGGTATTGGTACATCTAGTACCGCACTATTGACCTTCCTTTTTAGGCGAGGGAAGCAGGAGAAGCAGCATACACAGCCGAGGTAGCAGAAGGAGCAGCATTATTCGTGGAACAAGTGGTGAACTACGAGACATGGCCACCAACACGGACAGAGAGTCGTGCGACATGGCCAGCAACACTGAAAAGGATCAGATCTAGAGTCTGATCTAGAGTGCGCAACTGAGCTGAGGACCCAGTTAATAGCGGCGGGAATCGCTTAATCTACCGTATATTTTCTGCATCTTTATGTGTAATATTGTAATAGAGTCAGTTGCAGGAGCGTGGTTCAGGCGCGTAAGTTTATAAGGGATAGTGAAAGGGACTGACAAATGCGTTGTTACAATTTAATGGATTAAAGTTTTGTTTCTTGGGATCAGTGGTGGTGCGATTGAGATTATCATTGGATATTTAAATATCGACATTAATCTTTAAATTTAAGTGCTTGATAATTAATTAAGTGTTATGAGCTTTCTCAAATATTCTGTTTCTGATATGTATAGATTAGTTTGAAAGCTCATTCTGATACCATTATTAAATGTTATATATAGCTTGTAGATATTTTGACAGTTTTTCAAAAAACAAAGATGTATCACTTGTGCAATCTTATTCGTCAACAACTACGAATAACATGGGATTTAAGAATCAAGCTAAGAAAGGACCACGACTTTGAAATATGAGTTTTTAAGACCTGCGTTCGCAATTGTCATATCCATCTTAAATGCATTAACATAAATATAATATATGTTTCAGAATTACGTAATGTAAGTGTAACGTAATGGAAATATTTTAAACTAGCATATCCTGTCCAAACCCAGGATGCACTACATGAAGAATTCGTAGTAACTTTGTTTGAAAAGCATTAATAATGCTATAAATGGTTTTTCAGATTAAATTCAGTTTTTGTAGCGAAAAATACCGTCACGTAAACTTTCATAATTAATAAAAAATGTCAAAAGTTATTCAAATACTCCCAAGTTCATTTCTGATTCTAACCAATCACGTGTAACTGTAGTCTTATTAAGTCCTTCAGTTGACATATTCAGTTTCTCACTCTAAAGCTTTTGAAATCTGATGGCCGGATGTTCTGTGCTCCAACGCAAATATCTGACGATTAATCCGTTCTGCACGGTAGCCCGAAAACTTCTCACTCTAAGAACGGAGCTCCTTGAGGATCACCTGTGAGGGTGTTCTCTGTTGTAAGTCCTGTGTTTGGGGGACTGAGAAGCTCTGTGAGGTGACTGGTGGGGTGAGTTATACGGACTGCTCTTCTTTATCCCTCCCATTACTCCGTGCTTCTTCTGCTGGAACTCAGCGTACAGCCCGTCTGGTCCTGCTACTCCTGCTAGCTTCCCCGAGAACTCCTTGCTTACTAGTTTCGGGAGCACACTCAACAGGGATACCTGTAATGTAGATCACTTTTAGTAAGATCACTTTTAGCTTTTTAGTTGGATCACTTTTAGTTGGATCACTTTTAGTTGGATCACTTTTAGTTAGATCGCTTTTAGTTGGATCACTTTTAGTTGGATCACTTTTAGTTGGATTGCTTTTAGTTGGATCACTTTTAGTTGAATCACTTTTAGTTGGATCACTTTTAGTTGGATCACTTTTAGTAGGATCACTTTTAGTTGGATCACTTTTAGTTGGATCACTTTTAGTTGGATCACTTTTAGTTGGATCACTTTTAGTTAGATCGCTTTTAGTTGGATCACTTTTAGTTGGATCACTTTTAGTTGGATCACTTTTAGTTAGATCGCTTTTAGTTGGATCACTTTTAGTTGGATCACTTTTAGTTGGATTGCTTTTAGTTAGATCGCTTTTAGTTGGATCACTTTTAGTTGGATCACTTTTAGTTGGATTGCTTTTAGTTGGATCACTTTTAGTTGGATCACTTTTAGTTGGATTGCTTTTAGTTGGATCACTTTTAGTTGAATCACTTTTAGTTGGATCACTTTTAGTTGGATCACTTTTAGTAGGATCACTTTTAGTTGGATCACTTTTAGTTGGATCACTTTTAGTTGGATCACTTTTAGTTGGATCACTTTTAGTTAGATCGCTTTTAGTTGGATCACTTTTAGTTGGATCACTTTTAGTTGGATTGCTTTTAGTTGGATCACTTTTAGTTGAATCACTTTTAGTTGGATCACTTTTAGTTGGATCACTTTTAGTAGGATCACTTTTAGTTGGATCACTTTTAGTTGGATCACTTTTAGTTGGATCACTTTTAGTTGGATCACTTTTAGTTAGATCGCTTTTAGTTGGATCACTTTTAGTTGGATCACTTTTAGTTGGATTGCTTTTAGTTGGATCACTTTTAGTTGAATCACTTTTAGCTGGATCACTTTTAGCTTTTTAGTTGGATCACTTTTAGTTGGATCACTTTTAGTTGGATTGCTTTTAGTTGGATCACTTTTAGTTGAATCACTTTTAGTTGGATCACTTTTAGCTGGATCACTTTTAGTTTGATGTGATGGAAGTCCTGAGATTGGACAGTCTGATAAATATCTTAAGTGAATAACTGCGGTCGAGCACAAATTTATTATGACTACAGAAAAATTCTCATTTAATTCACGTGTGATTGTCACTTGTGAATCAATGAAAATTACTTCTAGAACGATGTTCCATCAAATTATTATCCTTCCACATAAACTCATTAGAACTTTTTAAGTGAAATAAATCAAGCAAGTAAAACAGAAGAAGACACCGCTAACAAGTACAGCAGTCCGGAATTAAACGCAGAAAGAAGCACGTGCCAGAGCTAGTGGATATATGTACAGTGATTCAGCAGTGGAGAGCATAGTGACAAGTATATGAATGGGCAGCATGGTCGATCAAGTGCTGACCAACATGTTGCAGGCGAAGCAGACACGGCTAAATGTGGGAACAAGGTGGACAAGTCTGGACAAATAAGGGCCGGGGGGGGGGGGGGGGGGGACTAACTGCATTTAAGTGAAGGAATATATCAAGTATTAAATGTTATAGATCAAATGAAATAGCAGCGACAACAGATTGAAAAACAAACCTTCTCCCCAGCAATGCTGGGATGGAGAGAAGCTGTCTTAGCCAGCTTGATAACAGGGACCGAGGTCGGGGAACTGTCGCTCATCTCGGATACACTTCTTTTCAGGGGGTTTGATGTGCTCACTTCTTTGTTTATTATCTCACCCTCTGTAACATTACGATGTATTGCTAGATTTGTTCAGTAGGTAGGATGAGCTTTAAATAGAGTTCGATTCAAGTGGTTTCAGGATTCAATAGCAAATCGTTTTATTTTAAAACTATTTTTCTTAACAAGACTAAATACAGAACATACCAGAAGAAGTTGAAACATAGAGACTCTCCTCACTGAGGGCTGTGCCCCCTTTTATCTTGTACAAACAGTCTCTAACTTTGCCGTGCTGGGATGATATGTTGGCCATTGAGAGGATCAGTTTCTCCAGCTCCTGCCACAGTTCTTGTACTGCTCCGTCCCTGTAATATTACGTTCTAATAGTTGACTGAATATTAAGTCACTTAAATAAGTGATGCCTTCTGTTTTGAACATTAAGTCACACGGCGATACGGCGATAAACATATATATAATGGTCCCTTGAATTCTAAAATACTTGTAACTTATTTCAGTAGTTATCATTTCTAGAATATCAACTAACCTTTTTCCCGTTTTACTCTTGAAAGATATAGGCTCTTTTTTAACTTCAATTCCCTGTACCCGGTAAATAGCCTGAAATAACCACCATTTATAAAATTGACATAATATAATTAGTAACAAAATATACAAGTTAATAAAGCAGAAAACTGCATCACAATTAAAATAATTCTAAAACATTTCCTCAAAAAATGTATTCTCTTATTTTATATTTACTAGGGTTTATACTTACATAATGAATAAATCCTTCTAGTTTTTATATCTTAATCAATAATTATACCGTATAACAGAGACTGAAAGTCGCGTCGGGGCGGGGTAAGCAAAACACATAGTATATAATACAATAGGTTACACTGTGTCCTGCGGTTACAACATACTACTGGTTAAAGCAACCCTTGAGGAACAATTTGTGGTATGTGATTGGAACTTGGCATCGCACTAATTGAACCGGACCATTAAGAACACCTATAAACCGGCTCCAACATCAGATCACGTCAAACAAAACAGTGACGATTAATTGATGATTTTATCTAAAGATTTCAGTCGGTTGACTTATAAATGGTAAAGAGCTAGAATAGAGTACAGATTATTTAGCAGTCCCTCGCTCGATCCACAGAGCTGAGCCCTTCGGATCTGCACTATGACTTTGATGGTAAAGCTGCACAATTTTACAGTTTTGTTGTTCCCTTTGTTTGAGTAGCTCAATCGATACTCTGTAGATTTGTTGGCAACATCTTCTATTGTTTCAACTGGCACTTGTTAAATAGTTGCAGATCAGAGGAGACTTGAGGAATTGAGGACATCAGTCTTACACAAACATACGTGCTCAAAACGTACTTCATACCAGCTAATCGACGAACAATGATATGAAAAATTCCTGAAATACCAACAGTTGTCAACTTTAAGAACAATAGTCTTCCATAGACCGTACCTTATTGATGATCATTCTAGCAGTGCCAGTTTGCACTTCTTGATAATGTTTTTGATACTAAACATGTTATATACTACATGTTATTTAATAATGATATTGTCCTTGCCGGAGATCTTAATATACACTTTGATAATAGCTACAGGGTTGCCTCTGACACTCATGGTCTTCATTCTCTGCACACTCGTACAGCACACATTGGTGGCGCATGTCTGGACCAGTTATTCACTTCTCACTTAACAGCCACATTCATTGCAATAATGTCTTAATTGGCAATAGAGACACACTAGGCTAGATCAATTTCCTATGATCTGTAACATAAGCAACACTTCATCTTGATAGTGGTGTTATTAAAATTCAATTTATTATTATCATAATATGGGACGAGTGCTAGAGTGATTTTAATTTTATCGGTCTTCATTAACGTGTGATAATAGGGGGGGGGGGGGGGGTCCAAGGGGAACTTTGGGGAGTTTTGGGGAACTTTTTTTTGGGGAACTTCAGGAAACCTGGGGGACTTTCCCAAAGTTCCCCAAAAAATTATCAATGAAACAAATAATTTTGGGGAATTTTGGGGAACTTTTTTTTGGGGAACTTCAGAAAGTTCCCCAAAATTCCCCAAAATTCCCCAAAGTTCCCCAAAAAAATTATCATGCCAAAAAAATTATCATGCTGCAAGTATCAACAAGTAAGTTAAGATTATACCTTATAATAACATACATGTTAACATTAATGGGTATTAATGTATATTAGAGAAATTTTGAATAATTTTGAATAATTTTGAATAATTTTGAATAATTTTGGGGAATTTTGGGGAACTTTGGGGAGTTTTGGGGAACTTTTTTTTGGGGAACTTCAGAAATCTTGGGGGACTTTCCCAAAGTTCCCCAAAGTTCCCCTTGGACCCCCCCCCATAATAGTGAAAGCATTTTGTATTTTTGCCAAATTGTTTCAAATAACCAAATCTCAAATTTAGAAAAATTAGACCAATCGTGGTAAAACTTAATTATCATTGATATCAGAGATCCAATTTCCAAACAAAATGATATTTGCTTAAATGCAAATTTAAAAACTTTCATTTCAGCCGTATCCGAGAGCAACAATGAAGCAACAGGTCATCTTTATCAAGATAAAGTATGGTGGCCCTTTGCTCGTTCCTAAACAGACTCTAACAAGAGACAGCCGTATGTTTAAATACCTTATAAATGATCTGCAGTTTAAAGAGCTTGACTTGGAAGATTTTTCACCGGAAGCAGTGACCCTGTTTCTAACCTACCTCGATAACAAAAAGCTGGGCGACATTGAAGATGTCATGTTCAGAGAGGTCCACAAATTAGCCGTGGTATTTGAGGTCGACTGGTTGAAAAACGGCTGTGTCCGGTGGTTAATTCGTAGAAGTAGATTAGCTACCAGTGATCAAGGAAAAGTGTTAGTTTTTGACGAGTGCTGGTATATTCTTAACAAATGGGGTAAAAAAGGTATGATGAATGTACTGGTGTCCGGTTTAGGTCTTAAGGACAATTCATCGTTCATCGGCAGCTATATGTCAGATTTAGAAAAACTGGAGCCAGGGCAGATAGATCTGTTGCTAAAAATAGGAAGAAGCAACTCCGATTTGTTTCTCCGGAGTATCCTGAACAATTTATCTGGTCAGAAAGATCTGAATGACAAAGTGAAATATCTCCTTGAAAAGACAAATCTGGCGCTGTGTTGTGAACAGAATGAGGACCTGTATCTTGAAGTGTTTGACACTATATCGAACCTATCAGAAATATCAGTTGATGATTTGCGGTTTACTCACCGCATGACAGCGGAAACTATCAAATTAATCAGTTCTCGAAGAGAAAAAAGAAGATCCTGTTGTGTGGTGAGCAATTTTAGGGACTATTCAGACTTAATTAACATCTGTAAAACATTAAATGACATATCCAAAGTAGTTTCTGAGGGTCGAGTAATATCAACGTTTGTGCTGGTTGAACTATTGTTGAGTGTTTTCTACGAGTATACACCTACCAAAGATGACACCCGAGTGTTTGTGACTAATCTTGAAAACATCTGCAGTGCGAAAGAGCTTAACAAAGTATCACGACGATATTTAGATATCATAATTGATGCATTAAGTTACTCAATAACCGAAAAATCAGATCAGATTGTAACTCTGCTGAAGGAGATTAATGAAAACGAGAAACTTTCCTCATACCAGGACAATATCTTTAGAAAACCTGATAAACTGTTAGCAGCAACACCTAAAAATGAAAACAAAAAACTGTATACCTTCAAACACCCTGGAACAACAACCTGCACAGAGTCAGATAGTCAATGTGGTTTTATCTTAAAATACTGTGGACCGGACGGCAACAAAGCTCTAGAACTGAGTACGTCCAGCTCGGACTACACAGATACAGGAGTACACTACCACGACATCACCTCCCCACGTGCAATGTTCCCCTATGTTATCAACACAGGTACCACACCTGGTGGGGTGAGGGTGACAGTGGTGGGTCAGGTGACGTGGTGGGAGAAGTGGTTACCTGGGGTAACGGACTGGAGGGCTAAAGATGTCTTTGTAGCGTACAATGTTTCTGATTATTTGGTTGCTAAATGAGACTGATGTTTGTTGTGAACTCTGAATTTGTTGGGACACACAATGAGACTCTGTGAACTCTGATGCTTTGGAATTCTATTTGCATTTTAAGAGTTTCCATTGTACATGTGAGCATAGTGGACTGTGGCAATTAATAAAGTTACGACTGTCTACATTTGACAGTTTTTGTTTTTTGAGAATATCGATTTTTCACCAACAGTCGATAGACCTACCATTTTATCTAATTTCTAATTACTTTTAAAGGTTAAAGTATCGGTATCAATTATTATCAACTAGAAACCCCGCTGGTTCGTGTTTTTGAAAGTTTGACGGGGTAATTTCTAAATTATACATAAAAAGAAAATAAATGAACACATTTATTCTGAAAGTATTATTAAGAAAAGTAACAACGTTAAATTCTCAGTCTCACCTGTTGACACTCCGTAACCTCTCTGTCACTGAGGGTGTCTTTACAAAGAATGCCCAAATATGCGGCTAATCCCACAGCTGTCAAGGGGGGACGTGGAGTAGGTGAGTGGGAAACACGCGGAGAATCTCTCCAGTTCCAGAAGTGCTGGGGGTGCAATGTTAATCATCACAAATTTAGGATATCGGTAAAAGAGGCAAAAATGGTATACTTTTAGAGAAAAAAAGACTACTATGACCCCCTAGTTAATGAACAAAAGTAATGCGGTGAGGAGTTCGTAGTGAAAAATATGCTGATTTGCCATATCAAAGCGCGTAGCTCCATTGGTAGCAGAGCTGAATGACATGAAACCGAAATGAACCTTGAAATCTTACATCTGCGAGGTGGGTATCGAGTGAAATGAGGTGAGATGAGCGTTCTACCCTTACATCGGTGCAGGGGCAGTTCACATTCCACAGCATCAGGGGGAGGGTGTGGACACAGTTCCAGGTTCTTTATATTCAGTTGTAACTCTTCACCTCTGTAGTCTGTTACCTGGGTTTTAGGGTTAGTCTTCAGGGCACCCCATTTGTCACACCCATTGTTTATAAAAAATAAGGTATTTCTAGTGCTCTCGTTGCTGACAAGTTATTCCTAGAAAAACATAAATCATATCTTAACAATATGTCAAAACTCACAAGAGTTAGATTATTTCAGATATTTAAAAATAGCAACCTTTCCGCCAGGAGTGTCTACAATAGGGGTGAGCTCGTCAAATACAGAGCGTACAGAGTTGGCTATGTAGTGCATCACTATGGTTCCTCCGTGGTTTATCAGAACCACTGATAGATCTGAGCGGGAAACATTATCGTACAGGGACTTAGTACTGTTTATAGTTTTTAGTTTGTACTTTTGTACTGTTTATAGATTTTAGTTTGTACTTTTGTGTTATTCATAACAATCGACGACAAAAAGTTAGATAGTGAAAAACTTAACATGCCCAGTATAAACTTGGAAATCGCCGTCTTAACATTAGATCTACAAGTGAATTATTCAGCAAATTGAGGTGACAGAATGAGTTTGAACCTACTTGGTTTGGGGTACTCCAGTACGACCTGCTTCCCAACCAGCAGGAAGTTAACAAGACAAATAGTTGGTCTCTCTGCTACATCAAGGGGTGTTACTGGGTAGGTTGCTACACAGTTCTTTAGATTTATATTCTGAAATTACACGTGACTAAGCAATTACGTTATGTACGTAAGACTTAGTAAATCCATTTGGAAAATTTGATTGAATATTCTGAGGCCTGAAACATTTGATTAACATCCACACATTGTTATTATGAACTCGTGATTAGGCACAGTTAGATGAATCTCACAAATAATAATAACCTGCGCGTTCTTAGGAGAGGACCACTTCATAGTTAGCCGCTCCCGGGGGCAGCTGGGTAGCTCCACTACGGGGTGAACAATGTTTACATTGTAAGCTGTGGCTTGTGTATTCGTACTTTGTTCCTCCTGGGGTATTCTTTAATATAAATACTAAAACTTGAACAATATATAAAATCAACAAATAGTTGAATATTTGAATTTGAAATGGAACACCAGACTTTTCACGTAAATAGAACATCATCTGATGTAGATTATTTATTTTCACACCGTTCCTCATACCTTCATAGGAATGGAGGTGATGGTGGTGATAGTAAGGTTATGATACTTTATCACTGTATCCAGGACCCGCTGAAACAGGTTACCGGGTTTAACATTGTGGATCACGTGATGAGGATCACATAACTCCGTGCTCTCCTTGTTCTCCACCAGGTTGAACACCACCAGCTCCGTCTTACCCTCGTTAGAACTGCCGGGGGATCACGTGAGGGTAATAGTAAATAGATATTATAACATATTATAACATATTATAACATATTATAACATGATTTCTCTTGGAGAATTTCTCTTTAGACTCTTAACTTGCGAACAAATTGAAGCAGCAAACTTTAGGCTAGAAACTTTATTGAATTGAAATAATCATTCCACGTAACAACGTCTTCTTCAGTTCTGTAATAAAATTGTTAAACATGTGTAAAAATTAACGACGGAAAGAAATTTAAAATAACATTAAAACAAAAACAGAGAAATAAAATTTACGAAATATGACCCAAAAATGTAATTGCAAAAAATGTCAAAACAACAAAAAATACGACAAGAAGAAATGTAAGCTAATACAACTAAATACTGTACTACTCATGATACTAAACTAATTAGTAAACGTAAAACTGGTTGTTCAGAATTCACAGTTCATGTGTAAAAACTAATGATAAAATCAGCACTTAAGCAACGATAACTCGGTTGTCATGGTTACTATCCAAGATAGTCCTATCAATACATTATTTACTAGTTAAACATCGACTAAATATTTGTACAAATAACTCAACTCAGAACGATCATTCATTTCAGGACTTAATCTCAATATATACATCGCTTCTACAATCTTTCTACGAACAGTTTTACTCTGTAAATCAAGTAACTTAAAAGATAAAACTGGGGTTCGGTTAGGATGTAGAGATGCGTAGTGCTGTCCAACCCCATTCTCTGGATGTGCTCTAGGATTCCTAGCAGCCTGTCTGTGCTCCATCAGACGAGCATGGAGGCTTCTCTCAGTTTCCCCACAGTATCTCTTACCACATAACTCGCAAGTAACTAAGTAAATAGCTCCTTTTGTTGAGCATGTTGTTCCTGTGAGTCTAGGGCAGATCTCACAATTGTTAGGGTTACCAAGGTCACAAGTCTTCTTATCCAGTGGACGAGAGCGGCAGAAGATGTCCTGTAACTTCTTACCAGGTGTAAAAATAACTCTGATGGGGAGTTTGTTAGATTTGATGTAGTTGCGAATCTTATTACAAACTGTTCCAGAGATGAATGGTAAGGTGAGTGGGACAGAGTCAGGTGTGGTTTGACGTCTTCTCCTAGTCCTTCCATTCAATAAAGTTTCTAGCCTAAAGTTTGCTGCTTCAATTTGTTCGCAAGTTAAGAGTCTAAAGAGAAATTCTCCAAGAGAAATCAAGTGCAAATGCGACTCATAAATATAGCCCCCTTGAACTATATTATAACATATTTAGGTACTTATAGTCATTGAATATTGCATGTGTGCTGACGAAACGTAGGCTGAAATTATCCTGCGAAACTTCTTTCAACCCCCATTATATTTACTAATAAATATATTTGAGTCCTAAACCCCAAGTGTTGTCGATCAAGGATCATCATCTAAATGTCATTAAGTTTAAAGAGGGACAACTAATATAATGAGTCTTTAATTGACTCTTGAATTTCACTACAATAAGATCCATTCATTAAAAATTATGAGAATTCATAGGCGCTAGTTTTATTCCTTGCTCAATATAGTTGACATAACATGATTGTTATCTTTCACCATGATAATATAAAATATGAAGGGAATGACCAATTTGCTTTGCTTGCTTTTAATGGATGAGTATTAATGACAAATTGCTTGATCAACAACATATCATGCAAAGTAATCAATAGAACTATTGAAATAATTGAATTAATTGAATAAACATGGAAATTATGGAATTCCGCAAGTCCGCATTTCAATAATAATTTTCATCGCACTTTTGCCTCACATATCCCATTAAAACCGCTGTGATTCAACTTCAAGAAATGACAATAAACCTACTCGCTGTCGAGATATTCGTTAACAATAAACCTACTTGCTGTCGAGATATTCGTTAACAATGTCGACACAGTGCGCCGGGTTATCAATGGAAGTGAAGCAGATGACCCTAGCGTGCCGGGCAGGTTCCTCTCCTAACAGTAACTTTTGTATGTCTAACAGAGAATTACTCAGTCCCATATCCACACATTGCTGAAATGAACAGTGGTCATTATCTGACATGAGGCTCTACTAGGTGTAGGTACACAAGGGCTAGAATTAAGGAATGAAGATACAGGAGGTGGATACAAAATATATATATATGTCATGGTCCTACAACTATCTAGCAAATAACCCCCGGCCCCCCCTCCTAAACCCCGGCCCCCTCCCTGTACCCACCCACCAAATAACCCCCGGCCCGGCCCCCTAGCCCCCTCCCTGTACCCACCCACCAAATAACCCCCGGCCCCGCCCCCTAGCCCCCTCCCTGTACCCACGCACCAAATAACCCCCGGCCCCCCTCCTAAACCCCCCTCCCTGTACCCACCCACCAAATAACCCCCGGCCCCCCCCTCCTAAACCCCCCTCCCTGTACCCACCCACCAAATAACCCCGGCCCCGCCCCCTAGCCCCCTCCCTGTACCCACCCACCAAATAACCCCGGCCCCCCCCCTAGCCCCCCTCCCTGTACCCACCCCGGCCCCCCCTAGCCCCCCTCCCTGTACCCACCCACCAAATAACCCCGGCCCCCCCCCCCCTAGCCCCCCTCCCTGTACCCACCCACCAAATAACCCCGGCCCCCCCCCCCAGCCCCCCTCCCTGTACCCACCCCGGCCCCCCCCCTCCCCCTAGCCCCCTCCCTGTACCCACCCACCAAATAACCCCCGGCCCCGCCCCTAGCCCCCTCCCTGTACCCACCCACCAAATAACCCCGGCCCCCCTAGCCCCCCTCCCTGTACCCACCCACCAAATAACCCCCGGCCCCGCCCCCTAGCCCCCTCCCTGTACCCACCCACCAAATAACCCCCGGCCCCGCCCCTAGCCCCCTCCCTGTACCCACCCACCAAATAACCCCCGGCCCCGCCCCTAGCCCCCTCCCTGTACCCACCCACCAAAACTAGTTGCTCACCTGAAGAGCAGTAGTAAGGTCAGGCTGTGTCTCCTCAGTTACTTTAGGAGGACCTATCCTGGCTAGAGTCTCCACTATCTTACACATTCCCTCCTGACACTGCCACTTGTTTAGGAAGGTCAGGGACTGGTCTGCTGCTATCACCATCACCTGGATCACGGGTTATTATAGGTGCTATTGGGGGACTACGTACTCAAAAATCACAATCTATGATGCCAGTGGATTGAGTGAAAATAGCCGAAAAATTGATGCAAAGGTTGCGTTAAGAAGTTAGGAGATAGGAACTGGTCAAGTGGAGCTAATTAAGTAAACTAGTTAATAAAGATATGTAAAATAAACTAGTTAAGATAACTAGGGTAAACTAGTTAGTGAACTAACAGGATGGAGAGCACTGCACACATCTAACAGAATCCTAGTGTACTCCACAGCTGCCTCCATTATAACAGTCCACTTAGACTTGTCAGCTGACAGCTCATCTATAGTCACAGTCTGATCAGTCTTAGCTAGCAGGCCTTCCCGGTGATCTAGCAGTATCACCGTCTTAGTTGCCATGACTACAGGGGTGGTAACTTTTTGTTATACGTCATCATCTGATATAATTAAGTGACATAAACAAAATATTAGTAGCACACAAAATAGATAAGAATGTTTTTTTGATAAAATTATTTTAAACTCAGTGCGGAAGAACTTCGTTTTCTTGTTTTAAATTAAATTCCAAACTGCTAGTAAAACATCAGATTGGTGGGTAACAAATAAAGAAAATAACGTTAATTGTTGAATAAGGAAATGAACGGCAATGAGAGTGGTAGAATGAATCGCGTTTACGCTTCAAGCGCAATCTGGGAGTCCGGAGTTGGGCGCCGTTTAAATATAAACCTTAATAAGCTTCGATCATTAATTATTGATCAAAAATTAAAAATATTCATGAAAACTCGTCATTAAAAGCTATCAAATAAATATCAGTTTAAAAAGCTAAAAATAATAAAAAGTGGAATTTTCACGTCATTATCACGCAATAAAAACGTGTGCTAGGAAATTTAATCGACGATGTAGTTAGGATGAACGACGAGGTAAGGACTCTCTCCTTTTTCTCCTCCTCCTATCTCTAGCAAAACGTTATCCTGAAAATATTTACAATTTTACATCTGGTTTCTTCTAACGGGTGATTATAAAATCATGGAATTACTGTAATGCTAGCATTTCTCAATCCTCTGCCCTTATCTGGCGGAAATATAAACATTCCATTACAACAGTCGGTGCCTATCAATGGAATTCGATCATTTCCCATATCTTTTTGATGAAAACTGTCAAATTTTATAAGTATAGGGAGAGGGATTCCAGCCACATCTATAATTAAATGTTCATGTTGGGATCTGATATTGTATTGGCTATAAGGTCACGCTACACAGTGCTAAAATCAACATAATTACTAATTAGGCTATTTAACCACAGTAATTATTTTCACTCCACTTTCCCAGCTGTGATACCGGATACACGCCTCAATATTCATCTCATTATCAGGGCAGCATTAGAGTAGCCAACATCATTGTTCAAGAAATAGTAAATACAACTAATAGTTTAAACGCTTGTAGGTTGTATTATAACAGCTGCTGTACCGCCTTGTTGACAATATTGTGCCACCTTGTTCAATACCACAAACCAATCCTGATTCTCTAAATCAGTCATTACATCAGATCTGTAATCATCTCTCTCTCTCCCCCAATGAAGATGCTCCACCACAATGTACACTGTCCCCCCCCACCACAAGGTACACTGTCCCCCCCACCACAATGTACACTGCCCCCCCCCCCCACAATGTACACTGTCCCCCCCCACCACAAGGTACGCTGTTCTAACAATACCCGCCAGCTGAACGAGAAAGCCCCCAACTAAGAACGGAAGTGATTAGCCCCGCATTTATAATAACTAACAGGGCCCAATAACGCAGGTAAATAACCGCTTATTGTCCATAATTTACAGCACGTGCCTTCCTACAATACATCAGAGGTTGCGGAGCTACAAGCCCCAGGCTACTCTGTATTATAGGCTCAACTTACCCCCTACTCTTGCGGGGCTGGAAGGTTGCTTCCTTTTGTTTAGTGCGGAATCTTAGTTTGTTAACTAGTTTGGAGTTGTACTAGTTTTAAAGTACAATAGCTGTACTCAGTACTGGTAGTGTACAAGGTTCACTTTTAGTTTGTTAACTAGATTGGAGTTGTACTAGTTTAGTACAATAGCTGTACTGGTAGTGTACTAGGTTCGTAGTATGTTCAACACTAACCCCACCCAAAGAAAAGGTTGGGACTGCATCTTATGAATTTTCATATTGACGTACTTAGTGTTTAATCAAGCATTACTATTTACTACTTTAAAAATCGGTAAAATGTTCATTATTTCTTTCAATATTTCTCTGAAACTTTTAACGGAACTGTTCCTTCAGCCCGGTCAACTAGAAAGTCAGGTGATAAACAACTCAAGTTCTGCTGGAGAATGATCCTTCTCCAGATGACCCTGATATGTGTTTACATTGGATCCTCCTTTGTAGGTAAGTCACGTTAAATATCACCCTGTACACTGTATGTGTACAATATTATTTTGTACAGTTCATTTAGAGAGGTTTTAATATGACATTCTCTACGCTTAATGTGAAACTCTTTACTTTTATTGTGACATTCTCTACTAACAATAACATAGAGATTCTTCTCAGGGTACCAAATCTATTTGCGTTGGTCAAGCAAAGACAAAGATTGGCTCCACATACAATCATGATGAAGAATATCTGACTACGAAATGAACCAGAGTCGGAGAAACAAACTATAACATGTTCATTGTTCTTATTATATGAAGCGTGATGACAGTTTGGTAAAGCTAGTAGGCGACTGAACTATGAAGATTACGTTCATATTATTAATGAATTTGCGATGATTTTATCAAGGATTTGAGGAACATTTTGATATGAAAGATTAAACACATTGTATCATAATGATAAAGATATGGTATTGCATATCATTGAATAGTACTGAATATGTAATATTGAATAGCATTGAATAGTATTTAATCACCAATATTACACATAAAACACTGTTTTTTGTTCATTTGTAAAGAAACTTAATAAAGTAACTTTCATAATAGTATCAAAATGCTGGCTACGTTTAGCGAGCCCAGCTTGCTTTGGTTTCTTTGTTATGGTGACCAAAATATTATATCCAACCTCTACAGAGTAATGGTAACGATAAAGTCTGCTATAAATCGTTCAAGTTTAAATTGCACAATTCACCGGTTGAGACAGCGTTATATTTCCAATAATAAAACTTTAAAACAGCTTTATATTTCCAATAATACACTTTAAAACTTTAAACACCCACCACTTTGACGAGCCGCTCAATGACCTTCTCGGTGACATTCATCCTGGCTATCATCTCTTGTTCCCCCTCTATCTCTTCCTCTACCTGTGAGATGTACCAGTCTACCAACTCCTTCTTCTTTAGTGCCCCTTCTTCACTATCTGACACAGAGGTTGAGATTTAATAAACATTTAAAAAAAGGTTTTTTTTAATAATTAAAAAAAAGATGCTGGACCTTGTGGCCCACGAGATGATAACATGAAATGCTTTGCCTGCCTCTGGGTTAATAAACGTGTGTATCTGACTTGTTGATAATAGTGGAGGGGTAGTTTGACACGTGACATAGTGACAGCGATTAGCCGATCAAGTTCCTGTATCACTGTCACGAAATACAAATAAAATGGGTTGTCTTCGTAACACGTCTTCTAAGTCGCCGAGTATGGGGGGGGGGGGGGGGGGGGGGCGAGTATTACCTTTATTCTTCTCCTGGTCCTCAAAGTCCCTCATACGTTGTATCAGCATGTTACTTATCTTCCTGTAGTCCTCGAAAGTTATCCTGAGTTGTTCACCCTCCTCTCCATCCATCGCATCGTCTGTAGAATATAATGTGTTAGGTATGATAGTAAAGTTGGTGTTTTACAAAAACTGCAAAATGACTGCAAGGAGCCGAAACGCAAGAATTACGTGAGTTATATTTGTGCTGTTCGGTGGGCTCTTGTTCCAGTCACGTGTTATGGTTGATATCACGTGACTGTCATATTATCAGTTATTTGGAGACGGTCGGGATATTACGGCAGGTTGAACTGTATAGTATTGAACTGGTGCTACGTGGTTATGGCCGGAATTCTTGTCAAATTTTTATCACATTCAGTAGACCCACTCGTTGGATTGACCATGATAATTTTCCGGGTTAGAACTGTTTACAAAACCCCGTCTAATCCCACTTATTATTTACACGTCATGTTGATTGTTTAGTTTTAGTCCAGTACTAAGTACTGAGTACAGGGCACTGAAGCATCTTATGGGGACAAAGTCTGAGTGTCCAAACTCTTAAAACTTAGCAGCTGGAATCTGAAGACACTTTACAGGCTTGAGTCTTGACTGCAACTGACGATGTGAAGGTTTGACAGCTGATGCATTTTATAATAAACGTGACATTGAAAATAGAGTAATACGGAGGAAATCCTTGAAGGGTTTTTAAACAATAACTAAATATAGTAACAGTTTAAACGTAACATAACCAGCATACCACGTAACATGCTACATGTCACCACCTTTTACATTTAACTTATAACTTTTTTATTAATTTATTTGTTTCGAACATTATAGTTCTTGAATTTTATTCTTATTACGTACAATGTACACGCTACATTATTAACTGATAGCCATTACTTTCTAGGGTGACACGTCCGCTTAAGTTTCTTGAATAAGTTTCTTCCCTCCACAAAGATCACAAAATAAAAATAACTGATCTCGTTGACAAAAATTGGATGGAGCATAAATGGCATTTCAATGTTTTCCATCACTCTACAATTCTACAGCCTAGCTATTTCGTAGACCATGAATACTAAGTAGATATTGATCGTAGATATCACTTTCAGAGTAAATTAACATTCTTCGTTTATTATGAATATAAAGCACGATTTTGGAGTTTAGGGTCTACTACGGAATAGAATAGCTATAACATGTATGTTATAATGTATAAGCCATTCAACTGTAACAGAAAGTTAGCTAAGATAACGGGTTCATCACGATACATAAATTGAATCATGATCCGTTTTGTGGCTTATATTACTGCTGCTTAAATAAACATGTTTGAGATTTCGGCTAATCACATCAGTGGCTTACAAAGCATAATGTTAATTAGCAAAAGAATTGTTTGTTTGTTCCGAAAATGCTTAAGGACAAAAAACGCTAATTTCCACTAATTTCCGTTAATTTCCTTGTCCTTTTTGAACTCTATGAGATAATGGGACATTAGCTGACATTTCACCTTTCCTCCCCCAAACATCAGTGAAAAATAAATAAAAATGATCGACGTTTCAGCATAAGCACACCTTACATGCTTTTTTACTTCCTATAATTGGGTGAAATCTGAGTGAAACCATCGTAATTTGTAACTTTAGCTGGAGGCCAATGAGTGCCGAAGCGCTGAATATTTTCATTTAGTCTTCACCAGTTATTTGCCTTGTTTTACTTTGTCAGTCGAGAGCCGTGATGCTTCCTACTAAACACTACAAGATACGTTTGAATAATTCAGTCGACTTTGACAACTCTGAAGCAGGTTTTTACTTCTCAACTATCAGCCCGGCAAGAAACATTATTCGCCAGTGAATCTTGCCCCTAATATAAACTAAGCAAAATGAGATAGACACAGACATGGAAAACTAGCCACTGAAATTGACTATCAGTTCTTATCTTATCTAACTGATAAGCGCTGAACTAGAGTGTTCGTTTTCCAATTCCTCGTGTGATTGAAAGTCTCGTGTGACATGGTTTCGATACTTGCCGCAGTTAAAAAGGGTAGGAGTAATTACCCGCTGATTCAAAACCCGCATTAGGTGAGCAATTCTATTCGGAGTACCCTCACGTATCCAATAGTATTTTATACAATAATCTTATAATGAGTTCTTTCTCGTGGATAATTAAGTCATTATTAGGCACCACATTCCATGATCGTAAGGTCCGAACACTGACTATTACACCTCATCACTCCCGTCTTGAACCACTTTCAATTTTTATTTAAATCGTTTTAGAAATTAACCCTTGTTAACTCCGCAACACACCTGCCTATTATATTTGATAACACGCATAACATTGTCGTATGAAAGTATGAACTCCCTCTCTACAGTCCAAACAGACCCTGCAAACAGTGCCCCCCACCCCTAATAATATTACAGTATAACATTTCAGCGAATCTTACCCCGCTAACCCAATTATGGTTATTACTCATACAGCTTCATATACAGAGAGAGCGTCAGAGCCAGTCCCGTTACTATTTCCCTTTTTTAATTATGTCGCATTAGTGGTACAATACCATCAATTAAACCACTTACCACCGGCCGATTTTTATAAAATTTGCTTATTGGCTTCGTCAGAGTTTTGTCGGCACTATACCGAAAAAACCAGTCCCGTAACTCTTACCGTTTTTTTGTATAACCGTTCGGAAATTTCAAACACACACACACACACACACACACACACACACACACACACACACACACACACACACACACACACACACACACACACACACACACACACACACACACACACACACACACACACACACACACACACACACACACACACACACACACACACACACACACACACACACACACACACACACACACACACACACACACACACACACACACACACACACACACACACACACACACACACACACACACACACACACACACACACACACACACACACACACACACACACACACACACACACACACACACACACACACGGATTTCTTGAGATTATTAAGGTTAAATTAAAATTCATTATCAGCATTACGGTTGTTGTTGCGCTTTGATTTCCTTAGTCCCGTTATATTGTATAACATAAAGTTAGACCATTCGTCTGCAATCATAAAGCTTTTAGAAGTGCCGTTCAAGGTAGTTCAGTTAATTCATGTTAAACCGACACTTATTAGCAGAAAAATAGTGAATGGCTCATAAAAATATATAAATGAATTAAGAATACTTGAACCCATATTTGATATCTGTAATAACTGATACTAAGTGGAAACATAATACTAAGTGTTGTAATTAGTTTAATATATGTTATTATACGAAAAGTGGACCAAACGGAACTAAACTGGTTGGATTATGATAAATCTAAGATGAGTCTGTGCGATATTTGGAGTTTCACGGGGTGATCCCCTGGATTTAGATTAATTAATCTTGCATGTGTATAATTATATTGCCTAGATAGTGCGGTATCTCGAGATTAAAATACCCACGTGACCGTTACGCTATAAGCTTATACACAATACAGTGAGAAGTAGCTAGGTCATTATGAGTATAGTCACAGTTATACTGTTTAGATACTTAGCTACATATAACTACATAATATAACTAAGCTACATATAACTAAGCTACATATAACTAAGCTACATATAACTGACACTCGACACTCTTCTTGCTTCTCACATAAAATAGATGAGGTATAGTGAGCCTTCAATTGCTCATGTTGTCTTATAATGGAACACTGTCTTTATCCTATATAATGATACTGTTAATGTTATCATATATAATAATTAAGTTAATGTGCTTCAAAACTCACATAATATAATGTATAAAATCATTACTTAACTTACATAGTAACCGACACCATAGACTTTGTGTAAAAATATTTCTAATATTTCTCTCGTTCAAGCCTTGATTTGGTGAGGTGCCTTACACGAATACTAAATGCATACCAACGTTACACAAGTCACGAGGCACCTGTACCAAGGTCACGAGGTACCTTTACCCCACTAAATTTTTATCACACACTATCGCTCTATTGTCTTGCAGAGCCTACATTTCGTGTTGTTATTATATATCGTGCGCCATCTTTATTGACAATTACTCAGTCTTTCTTTATATAATTCTCATGAAATTTATTTGACAGCATCCGGATTTTTATACAATTAATATCACAATCACGATATAATTTAAGGTTAAACATGATAGTGTTTCACATACGTAATCAGCCGAGGGGGAGCCGGGAGGGGGGTTTCCAAATGATTACGCGTGTAATTTGGACACAATAGCTATGTGTAAAACTGATTACGGAGGGGGGAGGAAGTTAAAAATTGTTCAAAAAGTGATTACATAATATGTGAACGACCCCCTACAGCCTGACACGGTCAATACTAGACGACCAAAATGCCTCCTTCACGACAGGAAAATATTTTTGAGTGTCACAAACCGTTTCCAAGTAATTTGGCGTGATTCCAAGTAGTTTGGTTTCCTAATTCCCATTCTCATGCTATGCCTACTATGTTGACGACAGTACTGCGACAGTAGACTTACTTAGATAGTTGGGTTGTTTCTTCCTCCCTTTTATATGTTTTGAAGTGGAGTTATCTAGTTTATCTTTTGTCCTAGTGTATACCCTTGTAATCACGTCATGCTACAATTTCTCAATTGGCAGAGCTATCGTAAAGTCAAGCGTGAGTTTTAGACATTGTAGTGTTTAGTAGGGAGCATCACTGCTCTCGACTGACAAGGTGAAACAAGGCAAATAACAGATGAGGACTAAATGAAAATAATCGACGTTTCGGCACTCATTGGCCTTTTACTAAGATAAGAGATTATATATTACTAATTACAAGGGTCTCACACATCAATGTGGTTAGCGCATAATTGGGCTGCAATCCTTGACAGGCCTGTAATTACCCAATTTTAAATGAACGATATCTCATTCTACAGAATGATGAGAGCGTAAACAGAATGCTTCCCGGAATCAGCACAATGAAGGGAACAAGAGGCTGTTGGAATTTCAATTATTCATCTTCCACCCGTAGTCCCTACATAATTGTATTATAACTTAACCTCTTGTTTGGATGTAGTTAGTCCAAACAAGAGGGTAAGTGTTACCTCCTAGCCTAATCTCCGCCTTAATTTGTTACTATTTTAAACTATTTATAGCCAAGTTAGGGTCCACTTTACGACTTACATGCTTGTTTTCGTTCCTGTAATAATTTATTCACGTGCTCTAATTCGACACGCAATATAGTTCGACAACTTAAGTTCGCCAGATATCACCCCTGTCGAACTTCGGTACGTGTCGAACTCGAGTCCAGGCTAGGTAGCGTACTCTAGTTCGACAAATAGTTTCTGCTTGTGATCTAACGGCTATTGCCGAGTCCTTATCATAGGATCACAGGGTTTAATGGCAGATAAAACAATCTTCTGAAATCTGGAAACCAGCGGTTAGAAATTCCAGAACCTTTCAGTATAGTTTTAATTCCCCTGTCGGTTCTGGTCTAACTAACAGGAAAATAGATTGATATCCGACTGTTTCCGGTTCAGCAGCCAAATCTCTAGACCGGTACGAGGTTACTAGTCGTTAGTGATAATATAAAGTGTGGTATGAGGTAGATATTTATATAGCGTACTCTATTATCTAGATCTATAAAACGGAGTACGAGTTACCACGATAGTCTACAAATCTGCTAACTAACAATTGAGTCTGATGTCAATTAAATGTCCATAGATATGGATTATAGAAATTACATTCACACAATATAGTCGAACAGCATGAGAAAAGTGGAAAACAAACAAACGAATACATTGTTTCGTTTGCTCGTAAAGGTACTAAAGGATCGTTGCTTGAGTCGGAGATTTCAAAACTCTAGTTCGACAGTCGAAGTTATCTTGTCGAACTTTACTACGTGTCGAACTTGAGTCCAGGTAGCGCACTTTAGTTCGACAGAGTCGAACTTTAGGGTTTGTTGGACTACAGTACGTGTCGAACTTGAGTACGTGTACCGTAATAATTGAGCTTGCATACTTATTAAGATCATTTTTAATTAGTAATCTTTATTTACCGATGTGAGCTACATAACCCAATCAGCTTAAGGTTAAAGCAGCGATCAATCAAAAACAATTAATGTTACTAACTTCCTTTTTTAAGTACCTCTAGTTAGTCCATCATTATAATAAATATATGGCGGAGAATTTTAAAATCCTCCAAATTTGGTTTACCAAATTAAATTTAATACTTTATCGGAGCCCAGCCATGAAAAATTCAGCAAAGGCCGGGAAACTTCCAGACTCTGAATCTACATAAGAGTATAAGGCTTCGAAGGTCACTCAGATTATTTATGTTGTTTAGCCTTGTCAGCTAAAATTGACGCCCGACATCACTGTAAAATGAACACATCACACACCTCTAGTTTTAATGTAGACGTTTAGTGTTCAGACGCCAATTTTATTTGATTTCACTTTGATTAACTTAAATGGTCTGACAGCAAAAGCGTTTAAATTTTAACCACCGATGTCTGCCTTATTTTTTACCGGGGCACAGTTTATTTATGTCCGAGCAATCTGGCCATTACCAATCGTTGTCAATCATCGTCACCAGTGAACTTAACAGCATCTGACATTTTCTATTTCTTTCTAGCACCTGTAACCTGTTCACTTCGTTTTCTCACTAATTCTAAGGGCTCCTTACGATTTCTGATTTATTTGGTTCTTTAAGATTAAAGGAACAATTTATCCCACCACGAAAAATCTACTTAGATTATTAGATTCTACAATGACACAATGTACGGGTTCTAAGCCTGCGTATGTTGATGCGTAATTCAGTTCACAACAGATAGTTGAACCAGATGAAACTTCATAAATGTATCTGTTACCAGAATCGCATGTGTTACCAAGTTACAAACCTCCACCCTCCGCATGCGTTACAAACCTCCACCCTCCGCATGCATTATAAACCTCCACCCTCCGCATACGTTACAAACCTCCACCCTCCGCATGCGTTACAAACCTCTACCCTCCGCATGCGTTACAAACCTCCACCCTCCGCATGCGTTACAAACCTCCACCCTCTGCATGCGTTACAAACCTCCACCCTCCGTATGCGTTACGAACCTCCACCCTCCGCATGCGTTACAAACCTCCACCCTCCGCATGCGTTACAAACCTACACCCTCCGCATGCGTTACAAACCTCCACCCTCCGCATGCGTTACAAACCTCCACCCTCCGCATGCGTTACAAACCTCTACCGTCCGCATGCGTTACAAACCTCCACCCTCCGCATGCGTTGTAAACCTCCACCCTCCCCAGGCGTTACAAACTCCCACCCTCCGCATGCGTTACAAACCCCCACCCTCCGCATGCGTTACAAACCTCTACCCTCCGCAAGCGTTACAAACCTCCACCCTCTGCATGCGTTATAAACCTCCACCCTCCGCATGCGTTACAAACCTCCACCCTCCGCATGCGTTACAAACCTCCACCCTCTGCATGCGTTATAAACCTCCACCCTCCGCATGCGTTACAAACCTCCATCCTCCGCATGCGTTATAAACCTCTACCCTCCGCATGCGTTATAAACCTCCAGTCCTCCGCATGCGTTATAAACCTCCACCACCTGCACCCCAGACTCAGAGTTATGTAAGAAGCACTGTATTGTCCCACTTCAATACAGCACATTTGTAATCTGTTCGGACAGTATAATTCCCTTTTAATTACATGTTGGACCTTGGGACTACTCCCGTGGTATTTCTGATTTGATGTCACCGTGCCAATGGCACTGAAATGAAGTATGTTCATATTATCAGTCTACGATACTAGTTGCATGTGATATATTTTTGTTAAAATGTCAGTCCAGGCAAACTTTACAGCCTGCAGGTTTCCAAAATCATGGACTTGGCAAATTTCCATCTCTTTCGCGTTTTGTAGTTTTAAATATTCAAATACTATGTAAAATTTCTACACATTAATGATTATCAGTAACGAATTAAGGTTTCATAATTTAATAACACGACACCTTAAAATACCCTTCAACAGAAAACGGGGTTCAATATTCTAGTCACATTCTGTGCCAAATATTTCTAATTATTGAATAATCGAATATTAAACGTGATATTCCTAATTATTCGTTACCTTTTATTTTTTGTCAGTTGTCACGATTGAGCAGGATTGTAGCCGGATACCATATTATTAACTTTAACTTTAAGGGAGCGTTCACATATTAGTATTACAAGTTTTTGGCCATGTTTACCCCCTCCCCAACTCCGTCAGCAACTATCTGCATAAAGCGACCCCCCTCCCTCTTCTCCATTAGAGTACAATGTTGTAAGTTATACAGAAATAATAACTTACAACATTCCGTACAATATCTTGGTGGGACACGTGCAGACTCAGTAGCCAAGAAGTAAACATGAAGCTCTCTGCTCTTACAATGGGGACGGAATGCTCGATTGTATCGGTTTAAATACATCCAAATAAGGAGAAAACATTGCCTGGTCGAAACATGTCTCTGAGTAAATAGCTGCCCGTAGCTTCATCACAATCACATCAAACTAGGAATACAGTCGCCTGATGCTAACATGTTTACTGCCCCCCCCCCCCCCCCCCCCTGCCCCGACTGGCGACTGCTGAAGTAATATGCGAATGCTCCCCAACCGTATACACCTAATACATTTACTATTATTTATCACCGATTGTTTTAGTCCAGGGTAACAGCACCTGATATGGCAGAGCTAGAGGGGGCCAAATACCACCCCGTAAACCATGGTCCTCCCATCACCATACCAGACCCACCCGCCCGGCCCACGTGGGCAGGGGCCGTTATCAAGGACCAGAGTTTGTGGTTCAAGTGTGGATATGGGCCTCTCAAGCTCAAGTTGAACCCTGTTGTCACTATAATGAGTGTGGTTATTATTGTGGCGTTTATTCTGTGGTGCGTCCTAGAATCTGCCCGTAAGTTTCTTTATCTTTTTGTTCAACTGCTCATTGATTCTAGAGAACTGTTCCGAAGAGAAACCTATCTCTATTATCATACATATGAAAGTAGACCTATTCAAAGATGTTACAGTAGGGCCAGTAAAGAAAATGCTCATATCTTCAGACGCATTGGTATCGTTCAACACGGCCAAGACCTGGATAACAATGACCTTTACTTGGCTATATGTTGGTTCCCAGGACGTGTGGGCTCTGGTTATCATTGCTATCTACTTTAGCAAGTACGGCAATATGAAACTAGGTACGTTACATTGGCATTGTGAGCTACGTGTTAGCTGTTGGTTTCTTTCGTTGTAAAACTATGATGTGTCATTGTGTAGTGGGATTATCACCACTGCGCAAGCTTGGAAAAATGCCAAAAGTTCCATGATGAATGAAGATGATCTCCAAACATAAGTCTTGGCAGGAATGGCTGAAAACTTTTCCAAGTAAATATTCTCAAAACCACTTCAGGACAGGACGACGAAGTACCCGAGTATAACGATGCAACATGGTTCTGTATGTTGTACGCATGTGGTATCGGAGTCGGTCTCTTCTTCTTTGGTGTAGCGGAGCCAATATGGCACTACGCCTACCCTAACAGATATAACGCCGACAAATACATGCCTGACAATGAGGTGGCTCAGCATGCCATAAATCTGACCCTCTTCCATTGGGGTATCCACGGCTGGGTGGTGTATGCCATGGTGGCCATTCTTTTAGGGTTTCTGACATTCAGAAAAGGAATGCCCATGACAATGAAATCGTGTTTTTACCCATTGATCGGAAATAGAATTTATGGATGGCTGGGTGATGCCATCGACATCTTCTCGATCCTGACTACTTTGTTTGGAGTATGCACTTCTCTGGGGCTGGGAACTATGCAGGTTAACAAAGGTTAGTACTTTATTGTAGAACCTTATGTACAGTTAGAAGTTACATAGTTATAAGTTGCAAAGTTAGAAAATGAGCACAGTTATTGCTACGAAGCAACATACCAAAACACCCATTCCCAGGATTGAACTTCCTGAACCCAGACATTGAAGTGGGCACTAAAAACCAGGTCATCATAATCTGGGCTATCACCGCACTGGCCACCACATCTGTACTAACGGGTATTGGTATGGGTATCAGGAGGTTATCTGAGATCTGCTTCTCTCTTGGAATGGTAATCATGATGATGGTGCTCTTCCTTGATGACACGTGGTATGAAAGTTACACATTTTATGGAGTTTTATTCGAAATATTTAGAAGCATTTTTCAAGTTCTCGTAACTCGTAAGCTAAAAATCTAAAGAAACTCTCGAAATTCTGGACCGAAGACAACCATCATCCACGCGAATTGCAGTCCAATACATACACTCATGCCCATGGTACGACATAAAGAGGATAACCTCTTTTTTTCTATGAAATTTCATCACCTCTTCTCTCTTTCTCTCAGGTATCTACTGAACCTGTTCTGCCAAAGTCTCGGTTACTACTTCCAATGGATCATACAGCTCGGGTTCCATTGCGATGCCTTCGAACTGAGCACCAAATCATACGGTGCTCGAGATAGAGGTTTGATGATTTATTATACTTTTAATTAAAAACATCATTGTTTGTGTTAAAGATACCTTAACTCCTCGTACTGAAGCTTCACAGTAACAAGTTTTTGAAGTAATAAAGGTATTTCAAAGGTACAGCCCGAAACGATGAGAATGATACAAGATATGAAAAGGATCCAAACTAAAACCACAATATCTCCAGGTAGAGAGTTTGACGACGGAGAAGGAGATGGACCTGCGGGATGGATGGATGCGTGGACTATCTTCTACTGGGGCTGGTGGATCTCGTGGTCTCCTTTTGTTGGGATGTTCATTGCTAAGATATCTCGGGGCAGAACTATCCGAGAGTTCATCAACGGTAGGTAGAGGTTCACCTCTTTATCAAACGGTGTTGCTTTGTGCTGATTACATTACATGTGTAAGGAGGCAGGGCAGAATTTCCATTATTTAGGAAACGGGCAAAACTACAAGTTATTTTGGATATTAAACGAAAATTTTGGAGTAGCCTAATTATATAAAACACACCCTCTAAGGTACACCCTCTAAGGTACACCCTCTAAAAAACACCCTCTAAAATACACCCTCTAAAAAACACTCTAAGGTACACCCTCTAAAATACACCCTCTAAGGTACAATGACGGCTCCAGTAATGTACAGTTTCTTGTGGCTCGTTATATTTGGAGGTGCAGGAATCAGGACAGAGAGGCTGGCAGCTGGACAGGGACTTTGCTGTACTTCCTGGAACTCTACTGTCTTAAATTGGGACCCAGTTACGGTAAGTTACAACTAGTTACCACTAGTTACCATTAGTTACCATTAGTTACCATTAGTTACCATTAGTTACCATTAGTTACCATTAGTTACCATGAGTTTCCACTTTTCACAACTTGTAACCATCTGTTACCATCATTAGATACGGTTGATTACCCTTTCTTAGTAGCACTCAAATATGGCGCACAGAAAACAGGAACATTTTAACGACTGTCTTAGTCAGTATGTTTCTTAGTTTACACCTTACACGACGTTTAATTGTCTAAATATGTACAGGAACTTAAAATTATAACGCAGAATAAAAATTGTAACGTTGAAAATCTCTCAGTTTGCAGTTCAAACAACGAGCTGGTCTGTCTCTAAAACAGGGCTGAAGGTCTGTAATGGTGTAGACGAATCAGCAGCTTGCGGAACGTGCGAGTGGAACTTAGTGGAAGCTTTTGTCACCGCCCAAGATGAGCCGCCAACTTTGAGGGGTGTCGTGGATTACATTAGTGAGAACCAGAGATGGTTGGGGAAATACAAATCAGAAACAGACAGGTTAGTTTATTCTAAATTAATTAATTAATTGAATTTATTTTCAAATTTAGTTCAATATTCCCCCTGACGTTCCCGTATCTGATAAACACTGTCAAGAATCAGCATTATAGTTAAACTATGTTCCTCTGAAAATAACTCCAACAGGAGTTTTGCTAGATTGTCGTGCATGCCTAGCGAGGAGATGTGGTTTGCGAACATCTCAACTTACGGTGACATGGGGCCCTTTTTGTGCATAACCTCCCTTGTTGCCCTCATTCTTTACTTCGTTACAAGTTCTGATTCAGGTTATTAAATATCTTATGTTAGGAAATGTTTGGTCGAAATTTGATGTTTTAAAAAGTATGTCCGTTTTGCTTTACAAGATGCTTCCATGACTCAAAATTAGATCCGCTTTATAACGAACTTCCGTAAAAACCACCAAAAACAGCCCGATATCATCTCAGGTAGTTTAGTTATAGACATCATGTCCGCTAATGGAGATCAAGATCCGCCCGCCCTGCAGAGAGTGTTCTGGGCTCTGATAGAAGGTGGTACCGCTACCGCTCTGCTTGTAGCCGGGGGTTCTGACTCCTTGAAAGCTCTACAGGTACGTTACAGAGCAATGGGTATTGGGACAGCTTACTTTGGTTCTTAGGGCTTTAAGGTAGATTATTAGATTAAAACCTCACTTTCAGACTGCGAGCGTAGCTGCAGGACTCCCTTACACCATTATTCTGTGTTTTGTCTGTGTTTCCACCTGGAGAGCACTTGCTATGGAAGCTGGGGACTTGAACCCGTATGGTCCTGACTTTGCGGTATCTCTGGTGGACCCCTTCTCTCAAATGAGACCCAAACTTTGGCTCGGAGTCATTAAGAACGCGTTCTTAACGTGAGTTATTATCAGGCTGTTGATCAACATTTAGTGTAGTTATACTTCTATATCTGCAGTTTCATGTCCAAGGTATAATGATGACATAAAATATAAATGCTACGCGTTAATCCAGATGTTTTCGAGTGGTTACATACTAGGTTTCAAATATTCAGAATAATATAAGTTAAACTGACGATATAATCCACTTTCAGGCCCTTCACGCTGTACAGAACCATGAAGACCCACAAGATGGGTGCCATGATTCCAGCCATCGCGTCAGCAATTTGCTGGGCCGGCTGGATAATAATCATGATACTTGAAATAGTCTACCTCACCAACCCCACCATCAAGCTCAACGGGATATATTCTCTTGCCTGGGTCCTTTACTTAGGGTTTGTGACCGTGGTTACAGCTGCTAGGGTTAACATCCGTAACCACTACGGTATCCATGGCAATCCTATCGAGGATTTCTTCGCAGTATTGTTCATGTACCCGAGTGTAATGGTACAGTTGGAGCTTGTGAGTGAGGAGGGAGGGCTTGCTCCTCTTATGCCGGATAACAGGAACCCTCAAATCTCAGAATTTACAAACGGCAAGAACCACGAGGCGGCTGTTTAAATGGCGAGATGGCGGTATAGATGGTGATATTTAATGTGGTCTCAGTGAATGGCTTAGTGAATATCACAATTTATACAACATTATATAATAAGAAATAATTCTTATTTCTTGGTCGATTGCGTCTAGGTGCTGCCCGAATTGGTTCAATCACGAACTCCCCTTACTATTATTCTTTGCAATTGATGACAATGTCGTCGTTTTTAATACACTATGGACTTTTATCTTTTATCTTATTCCAAGTAATGTGTCTACTGTCTAGGAGTAGGGTTGACGGTTGTACGAGAATATTTATTGATATCATTTGTTTGAGTTTTGAGAAATTAAATTGAGAATTCTGTTTAACTTGAATTCTATATAATTTCGACTTAATTCTGTATAATTTCGAATCATTATACTTAAACAGTTGTCTGTACTGTACTTGATAATCAATAATGTCGCTTAATAGCGAACACAGCCCCGGATAATACCAGCAATACCAGACAAGGATTACCTCCCTGTATTATAATAATACCGTACAAAGCTGATTTGTGAAATAAAACTTTGGCATGATTCCAAATTGCAGTCCACTAACCTGTTTGTTCAGGGACTTCTGGCTCATCCTCCAAGTTAATGTCAGGAGTTTCTACTCGTATAATACTTTTACTGAGTAATCTAAAGGCCTCCTTTACGTGTCCTACCAGAACCTGTTAAAGTAAGATTAGGAAAGTAACTTTATATAAATCCAGTATCACACGTTTAGAACTTTATCGTAGATGATGTTTTGCTCAAAATTTCATAACTTTATGTCAAAAATAAGGCTTAGCAAGGTTCTTTCGCTGTGCTGGCCTACACTAGGCCTACACTAGGCGGGCTTCTATTTCCCACAAATAACTTTTTAAAAAGACCTTACCTCATCCTCGCAAACCATCTTCGCCATCGCCTCACTCAGCCGAATAAGACTCTCCAGCTGTCTGACTGTTATCCTCCAGCTGGCTTTAGACATGGCATTAGCGTCCCTCTGTCGTAACTTCTTATATTCTTCAACCATGAACTCCTGACTTTCTTTGGTGATTCGTGGTTTGAACTTCTTGGCGAATGCTATGTACCTACGTATCTCCTCCTACAAATACTACTGGTTAGATAAAGGCCCGGTAAAATGATTCACTGTCCACTGAAAGGGCAAGATACTTTCTATCTGAAACGAGCCTAATAACAAAATAAAAGATGAGTTCAGGATTGAGAAAGATGAAAACACGACCACCATAAACACCACCCTTACCATGGTGTACTCGCGCTCAACACTCTCTTGCTGTCGTGTGTGAAGATCTACTATTCTTCTAGCAATAGCATAGTCCGTCACCTCGTTACACTCGTCCACCAGCACAAAGAACAAGTCAAATCTGCTCATGATGGGCGCTGAGAGCTGGATGTTTTGCTGAAATTATGGAATATTAGGAGGACGGGAATAAACTTGAACTTCTTATGAAGTGGAATACGACTGTGATAATTCAACAATGATAAAAATAGTTAATATTATTTAATTGATTAAGATGTCGGAAACAAACGACAAACCACCCACCAAGTAGATTTAGCTAACCTGTAACGACTTGCTCCTGTCATACCGGCCTCCGATAGGGTTAGCAGCAGCCAGAATACTAGTCCTAGCATTTAGGACAGCTTTCACTCCCGCTTTTGTAATGGATATTGTCTGCTGTTCCATTGCCTCGTGTATTGCTACCTGGTCTCTAACGTCCATCTTGTCAAACTCGTCTATACAACAGATACCCTGGATAAAATGAGGAGCTCTAAGTTCGCTTGATATGAACAGTATTCTGTTACAATTAATGGAAGCATTTCCGGGACAATATATTCATGAGGTCACGGTATCAGGACTTGACCCCATAATCCATATCACCAAACTGATAAATACTGTAATTATCCCTCTACTAAATCTAGATAAAAACACCACTCACGTTATCAGCCAGAAGTAAGGCGCCAGCCTCTATCACAAACTCTTGAGACTCCTCGTCCCTGACAACCGCCGCGGTTAAACCCGCTGCGGTACTGGCTTTACCCGAGGTGTATACACAGCGAGGCGAGAACTCTGATATCTGTCTGGGAAGATCCTCGGATTATTAATATTGAGAGATCTATTAACAGAAAGTTGTGTGTTTGGTGTGTAAAAATCATACCATCCTTTTTAATCGCCCAAAATATTTTTACTAGTACCTGAATATATACCTAAGTACAATGACTTAAACTAAACTATGAAGAAGAACTAACTTGAGGAACTGACTCTTCGCCGTACTGGGATCTCCCACAATACACAAGTTTATATCGCCTCTCAGACTCGTCCCTTCAATCGTCTTCTTAGCTACTCCCCCAAACAACATCAGCAGTACTCCCTTCTTTATTTCGTCACTTCCTGACGAAGTCACGGTCAAGTTTAATGACATGTTATATGCTCGTAAGGCAGCTAGTGTGGGATGTCATGCGCTGAATATCTGTTCTGACTCCTGGCAGACTTAGGATCCAATTAGTTCTAAACTTATTGTAGTAAGTTCTAAAAATTACCATGGATAGTAGGGAACATAGAGGTAGCCAGGTTCCCGTATATATTCCTGTCTTTGCTCATTTCGTAGATTCTCAACAAGTCCCTCTCCGACACTTGAGCTCGAACGTCCTCCTCTGTCAGCTCCGAATTTGGGTCAATGCCTTGCAGATGTTTGGCAAATTATTAACTTATTAAGAGGAATAGTGAAGATTCTGGATGGCTATTATATTTCAACGATTTAAAATAATTTTGATAATTTATCACTGATGTACCTCCTGTCATTTCGGTCTGAACGGTATTCTCGACACCACATCCAAGGAAAGCCATCCTGTAGCTTAAATCTCGGACACCAAGAGCCTTGAGTCCCACAACTCCAGATGCAGCATTGTCACCTCTGTTACTAGGGCCACGTTCCTGTCGTACACCAGGTGTCGCAAGAGAGTTCACATCGGGCACTACTATCAGCGTTCCTGCGGATTTGTAAGCAATTAGTAGTGTTATGTAGTTTCTTGGGAATTACCTGGCAGTCAACTTACGTATTAAAAACATAAATTGAAAGATCAGTAAAAACTAAAAAGTATATAAATTGTAATAAAAGAGAACCTGTGAAGTCCACTTTGTCGCCAGCCTGACAAGACTCGACAGCCTCAGCTCTCAGAATAACCTCAACACACCGAGGGATGCTGCCCCTCGGTAACTCTGACTGGGTCTCTTGTATTCTGACCTGAAGACAACTTAATTCAAATCGCTGCGTCTGTGCTGGGTATGGGAAGGATTTAAAGCAAGGAATTGGTCATCATAGCAATCTACTCATCACATACCTTCTGGAAGTCCACAAATTTGCTCTGATTGATGTCCAACATGAACTTGATACGATTAGCGCACACAGGGTTCCTGCACACGGCTGGTTGAGTATATTTGAACTGCTGATCAACCCCAGGAATAGATGTTTGACAATCCATGCACACAAATGTTCCGGAAACAAGCTCCGGGTGAACGGGATGAGTTCGGACCACTTGTCCGGATATTTTGGTGAGCTGCCCAACTTTGCTGGTCGTCAATGCTCGAATCCTGGGAAAAGGAAAATGTTTCAGTTCTATAGCTGATAGCAAAGTGATTAGCAAATAGCAGTAGAGTTTACCACATGTACCTTTGTCCTTTTCTACTGTGAAAGTGCTGAGTTGAATTAAATAAGGCATGATTATGATGTGAACCGTGCAACCAGACTGCCTATCTTTTAACCGCATAATATTGCCAACAAGTTCTGCAACTTGATCAGACAATTGAATCCTGAATTGATTCAGAATTCATTACTTCCAATTAAATCTATTATATTACATGTACGGTCGTTAAGTTATCGCACATGCGATAGATTAATTTTGGCGCGAAACAATTCGCGCTTCAATCATCCATAAATACAAGCCGCGCGTTACAGAAAATAACAATTGATCAAAACTGCGACCGATTGCTTCAATGTGGCACCATCCGGCGCGCATTTATGCATTAGTCCCTTAAATTAGGGCCAAACCAAGTTACACGATGTTCGATGTTTCCTTCGTGTACGGTGTCCACCCATTCAATTTCAAAACCTCTTTCACATCAATATCTTATGTTTCGGTAGTATATTTAAAAGTATGGACTGTTGTATCAGAAACATCCGCATCACGTACAAGATATGAGATATCAACAACTTACTTGGTGTGTCCCATAAAGTCTACGAAGCTGATGTAAAACTGTTTCTTTTCTTGCACGCTGCCAGGATGTTCGTTTCGTATGTGTGTAGATAGTGCTTTACACAGAAAGGGGTACACTCTTGGGTATAATTGGAATGTTAGTGGGGGGGGGCCGGGGGGGGGGGGGGGGGGTGTTCAGATTTAGAAGAGCGGAGCCGCAATCGTATGATTATAGCCTACATTGTTTAAATAATTCGAGTTGCATGTTCAGTTAAAGATAACACTCGACATTCGGCACTTGTAAAACAAGCATAAATAGACCGAGAATACACGAAACTGTTTACATCATAGTTTGTAACAAGACGATGTTATTCAGAACCTGTAATATTCATCCTGTATGGTGGTAGCTAGATTTCTATTGTAACTTTCAATATCCTTGAAGCTGATAGTCAGTGTGTTTCTCTCAGGTGCTACTAGTTCTATAACATCGGGAGCGTACTTTGCTTCACCCTCACCGCCAGGCATCTCATATCTGAACCAATCAGTCACTTAATTATTTGATTAAATGTTTGCGTTGTATGAAAAGTTTTCAAATTTTAAATTTTAGATTTAAAACAATATCCCAGACATGATGCGGTAGCTAAGTTATCTTAAGCATCATGTAGCCTCCAGGCTCGACAAACCCCGACAAACCCCGACACACCCCGACGTATCCCGACAAACCCCGTTTGTCGGTGTTTGTCGAGGGGTTTTGCCTCGGGCCCACCGGCTACATGATGCCTTATCTTTGTTTCTGGGGCAAAATTTGTAGTGTTTCCGTTTAATGCAACAAGGAAAAGGCGTTTTATCCTGATAAGGCCTTTTCCTTGTTGCACTAAACGGGAACACTACAAATTCTGCCCCAGAAACATTACAAAAATGCAAATAATAAATAATGTTCAGATCCGGATATTACATTATCTTTGTACTTACTCCTGTAGGAATGACAGGAATAGTCTCTGGCATCGTTCAGCAAGCTCATCTTTAACACGGATTGGTCCCTGTGCTCGGTCTGTTACATCCATCCTAACCCTTCAAAGTTATTATGAGTACACATTATACTTAACTGCGTTTATTTTAACACTTTAATATCAAGTTTTATGATAACAATAGGTTTAAACAAAATTAAACTGTTCGACAGTATACTTTATTTTTGACACAGAGTGAATTATCAACCCAAAGTTAGCAACATCATAAAGAATATCAACTTTAACACAGACACACAGGAATAAATATTTTACAGATCACTCAAGTATTAACAAAAGTTTAATTCGAATGTATTATACAAAATCCCAAGAAATTCTGAAATAAACTCAACGTCTGGTAAGTAAGCAAATCAATCCATTTTGAATACAAAATCCAAAGAAATTCAAAACCATCCAAAATATTTTCTGGAACATTTTCTAATCCATTTTGAAGACTATCTTTCCTTTGGCCCTCCTACTTTTCAGTAGATCAAAACCCTTCTCAACTGCCTCAGCAGTAAAAGGTAACTCCTCAGCTATAACTGGTTTTAAATACTCCTGAACTCCTTCTGAATTTGTCCAGCCATCATCCACTAACTTTGCAAGTTGTTGTAAATCTTCAGGGTTCTGTTTCGCGAGCATCATATGTTGGTTAGCTTTGAAGCCGATGGTGTACATCCGAATCCACATATCCCTACTACCATTGATTGCAACGTACTGTCCATGTTTTTTATCTGCAGTGGCAGGTTTCAGTAATTCCATTGAAATGTTTTTGTAGTCCTCGCCACCCCCACTATTAGTGGCAGCATCATAAATCACATCAAACTGTAATTCAGGGTTAATAGCCCCTGATTCATTAAGACAGTAATCTTTAATAGTCTGCTTAGTGTAATCTATAACATCAGTTGCTCCCAGAGATTTTACAAATTCCTCATTTTTACCACTGCAAACCCCAACAATATCTTTAGCTCCCATAGATTTAGCAACCTGGATCCCAGCAGTACCACACCCACCACTAGCCCCAATTACCAGAACACGATCATCTTTACTAAGTTTACCATAGTCCCTTAATGATTGAAGAGATGTCGAATACGTAGTGCACATTGCCGCAGCTTCCACGAATGAAGCACTTTTAGGTTTGTGAGCCACTCCAGCAAGTGGAGCAATGGTATATTCAGCTAAACTACCATTGAATGTTCCACCATAAACTTCATCTCCGACCTTAAACTTGTCCCCAACCTTATCACCTTTCTCTTCAACAATACCAGCAAAATCAATACCTGTAACGGGCCCTTTTATTGGCCACCCCACTTTGTAGTCGATAGGGTTAATACCTGCTGCTTTTACGCGAACTAGTATGTTGTCTGCTCCACATTTTGGTTTTTTGTAGTCCGATTTAAAGGAGAGGTTACCTCGACTAAAAACAGCAGCTTTCATGTTAGAGAAACCTGAATTTAGTTATTTAGTTAGTATTTATAAAGTAGGTAGTAAAATGTGGGATTGTTTTAGCACTGAATTATTTAATCGTTAAAAAGATTTCAGTGCAGCATATTATTTAACTGTTTGACAGTGTAATGTTTCATTTTGACGGAGGAGGAGCGAATTAACCATAATTCAAAATCAGAGACAACAACATCTTTAAACAAATTTCAGTAATAATTCTGACAACAATTCAAACAAGATTCAAAATAAAGAACATTCATTACACTTGTAGGGTTTCTCTCCGGTGTGAGTCCTCATATGCACACAGGTGCTTGGCGCAGTCTGTGAGGTTATCATGCTGATTGCATTTTCTGGACAACTGTATCCTGTACCGTCTCAAGAATTTGTTTGCAGATTCTATACCTCCTTCCGATAGAGTTCCCAGCCCATAATTGTCATTCAGGGAGACTAACTCCCAAGAGTGTCCAAGTAGTTTGTGGACTGTGGGGGACATCTCACAAACAGGACGTGGGTAGGAAGTTAAGAAAAGCCTGTAGGTTTCTTTACAAAAGGCTTCCAGCTCATCCACCTTTGAGTTGGATAGCTTCCTAGTGCTACTGACAACCCTCAAAACAACAGCTACTCTCACCATAATCGCCCTCAATTTGTCTCTTCTTTCTTCACTATCGATCAATTCCAGAAGTAATTCTCTGACATCTCTTTCATACAACAACCTCCTGGCAACATTTCCTGTGGTTGTTGTTCCACTATTACCAGTACTATCAGGAAATGCCACTTTCAGTCCTGTTTTTTCTTTCATGTGGGCCTGAACTTTCAACTTGGCATTCTTTATGAACTGGACATCCCTCATGCATACACTTTCACTCCAATGATTGACTCCAGCAATTTCATGGTACAGAAGTTTAAGCAAAAAATCAGTGGACCTCAGTAGCATGTGCAAGCCTTGGACAGATTCTATATCTTTTTCTACAATGGGAGCTCGTTTTTGTCCAAATCTTGTGCTGTAGTCTCCTTTCTTGCTTTTTATTTCACCTGTCAAAGGATCTATATCTAGATTTTCCAATAGAGCCTTATTTGTCTCGAGAGATCTCGTGATGCGAAGCAAATCCTCACCAATGCAAGAGACCTCGTGTGCTTGGTCTAAGGACAGGTGGCAAAGGTCACAATAAGCACCTCCCATGCCAGACACTGCATTTGCTGCTTTTCTGTCTAATGCTGAGATCCGTATAACAACATTGAATTTGATTGCATGGTCATTCACAATGACACATATCTCCTCCAGCTCCAATTCAGCCATTTCCTTCGTAACTGGACCATACAATCTCAATCGTTCTATTGTTTCCTTTCCTAGTTGCAATATCAGAGGTCTGTGTGTATTTTGAGACTGTGGTTTGGGCTGCACCCAAACCTCCTTGCCATTTACTCTCAGAAAAATGGGACAAACCATTGCCATTGTTATGTTGTTAGTTTCTTCTGACCCCTTTTGATTAAAAATGCAATGCCCACCACTCCCATCAAAGCCAGTCTTATAAACAATTTCAACTTTTGATCTAGCAAGCTCCGTAAAATCCAATTGCAATGTACTTAACAGACGTTCACTTGTCATTTTGATCACTGGCAACAAGGGATATCTGATACCATTGTAGGGTTCATCAAGTTTTTGTGGTTTTGGAGTAATGCTTGAATTGAAAGTACTGACACGTTCATACCTGGGAAGTACTTGATACCCAAGCTCAGACTTTAAGATACCACGGGCTTTAATGTAGGGCACCTTACCAACCTGCAATGCTGACATCAAGAGGGAGGCTGCTGGAACAGTTATCTCGGATTTTGTCATGGGTTTACCATGACTAACAATTGAGTCTGCATACTCAGCAATATCCTTGTCCTTCTGGTATGCAATTCTACTCAAAAGCAATGCAGCAGCCTGTAATACAGATATATGTCCTCCATTTCGGCAAAGGAAATCATATCCTTATACAAGGAATCCATCCTAATATTTTGACGATGTTTTATAACATGAAGGATGTGCTTCCTAAATTTCTTAGGAGCTGGGGCCTCACTGTCTTGATCATCAGCTCCATCATCTTCATCATCACTCATGTCAATCAGCACTTTGTCAGAGAGATCACTAGTGTAAAATGGCTCAGTCCATTCAGGCTCTTCATATCTGTCCCTCTTACTAGAGGTAAGCTTTTTTCTCTTCTCACGTATTTTCATGAGCTCTCTGAACTTTTGTCTGTGAGTTTCCTCATCAAATTCCAGCTGAAAAAAGACATTGATCTCCAGTGAAAAATCAGTTAATGAAGCTTTTTTGTGCTTGGTGATGGTGCTTGTGAAAATTTTGTAGGCTTCCAATTTTGTTATGCTGTGAACTCCCATGGATGAGTGATAACATGAACGTGAACTTTCCTGTGAAATAGTGATGAGATAAAAGTCATGTGAACATATTACAAAATACATATAATTTGATTACAATTTGAAATGAAATCAACACACTTTAGATGTTTGAAGTACAATTATCTGAATTAATGTTAATTGTTATGATCACAATATTTCATAACTGAAATAACCTTATTTACAGCTTTGTTGTGCTTGCCGGTGAAAGCAATTGCTGGTCACAGAATCATTGAGTATTAAATGAACCCTCATCATACCGCACAGCTGTTGGACTGGCCACCACGGAATGATGGGTGGCCAACCCAGAAACATGTCTCAATTGTTGATAGAAATTAAAACTCCATTGTATAAAACTATATAGTATTTCACTGTGTTTAACATTGGATATGATGATTCAACCTAAATAATTTCAAATCGATTGGAAATGGTCAAAGAATGATCACAAATAGTGGATTAAACTCCTGAAAGCGCGCGCGCTATGTGTGTGTGTTTGCGGGTGGGGGAGCATTGAATTGGCTTCCTTTTATATAAATTTGATCAAAAAACACCCTTTAAAACGTTCTCTGATTGTATTATCGCTAGAAAAGATCATTTTGCACAGAATTTCACATTAAACATCAATTATGGGGATATAAAGGGTCCGCGTATGAAAATTTTGAAAATTCTGAAAATTCAAAATATCGAAATAACTTTGTTTGTGATGACACTGGAGCTCTGAAAATGTCATAAAACGACTTTTTGGGCCAAACAACCCTCAAGAACAGTATATATTGCCAATCAGACCATTCATTCATGCCTAAACTATCATGACCCCCCTTCGCGGCCCACTGTGTGTGGCTAGACTCTGATCCTGTACTAAATGCTTTAGTAACAAACAATATGCCTACTTGCGAAGAGTGTAAGATTAAGGGGCATAGCTATCGCTACTGTCCAAAAAGATACGACACTGTATTGCAGCACGATGATTCTTTGGTGGAATCTTTTTTTGGCTAATTTAAGTGCGCTGCCAGTTTTTACAGTTTTGTGAATTAAATGTTGAAAATGTTTCCTTGTCTTTAATGAGTGATTTTTATTTTTAACTTATTAAAAACTAATTCAAATTTAAAACAAATTCATTCATAGTTATTAGCAATTTAATACACACTTTACTTGAATTCATTGTATTCTTTCTGTATATTGACTGCTTATATAGTGCCGCGCCAGGAAAATACACCAAAATGAGAGCAAACTGGGGATTTTGAAAAAGTCATAAAATGCAAAGCCAGATCCAGCCAGAACCATTCTTGGTTGCATTTGTTAGGAAATTGTCAGTACTTAATGATAAAAGTGGTTTTTAGTGGGCACTAGAAGGCACTAACAACTATTCCTGGTCTTGAAACTGTGCAAAATGTGAAAAAGAGGGTCTAAATTTGCCTCTGCACGTAAATTTTTCCTAATCAAGAGGCATGATAAGGCCTATTTCACCAGAAAGATCATCCAAAACTGTTCTAGAAGGTATTAAAATAATCATTAAACCTTATAAGGCCATTTTTCTGAGACACAGGCATTTAGTGGCCATTTTCACTGCCAAAATTGTCTATATTTGGCGCGCTGCCAAAACTCAACATTTGAACATTTTTCAATTCGGTTTTTTGCACTTTATGTGTATATCTATTTACTAGGAGATGAGATAAAGAAAATGGGATTCAAAGAAAGTCGATTTTTGACCTAAACTATCATGGTGGCCCACTGTGATATGTTTCTTGAGATCACCTTTCTTAGCACTACAATATTAACATTTCTTGCACTTGTAGGGTTTCTCTCCTGTGTGAGTACGTTGGTGTCGGACAAGATTTGAATTAACAGAGCAAGTATATAATATGAACATTCCTTGCACTTGTAGGGTTTCTCTCCGGTGTGAGTCCTCATATGTATTGTGAGATAACCTTTCTGAGCACAAGAATATGAACATAGGTTACACTTGTAGGGTTCCTCCCTTAGGTGAAAACGTTGGTGTTGGACAAGACTTGATTGAACAGAGCAAGCAAATGAACATTCCTTGCACTTATATAGGGTTTCTCTCCCGTGTGAGTCCTTATTAAATGTAATGTGAGTCGACTTTTCTGAGCACTACGAAATGAACACTGGTTACACTTGTAGGGTTTCTCTCCCGTGTGATTACCCAAATGTTTCACAAGATCACTGTTCTCAGTACATGTATAAGAACAATCGTCACATTTAAAAGCTTTCCCAACAGGCGTTCAAGCATTTTCTTTGCCAAACCTGTCTGATGATCGTAAAGAATTTAATTGGACATTTGTAGTAGACATATCATTGATTGTTTCACCATGATGTTCTCTGATGTGTTCCACAAAGAACTCATCATAAAGGAAGTGAGCTTCACATTGCGGACAAATGAAACCATGTGATATTTCAGCCAACTCCTCCTGTTCAGTTTTTATTTCCTTTTTGATCGGAATTAGATTTTGGTTACTCTTTTCTTTATCAGCAGCTGTTGAGGATCTTTTACTCCGTGTTAACATGACAAATTTTCCTGGATAAATAACTGATTAATAAAATAAAAACACAGAAACTATCCAAATTCAAATAACTAAATCTTTAAAATTACCAGTGGGTATAAATAAATGGAATAGTATTAAATTATAATATTTAGACCACGCTTAGACATCCATATTCTATCAGTACCATGCAGCAATAATGCAGTTAATATATGTCATATCATAGTTATATAATAAAAATAACAAATAATATAGATTGTGGAAAAACGATAAATTTACTAATTTCTACTATTGAGACAAGATAAAATCAGTGAGATTCAATTAATGGTTAGATAATAGATGTACATATCAAAGATTATGATTGTTTCCTCATTTATTTGTGCAATAAACTGCAAAATTCTTTTCTTTAAATCAGAAAAATTCATTTCAAAACTAGCTCTAAAAATTTGTGGAAATTATTTCTAGACTATCAATGCAATCATTGATCATACCTCGTTGTTCAACTAATAATATAAAAGTGGAAGTAAACTGACATCCTTTACCCGTGAATACGCTGGTACCTATCTAATAAAATGTGACTGATCAGAACAAGTATAAAAGTTGTTATGTGAGAACATTCCTGGAAATTTTAGAGTTTCTCTGCCGTGTGAGTCCTCATATGTTTCTTGAGATCACTTTTCTGAGCACTACAATATGAACATCCATTACACTTGTAGGGTTTCTCTCCCGTGTGAGTCCTCATATGTCTCTTGAGATCACTTTTCTGAGCACTACAATATGAACATTCCTTACACTTGTAGGGTTTCTCTCCTGTGTGAGTCCTCATATGTTTTATGAGATCACTTTTCTTAGCACTACAAAATGAACATTCCTTACACTTGTGGGGTTTCTCTCCCGTGTGAGTCCTCATACAATGACTCTTGAGATTACATTTCTTAGCACTGCAAAATGAACATTCCTTACACTTGTACGGTTTCTCTCCCGTGTGAGTCCTCGTATGTCTCTTGAGATCACTTTTCTTAGCACTGCAAAATGAACATTCCTTACACTTGTAGGGTTTCTCTCCCGTGTGAGTCCTCATATGTCTCTTGAGATCACTTTTCTGAGCACTGCAAAATGAACATTCCTTACACTTGTAGGGTTTCTCTCCCGTGTGAGTACGTTGGTGTCTGATAAGCGTTGATTTAAAAGAGCAAGCAAATGAACATTCTATACACTTGTAAGGTTTCTCCCCCGTGTGAATACCTAAATGTTTCACAAGATCACTGTTCTCAGTACAGGTATAAGAACAATCGTCACATTTAAAAGCTTTCCCAACAGAAGAAGTATTTTCTTTGCCAAACCTGTCTGATGATCGTAAAGAATTTAATTGGACATTTGTAGTAGACATATCATTGATTGTTTCACCATGATGTTCTCTGATGTGTTCCACAAAGAACTCATCATAAAGGAAGTGAGCTTCACATTGCGGACAAATGAAACCATGTGATATTTCAGCCAACTCCTCCTGTTCAGTTTTTATCTCCTTTTTGATCGGAATTAAATTTTTGTTAGTCTTTTCTTTATCAGCAACGGTTGATGATCTTTTACTCCGTGTTAACATTACAAATTTTCCTGGATAAATAACTGATTAATAAAATAAAAACACAGAAACTATCCAAATTCAAATAACTAAATCTTTAATTACCAGTGGGTATAAATAAATGGAATAGTATTAAATTATAATATTTAGACCACGCTCAGGTCCATTCTAAACATCAAATGGCCTAAAGGTATGATGAGCAACAAAGCATTGTATGAAAGGTGCAAAGTTAAAAAGTTATCTAAGCGTATCGAACACCAGCGGTGGAAGATGTTTGGACACATTCTCAGGAGTATGGAGAACACCCCAGCCCAAACGGCTCTCTCTTTTGCTATTGAATCAGATAATTTATTCACTGGAAGATTGGGGAGACCTAGAATGAACTTGTTATCGGTTTTAAGAAATGATTTAATTAGTAGAAATTTGCAAATGGACAACTCTCATGAATTGAACGAAATTAGAGATATAGCTGCATGCAAAAGATGTTGGGAAAATCTTTTTCAAGGGTACAGTTTACCGCATTAAGGTATTTTTAAGAATCATTTTTGTTGGTAAAATCCTGTTTTATAATAATAATAATAAGACCACGCTTACAGCCCAGTTCCACGGCTCAGTTTTGCGACCAGATTTGACACAAAACTCCGCGAAAAGAGTTTTGAAAGGCAAAACTCCGCGAAGGCAGTTTTGTTTACAATGTGCGTTCCCACGGTTGGTATTTTTGGACGCAGATTTGCGCGCGCACGTGGGCGCATTATAATGAAATGTACCACGCGAGCGCCCAGGTTAGAACTGCTTTCACGGAGTTTTGGGTCATATCAAAAATATTTCTCTGTGCGGAGAAATATTTTTGAATTTCATTTCCGGTCGCAAAAATGTGAGAAAAAATGTGAGCAAATCTGGTTGCAAAACTGAGCCGTGGAACTGCAGGGTAAGACATCCATATTCTATCAGTACCATGCAGTAATAATGCAGTTAATATATGTCATATCATAGTTATATAATAAAAATAACAAATAATATAGATTGTGGAAAAACGATAAATTTACTAATTTCTACTATTGAGACAAGACAAAATCAGTGGGATTCAATTAATGGTTAGATAATAGATATATATCAAAGATTATGATTGTTTCCTCATTTATTTGTGCAAAAAACTGCAAAATTCTTTTCTTTAAATCAGAAAAATTAATTTCAAACATAGCTCTAAACATTTGTGGAAATTATTTCTAGACTATAAATGCAATCATTGATCATACCTCGTTGTTGAACTAATAATATAAAAGTGGAAGTAAACTGACATTATTTACCCGTAAATACGCTGGTATCTAATAAAGTGTGACTGATCAGAACAAGTATAAAAGTTGTTATATGAGAACATTCCTGGCAATTTTAGAGTTTCTCTCCCGTGTGAGTACGTTGGTGTCTGACAAGACTTGATTTAACAGAGAAAGTATATGAACATTCATTACACTTGTAGGGTTTCTCTCCCGTGTGAGTCCTCATATGTTTCTTGAGATCACATTCCTGAGCACTACAATATGAACATTCCTTACACTTGTAGGGTTTTTCTCCCGTGTGAGTCCTCATATGTCTCTTGAGATCACTTTTCTTAGCACTACAAAATGAACATTCCTTGCATTTGTAGGGTTTCTCTCCTGAGTGAGTCCTCATATGTAATGTGAGATTACCTTTCTGAGCACTAGAATATGAACATTCCTTGCACTTGTAGGGTTTCTCTCCCGTGTGAGTCCTCATATGTCTCTTGAGATCACTTTTCTTAGCACTACAAAATGAACATTCCTTACACTTGTAGGGTTTCTCTCCCGTGTGAATACCCAAATGTTTCACAAGATCACTGTTCTCAGTACAGGTATAAGAACAATCGTCACATTTAAAAGCTTTCCCAACAGAAGAAGTATTTTCTTTGCCAAACCTGTCTGATGATCGTAAATAATTAAACAAGACATTTGTAGTAGACATATCATTGATTGTTTCACCATGATGTTCTCTAATGTGTTCCACAAAGAACTCATCATAAAGGAAGTGAGCTTCACATTTCGGACAAATAAAACCATGTGATATTTCAGCCAACTCCTCCTGTTCAGTTTTTATTTCCTTTTTGATCGGAAAATTTACATTTTTGTTAGTCTTTTCTTTATCAGCAACGGTTGAGGATCTTTTACTCCGTGTTAACATGACAAATTTTCCTGGATAAATAACTGATTAATAAAATAAAAACACAGAAACTATCCAAATTCAAATAACTAAATCTTTAATTACCAGTGGGTATAAATAAATGGAATAGTATTAAATTATAATATTTAGACCACGCTCAGGTCCATTCTAAACATCAAATGGCCTAAAGGTATGATGAGCAACAAAGCATTGTATGAAAGGTGCAAAGTTAAAAAGTTATCTAAGCGTATCGAACACCAGCGGTGGAAGATGTTTGGACACATTCTCAGGAGTATGGAGAACACCCCAGCCCAAACGGCTCTCTCTTTTGCTATTGAATCAGATAATTTATTCACTGGAAGATTGGGGAGACCTAGAATGAACTTGTTATCGGTTTTAAGAAATGATTTAATTAGTAGAAATTTGCAAATGGACAACTCTCATGAATTGAACGAAATTAGAGATATAGCTGCATGCAAAAGATGTTGGGAAAATCTTTTTCAAGGGTACAGTTTACCGCATTAAGGTATTTTTAAGAATCATTTTTGTCGGTAAGATCCTGTTTTATAATAATAATAATAAGACCACGCTTACAGCCCAGTTCCACGGCTCAGTTTTGCGACCAGATTTGACACAAAACTCCGCGAAAAGAGTTTTGAAAGGCAAAACTCCGCGAAGGCAGTTTTGTTTACAATGTACGTTCCCACGGTTGGTATTTTTGGACGCAGATTTGCGCGCGCACGTGGGCGCATTATAATGAAATGTATCACGCGAGCGCCCAGGTTAGAACTGCTTTCACGGAGTTTTGGGTCATATCAAAAATATTTCTCCGTGCGGAGAAATATTTTTGAATTTCATTTCCGGTCGCAAAAATGTGAGAAAAAATGTGAGCAAATCTGGTTGCAAAACTGAGCCGTGGAACTGCAGGGTAAGACATCCATATTCTATCAGTACCATGCAGTAATAATGCAGTTAATATATGTCATATTATAGTTATATAATAAAAATAACAAATAATATAGATTGTGGAAAAACGATAAATTTACTAATTTCTACTATTGAGACAAGACAAAATCAGTGGGATTCAATTAATGGTTAGATAATAGATATATATCAAAGATTATGATTGTTTCCTCATTTATTTGTGCAACAAACTGCAAAATTCTTTTCTTTAAATCAGAAAAATTAATTTCAAACATAGCTCTAAACATTTGTGGAAATTATTTCTAGACTATAAATGCAATCATTGATCATACCTCGTTGTTGAACTAATAATATAAAAGTGGAAGTAAACTGACATTATTTACCCGTAAATACGCTGGTATCTAATAAAGTGTGACTGATCAGAACAAGTATAAAAGTTGTTATATGAGAACATTCCTGGCAATTTTAGAGTTTCTCTCCCGTGTGAGTACGTTGGTGTCTGACAAGACTTGATTTAACAGAGAAAGTATATGAACATTCATTACACTTGTAGGGTTTCTCTCCCGTGTGAGTCCTCATATGTTTCTTGAGATCACATTCCTGAGCACTACAATATGAACATTCCTTACACTTGTAGGGTTTTTCTCCCGTGTGAGTCCTCATATGTCTCTTGAGATCACTTTTCTTAGCACTACAAAATGAACATTCCTTGCATTTGTAGGGTTTCTCTCCTGAGTGAGTCCTCATATGTAATGTGAGATTACCTTTCTGAGCACAAGAATATGAACATTCCTTGCACTTGTAGGGTTTCTCTCCCGTGTGAGTCCTCATATGTCTCTTGAGATCACTTTTCTTAGCACTACAAAATGAATATTCCTTACACTTGTAGGGTTTCTCTCCCGTGTGAATACCCAAATGTTTCACAAGATCACTGTTCTCAGTACAGGTATTTAAAGAACAATCGTCACATTTAAAAGCTTTCCCAACAGAAGAAGTATTTTCTTTGCCAAACCTGTCTGATGATCGTAAAGAATTTAATTGGACATTTGTAGTAGACATATCATTGATTGTTTCACCATGATGTTCTCTGATGTGTTCCACAAAGAACTCATCATGAAGGAAGTGAGCTTCACATTGCGGACAAATGAAACCATGTGATATTTCAGTCAACTCCTCCTGTTCAGTTTTTATTTCCTTTTTGATCGGAAAATTTACATTTTTGTTAGTCTTTTCTTTATCAACATTACAAACTTTCCTGGATAAATAACTGATTAAGGCCAGAGGGGGAAGGGGGGGGGGGGGGGTAAATTATGGCACTTTTCTAGTTTTCACATATTTGATAATAGCTGCTGGAGACGAACAAGAAGAAAAAAACCGGATCAAAATCTGACCTTGCGCTTTTGAGATATCGCACGCTAAAATTTGAGGTTTACCTGTAATTACATGCTAAACTGGATCTTAAACGGCTGTAACTTTTTTGACCTTACGATTCCTTAGTTGAGAAAACCGGCCACTCCCTGATCTTGATTCTTGAGGTTTGGTACAGTGGTTTCTTGGACAATTATTCTCATACCTTACAAGACATATATTTATGTGGATCATAATTACATAATTAGCGGGGATCGAAATTATGGGGGAACGAAAATATGGGGATTTTTTTCAGAAATACAGTAATTCAGTACGAAATTTCAGAAATTCAGTACGAATATGGGGATTTTTTCCCATTTTTTCCAAAAATCCCCAAATTTCGTACCATATAAATATGTCTCGTAAGGCATAATATATGGAGCAGCGATATTTTTTATTTGACTCGGTTCTCGAATCATGAGGTTAACTATACAATTTTTGACATGTCAAAAATTCGGAAAATTTAATTGGTTAACCTCATAATTCGAGAAACGAGTCGAATAAAAAAATCGCTGAACCTAATATCTATATACTTGTCCCAGGAACCACTGTACCAAATCTCAATATCAGGGGGTGGTTGGTTTTCTCAACTAAGGGTTTTTACAAAATGTGTTTTGAGATAGATGCAATTCACTGTCTTCAAAATTTTGAATATTCACTGGAATGTATCACAGTTCGTTAGTTAGGACTTTGTATTATACACTTAATAACGTTTACTTACCTGGGGGTCCTTTCCGAAAAAACGCTTAAGTGGCACTTAAGTGTATGGTCGACTTAAGTAGAATTAGTGAAAGTGTTTCCGAAACTCTACTTATGTATTTCCCAAAGTTTACTTATTCTGTTTCAAGTTTGAGACTTGAGTACAAAAATGTACTTAAGTCGCGTTCAAAAATCAACTTAAGTGCAACTTAAGTGCACGTGTGAAAGCCGCGCTAAGACTCGCACTAAAACTCTGACCATTTGTACAATCGTGATGCGCGTTCTGTTTGAGATTTTACAGTTTATTGAACGCGTCTCTTGTTGTGCGGAAAAAGTAGCGCTTAGTTTCTTTGGTTCTGGGAGTTACCTACAAACTCTTCACATTATCGAACTATGGGATAGCACCATCATCCATTTATAAAATAATTGTTCGGGTATTTTGTGCAGTTTCTGACAGTTTCTGACAGTTGACGATTCGAGCAGACTAAGTCTTATTAAGGATGGTTTCTAGGACTATGGTCAATTCCCAAGTTGTCTTGGTGCAATTGATGGAACTCAAATAAGAATCAAACGAGGAGATTTATGTGAATCGCAAAGGATATCATTCGATTAACGTACAGCTGATATGCTCGATGAATCAGGAAATCACGTCATGCACAGTGAAGTGGCCCGGTTCGGTACACGACAGCACGATATGGAACAATAGCACAATTTGCTCCCAGTTAAACCGTGGCTACACTGGATGGCTGATAGGCGACAGTGGTTATCCGCTTAGGGAGAAAATAATTCTGTAATTATACTATTAGTTTGCAACCTTTCAAAAACTTGTTTTACTTTTAATATTTCGAGTTAGAGTTACAATTTAGGCACTTAAGTAACCTCTAGACCATACTTACATTTTAAGTGAAAAATACCGCACTTAAGTACGTACTTAGGTAAAATTCTCTACTTAAGTAAAAATACTTAAGTGCGAAATATGACTTAAGTTTTTGCACTTAAGTCTCATTTCGAAAATACTTATTGCTTAACTTTTTACTTAAGTACCATTTTTGACTTAAGTACCGTTTCGGAAAGGACCCCCTGGCCATTCCCTAAATGATTTTAGCCACTTTCAGTAATTAATGTCCTTGTATTTAAACTTGTCCCCAAACTTATTATATATCACCCTTCTCTCCAACAATACCAACAAAATCAATTCCTGTAACGGGCCCTTTTATTGGCCATCCCACTTTGTAGTCGACAGGGTTGATACCTGCTGCTTTTACACGAACTAGTATGTTGTCTGCTCCACATTTTGGTTTTTTGTAGTCCGATTTAAAGGAGAGGTTACCTCGACTAAAAACAGCAGCTTTCATGTTAGAGTAACCTGAATTTAGTTATTTAGTTAGTGTTTCTTAAGTAGGTAGTAAAATGTGGGATTGTTTTAGCTTTTTAGCACTGAATTATTTAATCGTTAAAAAGATTTCAGAGCAGCATATTATTTAACTGTTTGACAGTGTTTCATTTTGACGGAGGAGGAGCGAATTAACAATAATTCAAAGTCAGAAACAACATAATCTTTAAACAAATTTCAGTAATAATTCTGACAACAATTCATCCAAGATTCAATTTAATAAAGATTAACTATATACAAATTTTAAATTTCAATCATGAATCATCAGTAGTGACTATAAGTTCATTTTCAATCGTATACACAATACACGTTTATATATAATATTTATTTACTGGTTACTCAACAAAGCTTAAGTATAGATAAAAATCATTTAAAGAACATACAAAATCTAAAGAAATTCAAAACATTTTCTGGGTCATTTTCTAATCCATTTTGAAGACTATCTTTCCTTTGGCCCTCCTACTTTTCAGCAGATCAAAACCCTTCTCAACTGCCTCAGCAGTAAAAGGTAACTCGTCAGCTATAACTGGTTTTAAATACTCCTGAACTCCTTCTGAGTTTGTCCATCCATCATCCACTAACTTTGCAAGTTGTTGTTGATCTTCAGGGTTCTGTTTCGTGAGCATCGTATGCTGGTTAGCTTTGCTGCCAATGGTGAACTTTCTTATCCACATATCTGCACTTCCAGTGATTACAACGTACTGCCCATGCTTTTTATCTGCAGTGGCAGGTTTCAGTAATTCCATTGAAATGTTTTTGTAGTCTTCCCCACCACCACCATTAGTGGCAGCATCATAAATCACATCAAACTGTAATTCAGGGTTAATAGCCCCTGATTCATTAAGACAGTAATCTTTAATAGTCTGCTTAGTGTAATCTATAACGTCAGTTGCTCCCAGAGATTTCACAAATTCCTCATTTTTACCACTGCAAACCCCAACAATATCTTTAGCTCCCATAGATTTAGCAACCTGGATCCCAGCAGTACCACACCCACCACTAGCCCCAATTACCAGAACACGATCATCCTTACAAAGTTTACCATAGTCCCTCAAAGCTTGAAGAGATGTCATATACGTAGTGAACATTGCCGCAGCTTCCACGAATGAAGCACTTTTAGGTTTGTGAGCCACTCCAGCAAGTGGAGCAATGGTAAATTCAGCTAAACTACCATTTAATGTTCCACCATAAACTTCATCTCCGACCTTAAACTCGTCCCCAACCTTATCACCTTTCTCTTCAACAATACCAGCAAAATCAATACCTGTAACGGGCCCTTTTATTGGCCACCCCACTTTGTAGTCGACAGGGTTGATAGCTGCTGCTTTTACACGAATTAGTATGTTGTCTGCTCCACATTTTGGTTTTTTGTAGTCCAATTCAAAAGAGAGGTTACCTCTACTAAAAACAGCAGCTTTCATGCTAGAGTAACCTGAATATAGATAGTTAGTTAGTGTTTATAAAGTAGGTAGTAAAATGTGGGATTGTTTTAGCACTTAATTATTTAATCGCTAAAAAGATTTCAGTGCAGCATATTATTTAACTGTTTGACATTGTTTCATTTTGACGGAGGAGGAGCGAATTAACAATAATTCAAAGTCAGAAACAACAATATCTTTTTTTAAAATTCAGCAATAATTCTGACATCAATAATCTAAGATCCGAGATAAAGATTAACTAATATACAAATTTTCAATTTTCAATCATAAATCATCAGTAGTGACTATAGTTCAGTTTGAATCGTATACACAATACACATTTATATATATTATTTTACTGGTTACTCAACAAAGCTTAAGTATAGACAAAAATCACTTAAAGAACATACAACATCCAAAGAAATTCAAAACCATCTAAACGTCACGGTATTTAGTAGGGAGCTGAACATTTTCTAATCCATTTTAAAGACTATCTTTCCTTTGGCCCTCCTACTTTTCAGCAGATCAAAACCCTTCTCAACTGCCTCAGCAGTAAAAGGTAACTCCTCAGCTATAACTGGTTTTAAATACTCCTGAACTCCTTCTGAGTTTGTCCAGCCATCATCCACTAACTTAGCAAGTTGTTGCAAATCTTCAGGGTTCTGTTTCGCGAGCATCATATGTTGGTTAGCTTTGAAGCCGATGGTGTACATCCGAATCCACATATCCCTACTACCATTGATTGCAACGTACTGCCCATGTTTTTTATCTGCAGTGGCAGGTTTCAGTAATTCCATTGAAATGTTTTTGTAGTCCTCGCCACCCCCACTATTAGTGGCAGCATCATAAATCACATCAAACTGTAATTCAGGGTTAATAGCCCCTGATTCATTAAGACAGTAATCTTTAATGGTCTGCTTAGTGTAATCTATAACATCAGTTGCTCCAAGTGATTTTACAAATTCCTCATTTTTACCACTGCAAACCCCAACAATATCTTTAGCTCCCATAGATTTAGCAACCTGGATCCCAGCAGTACCACACCCACCACTAGCCCCAATTACCAGAACACGATCATCCTTAACAAGGTTACCATAGTCCCTTAATGATTGAAGAGATGTTGAATACGTAGTGCACATTGCAGCAGCTTCCACGAATGAAGCACTTTTAGGTTTGTGAGCCACTCCAGCAAGTGGAGCAATGGTAAATTCAGCTAAACTACCATTGAATGTTCCACCATAAACTTCATCTCCAACCTTAAACTCGTCCCCAACCTTATCACCCTTCTCTTCAACAATACCAGCAAAATCAATACCTGTAACGGGCCCTTTTATTGGCCATCCCACTTTGTAGTCGATAGGGTTGATACCCGCTGCTTTTACACGAACTAGTATGTTGTCTGCTCCACATTTTGGTTTTTTGTAGTCCGATTTAAAGGAGAGGTTACCTCGACTAAAAACAGCAGCTTTCATGTTAGAGTAACCTGAATTTAGTTATTTAGTTAGTTTTCTAAAGTAGATAGTAAATGTGGGATTGTTTTAGCACTGAATTATTTAATGGCTAAAAAGATTTCAGTGCAGCATATTATTTAACTGTTTGACAGTGTTTTATTTTGACGGAGGATCAGGAGGAGCGAATTAACGATAATTCAAAGTCAGAAACAACAATATCTTTAAACAAATTTCAGTAATAATTCTGACAACAATTCATACAAGATTCAAAATAAAGAACATTCTTTACACTTGTAGGGTTTCTCTCCCGTGTGAACTGTGAGTCCTCATAATATGTTTCTTGAGATCACCTTTCTTAGCACTACAATATGGACACTCTTTACACTTGTATGGTTTCTCTCCCGTATGAGTCCTCATATGTTTCTTGAGATCAATTTTTTGAGCACTGTGAAAAGAACATTGGTTACACTTGTAGGGTTTCTCTCCCGTGTGAGTCCTCATATGCGCTGTGAGGTGACCTTTATGAGCACTACAATGTGAACATTCGTTACACTTGTAGGGTTTCTCTCCTGTGTGAGTACGTTGGTGTTGGACAAGATTTGATTTAACAGAGCAAGTATATGAACATTCATTACACTTGTAGGGTTTCTCTCCGGTGTGAGTCCTCATATGTTTCTTGAGATCATCTTTCTTAGCACTACAATATGGACACTCTTTACACTTGTATGGTTTCTCTCCCGTATGAGTCCTCATATGTTTCTTGAGATCAATTTTTTGAGCACTGTGAAAAGAACATTGGTTACACTTGTAGGGTTTCTCTCCCGTGTGAGTCCTCATATGCGCTGTGAGGTGACCTTTATGAGCACTACAATATGAACATTCGTTACAATTGTAGGGTTTCTCTCCTGTGTGAGTACGTTGGTGTTGGACAAGATTTGATTTAACAGAGCAAGTATATGAACATTCATTACACTTGTAGGGTTTCTCTCCGGTGTGAGTCCTCATATGTATTGTGAGATGACCTTTCTGAGCACAAGAATATGAACATTGGTTACACTTGTAGGGTTCCTCCCTTGTGTGAATACGTTGGTGTTGGACAAGACTTGATTGAACAGAGCAAGCAAATGAACATTCCTTGCACTTATAGGGTTTCTCTCCCGTGTGAGTCTTTATTAAATGTAATGTGAGTCGACTTTTCTGAGCACTACAATATGAACATTCGTTACACTTGTAGGGTTTCTCTCCTGTGTGAGTACGTTGGTGTTGGACAAGATTTGATTTAACAGAGCAAGTATATGAACATTCATTACACTTGTAGGGTTTCTCTCCGGTGTGAGTCCTCATATGTTTCATGAGATCATCTTTCTTAGCACTACAATATGGACATTCTTTACACTTGTATGGTTTCTCTCCCGTATGAGTCCTCATATGTTTCTTGAGATCACTTTTTTGAGCACTGTGAAAAGAACATTGGTTACACTTGTAGGGTTTCTCTCCCGTGTGAGTCCTCATATGCGCTGTGAGGTGACCTTTATGAGCACTACAATATGAACATTCGTTACAATTGTAGGGTTTCTCTCCTGTGTGAGTACGTTGGTGTTGGACAAGATTTGATTTAACAGAGCAAGTATATGAACATTCATTACACTTGTAGGGTTTCTCTCCGGTGTGAGTCCTCATATGTATTGTGAGATGACCTTTCTGAGCACAAGAATATGAACATTGGTTACACTTGTAGGGTTCCTCCCTTGTGTGAATACGTTGGTGTTGGACAAGACTTGATTGAACAGAGCAAGCAAATGAACATTCCTTGCACTTATAGGGTTTCTCTCCCGTGTGAGTCTTTATTAAATGTAATGTGAGTCGACTTTTCTGAGCACTGCGAAATGAACATTCGTTACACGTGTAGGGTTTCTCTCCCGTGTGAATACCTAAATGATTCACAAGATCACTATTCTCAGTACATGTATAAGAACAATCGTCACATTTAAAAGCTTTCTCAACACTGCCAAAATTTGCAAAAAGGAAGCAAGTGACATTTTTGAAAATATGGAGTTCTATACACCGTTGGAAAAGTCTCGCTGAGCTCTATTTCACTAACTAAGTCTTATTAACAGCAGATGTAACTAAAATTTCAAAGTGGGAAGTATCTACACGATTTTCACCATTCTTAGCAGTATTTGATTACTCACGATAATCAAAAAGGAAGTAACTGCAAAGATACTTCCTTTTTGCATATTTCCAGTACTTGCTTCCTTTTTGCGTGTTTTTCAACTAAAGATACTTCCTTTTTGCATAATCTCATCTCAAGATACTTCCTTATTGCAGATTTTAACCTTGAGATTACTTATTTGGCATAGTGCCATCCTGCAGATACTTCCTAATTACCAAACAGGGTGAACAGTAAATGTCAAAGGAGGAGGACTGAGGGGAACTGAGGAGGAGGGGGAGGAGGAGTAAAACTGAGGAGGACTGAGGAGAAGGAGGAGGAGGACTGAGGAGGAGGACTGAAGAGGGGGACTGAGGAAGAGGAGGGGAGGCGGAGGAGGATTGAGGAGGATGACTGATGACTCGTGAGGAATGATGAGGAGGGGAAGGAGGTGGATGAGGAGGATGAGGAGAATGAGGAGGACTAAGGAGGAGGAGGAGGAGAAGGAGGACTGGTGAAGAGGATTGATGAGGAGGAGGACTGATGAGGAGGAGGAGGAGGACTGAGGAGAAACTGAGAAATATGAGGAGGAGGACTGAGGAGGAGGATGAGGACTGAGGAGGACTGAGGAGGACTGAGGAGGATGGCCGAGGAGGATGGCTGAGACTCTGAGAGGGAGGAGGAGGAGGAGTAAAACTGAGAAGGACTGAGGAGAAGGAGGATGAGGACTGAGGAGGACTGAAGAGTAGGACTGAAGAGGGGGACTGAGGAGGAGGAGGGGAGGCGGAGGAGGACTGAGGAGGATGACTGATGACTGGTGAGGAATGATGAGGAGGGGAAGGAGGTGGATGAGGAGGATGAGGAGGACTAAGGAGGAGGAGGAGGAAAAGGAGTACTGGTGAAGAGGATTGATGAGGAGGAGGACTGATGAGGAGCAGGAGGAGGACTGACGAGGAGGAGGACTGAGGAGAAATATGAGGAGGAGGACTGAGGAGGACTGAGGAGGATGGCTGAGGAGGATGGCTGAGAGGGAGGAGGAGGAGGAGGAGTAAAACTGAGAAGGACTGAGGAGAAGGAGGATGAGGACTGAGGAGTAGGACTGAAGAGGGGGACTGAGGAGGAGGAGGGGAGGCGGAGGAGGACTGTGGAGGATGACTGATGAGGAATGATGAGGAGGGAAAGGAGGTGGATGAGGAGGATGAGGAGGACTAAGGGGAAGGAGGAGGAGAAGGAGGACTAGTGAAGAGGATTAATGAGGAGGAGGAGGAGGACTGATGAGGAGGAGGAGGAGGACTGAGGAGGAGGAGGACTGAGGAGTAAAAGTAGGAGGATGACTGAGGAGGGGAGGAGGAAGAGGACTGAGGAGGATCAGGATGACCCAGGAGGACCAAGGAGGAGGAGGAGGAGGCGGAGGACTGAGGAGGAGGAGGACTGAGGAGGAGGAGGAGGACTGATAAGGACTGAAGGAGGAGGACTGAGAAGAACTGAGGAGGAGGAGGAGTACTGAATATGAGGAGGAGGGGGACTGGGGGAGACAGAGGAGGAGGACTGAGGAGGAGGAGGACTAAGGAGAAGGATGAGGAGGAGGACTGAGAAGGAGGACTGAGGACTGAAGAGGAAGAGGAGGAGGATGACCCGGGAGGAGGAGGAGGAGGACCCAGGAGGAGGACCAAGGAGGAGGACCCAGGAGGAGGACCCAGGAGGAGGACCCAGGAGGAGGACCCAGGAGGAGGACCCAGGAGGAGGACCCAGGAGGAGGAGGAGGTGGACTGAGAAGGAGGAGGACTGAGGAGTACTGAGGAGGAGGAGGAGGACTGAATAGGAGGAGGAGGAGGACTGGGGGAGACAGAGGAGGAGGACTGAGGAGGAGGAGGACTAAGGAGAAGGATGAGGAAGACTGAGGACTGAAGACTGAAGAAGAAGAGGAGGAGGATGAAAAGGAGGAGGACTGAGGATCAGGAGGAGGGGGAGGAGGATGAGGGGAGGAGGAGGAGGACTGAGGAGGACTGAGGAGAAGGAGGAGGAGGACTGAGGAGGGCTGAGTAGGAGGACTGAGAGGGAGGAGGAGGAGGAGGAAGACTGAGGAGGAGGAGGAGAAGGACTGAAGAGGAGAAGGAGGAGAAGGACCCAGAAGGAGGACCAGGAAGAGGACCCAGGAGGAGGACCCATGAGGAGGAAGAGGAGGAGGAGGAGGAGGAGGTGGAGGAGGAAGAGGAGGAGGAAGCATCTAAATGTTATTTCCATTTTTGTTATTTTTTGTTCGTTTTTGTCCGCTCTATTTTTTGTCCGTTTTGAAAATATAGGGTACCGAACGGAAAAAAAACATGAGCCCCCCTTCTATTATATTTCAGAGTTTCATTGTCTAATATTTTCATAATTTTGGACTGAAAAACCATTATTTTCAACACGAATTAAGCTTGCATAATGACACAAAATAATGAATTATGTACGGAAGCATCTACATAGTTGAATACCAAAACACTGCAAAAAGGAAGTAAGTAGTCGAAAATCTGCAAAAAGGAAGTATCTCGCTTTGGCAGTCAAATTTTTTTCTGGCAGTGAAAACGGAACCCGTTTTCATGAAAAATTGGTTCAAATAATCGGAATAAAATTGTTCAGAAAAGTTACCCTGGACGATTCTTAATGTATTCAAACAAAAATTTAAAGCATTATGCAGTCAGCTGAACGTCAGAAACGGGTCTAGTTCACATACTTTTATCTCAAAACGATGATTTTGCAGATACTTCCTTCTTGCAAAAAGGGGCAGAACAGGTGAAGCATTTTCTTTGCCAAACCTGTCTGATGATAGTAAAAAATTTAATTGGACATTTGTAGTAGACATATCATTGATTGTTTCACCATGATGTTCTCTGATGTGTTCCACAAAGAACTCATCATGAAGGAAGTGAGCTTCACATTTCGGACAAATAAAACCATGTGATATTTCAGCCAACTCCTCCTGTTCAGTTTTTATTTCCTTTTTGATCGGAATTACATTTTTGTTACTCTTTTCTTTATCAGCAGCTGTTGAGGATCTTTTACTCCGTGTTAACATTACAAACTTTCCTGGATAAATAACTGATTAATAAAATAAAAACACAGAAACTATCCAAATTCAAATAACTAAATCTTTAATTACCAGTGGGTATAAATAAATGGAATAGTATTAAATTATAATATTTAGACCACGCTTAGACATCCATATTCTATCGGTACCATGCAGCAATAATGCAGTTAATATATGTCATATCATAGTTATATAATAAAAATAACAAATAATATAGATTGTGGAAAAACGATAACGACTAATTTCTACTATTGAGACAAGACAAAATCAGTGGGATTCAATTAATGGTTAGATAATAGATGTATATATCAAAGATTATGATTGTTTCCTCATTTATTTGTGCAATAAACTGCAAAATTCTTTTCTTTAAATCAGAAAAATTCATTTCAAAACTAGCTCTAAAAATTTGTGGAAATTATTTCTAGACTATTATATCAATGCAATCATTGATCATACCTCGTTGTTCAACTAATAATATAAAAGTGGAAGTAAACTGACATCCTTTACCCGTGAATACGCTGGTACCTATCTAATAAAATGTGACTGATCAGAACAAGTATAAAAGTTGTTATGTGAGAACATTCCTGGAAATTTTAGAGTTTCTCTGCCGTGTGAGTCCTCATATGTTTCTTGAGATCACTTTTCTGAGCACTACAATATGAACATCCATTACACTTGTAGGGTTTCTCTCCCGTGTGAGTCCTCGTATGTTTCTTGAGATCACTTTTCTGAGCACTACAATATGAACATTCCTTACACTTGTAGGGTTTCTCTCCCGTGTGAGTCCTCGTATGTTTCTTGAGATCACTTTTCTGAGCACTACAATATGAACATTCCTTACACTTGTAGGGTTTCTCTCCCGTGTGAGTCCTCATATGTCTCTTGAGATCACTTTTCTGAGCACTACAATATGAACATTCCTTACACTTGTAGGGTTTCTCTCCCGTGTGAGTCCTCGTATGTTTCTTGAGATCACTTTTCTGAGCACTACAATATGAACATTCCTTACACTTGTAGGGTTTCTCTCCCGTGTGAGTCCTCATATGTCTCTTGAGATCACTTTTCTGAGCACTACAATATGAACATTCCTTACACTTGTAGGGTTTCTCTCCTGTGTGAGTCCTCATATGTTTTATGAGATCACTTTTCTTAGCACTACAAAATGAACATTCCTTACACTTGTGGGGTTTCTCTCCCGTGTGAGTCCTCATACAATGTCTCTTGAGATCACATTTCTTAGCACTGCAAAATGAACATTCCTTACACTTGTAGGGTTTCTCTCCCGTGTGAATCCTCGTATGTCTCTTGAGATCACTTTTCTTAGCACTGCAAAATGAACATTCCTTACACTTGTAGGGTTTCTCTCCCGTGTGAGTCCTCATATGTCTCTTGAGATCACTTTTCTGAGCACTGTTCTCAGTACAGGTATAAGAACAATCGTCACATTTAAAAGCTTTCCCAACAGGTGAAGCATTTTCTTTGCCAAACCTGTCTGATGATAGTAAAAAATTTAATTGGACATTTGTAGTAGACATATCATTGATTGTTTCACCATGATGTTCTCTGATGTGTTCCACAAAAAACTCATCATAAAGGAAGTGAGCTTCACATTTCGGACAAATAAAACCATGTGATATTTCAGCCAACTCCTCCTGTTCAGTTTTTATTTCCTTTTTGATCGGAATTACATTTTTGTTACTCTTTTCTTTATCAGCAGCTGTTGAGGATCTTTTACTCCGTGTTAACATTACAAACTTTCCTGGATAAATAACTGATTAATAAAATAAAAACACAGAAACTATCCAAATTCAAATAACTAAATCTTTAATTACCAGTGGGTATAAATAAATGGAATAGTATTAAATTATAATATTTAGACCACGCTTAGACATCCATATTCTATCAGTACCATGCAGCAATAATGCAGTTAATATATGTCATATCATAGTTATATAATAAAAATAACAAATAATATAGATTGTGGAAAAACGATAACGACTAATTTCTACTATTGAGACAAGACAAAATCAGTGGGATTCAATTAATGGTTAGATAATAGATGTATATATCAAAGATTATGATTGTTTCCTCATTTATTTGTGCAATAAACTGCAAAATTCTTTTCTTTAAATCAGAAAAATTCATTTCAAAACTAGCTCTAAAAATTTGTGGAAATTATTTCTAGACTATTATATCAATGCAATCATTGATCATACCTCGTTGTTCAACTAATAATATAAAAGTGGAAGTAAACTGACATCCTTTACCCGTGAATACGCTGGTACCTATCTAATAAAATGTGACTGATCAGAACAAGTATAAAAGTTGTTATGTGAGAACATTCCTGGAAATTTTAGAGTTTCTCTGCCGTGTGAGTCCTCATATGTTTCTTGAGATCACTTTTCTGAGCACTACAATATGAACATCCATTACACTTGTAGGGTTTCTCTCCCGTGTGAGTCCTCGTATGTTTCTTGAGATCACTTTTCTGAGCACTACAATATGAACATTCCTTACACTTGTAGGGTTTCTCTCCCGTGTGAGTCCTCGTATGTTTCTTGAGATCACTTTTCTGAGCACTACAATATGAACATTCCTTACACTTGTAGGGTTTCTCTCCCGTGTGAGTCCTCATATGTCTCTTGAGATCACTTTTCTGAGCACTACAATATGAACATTCCTTACACTTGTAGGGTTTCTCTCCCGTGTGAGTCCTCGTATGTTTCTTGAGATCACTTTTCTGAGCACTACAATATGAACATTCCTTACACTTGTAGGGTTTCTCTCCCGTGTGAGTCCTCATATGTCTCTTGAGATCACTTTTCTGAGCACTACAATATGAACATTCCTTACACTTGTAGGGTTTCTCTCCTGTGTGAGTCCTCATATGTTTTATGAGATCACTTTTCTTAGCACTACAAAATGAACATTCCTTACACTTGTGGGGTTTCTCTCCCGTGTGAGTCCTCATACAATGTCTCTTGAGATCACATTTCTTAGCACTGCAAAATGAACATTCCTTACACTTGTAGGGTTTCTCTCCCGTGTGAGTCCTCGTATGTCTCTTGAGATCACTTTTCTTAGCACTGCAAAATGAACATTCCTTACACTTGTAGGGTTTCTCTCCCGTGTGAGTCCTCATATGTCTCTTGAGATCACTTTTCTGAGCACTGTTCTCAGTACAGGTATAAGAACAATCGTCACATTTAAAAGCTTTCCCAACAGGTGAATCATTTTCTTTGCCAAACCTGTCTGATGATCGTAAAGAATTTAATTGAACATTTGTAGTAGACATATCATTGATTGTTTCACCATGATGTTCTCTGATGTGTTCCACAAAAAACTCATCATAAAGGAAGTGAGCTTCACATTTCGGACAAATAAAACCATGTGATATTTCAGCCAACTCCTCCTGTTCAGTTTTTATTTCCTTTTTGATCGGAATTACATTTTTGTTAGTCTTTTCTTTATCAGCAACGGTTGAGGATCTTTTACTCCGTGTTAACATGACAAATTTTCCTGGATAAATAACTGATTAATAAAATAAAAACACAGAAACTATCCAAATTCAAATAACTAAATCTTTAATTACCAGTGGGTATAAATAAATGGAATAGTATTAAATTATAATATTTAGACCACGCTTAGACATCCATATTCTATCAGTACCATGCAGCAATAATGCAGTTAATATATGTCATATCATAGTTATATAATAAAAATAACAAATAATATAGATTGTGGAAAAACGATAAATTTACTAATTTCTACTATTGAGACAAGACAAAATCAGTGGGATTCAATTAATGGTTAGATAATAGATATATATCAAAGATTATGATTGTTTCCTCATTTATTTGTGCAACAAACTGCAAAATTCTTTTCTTTAAATCAGAAAAATTCATTTCAAACATAGCTCTAAACATTTGTGGAAATTATTTCTAGACTATAAATGCAATCATTGATCATACCTCGTTGTTGAACTAATAATATAAGAGTGGAAGTAAACTGACATTCTTTACCCGTGAATACGCTGGTATCTAATAAAGTGTGACTGATCAGAACAAGTATGAAAGTTATATTGAGAACATTCCTGGCAATTTTAGAGTTTCTCTCCCGTGTGAGTACGTTGGTGTCTGACAAGACTTGATTTAACAGAGAAAGTATATGAACATTCATTACACTTGTAGGGTTTCTCTCCCGTGTGAGTCCTCATATGTATTGTGAGATGACCTTTCTGAGCACTACAAAATGAACATTCCTTACACTTGTAGGGTTTCTCTCCTGTGTGCGTACGTTGGTGTAGATTAAGATTTGATTTAGCAGAGCAAGTATATGAACATTCCTTGCACTTGTAGGGTTTCTCCCCGGTGTGAGTCCTCATATTATGTATTGTGAGATGACCTTTCTGAGCACAAGAATATGAACATTGGTTACACTTGTAGGGTTTCTCCCTTGTATGAATACGTTGGTGTTGAACAATACTTGATTTAACAGAGCAAGTATATGAACATTCATTACACTTGTACGGTTTCTCTCCGGTGTGAGTCCTCATATGTATTGTGAGATGACCTTTCTCAGCACCAGAATATGAACATTGGTTACACTTGTAGGGTTTCTCCCTTGTGTGAGTAAGTTGGTGTCTGATAAGACTTGATTTAACAGAGCAAGTGTATGAACATTCCTTACACTTGTAGGGTTTCTCTCCCGTGTGAGTACGTTGGTGTATAATAAGAATTGATTTAACAGAGCAAGTGTATGAACATTCCTTACACTTGTAGGGTTTCTCTCCCGTGTGAGTACGTAAATGTTTCACAAGATCACTGTTCTCAGTACATGTATAAGAACAATCGTTACATTTAAAAGCTTTCCCAACAGGTGAAGCATTTTCTTTGCCAAACCTGTCTGATGATAGTAAAGAATTTAATTGGACATTTGTAGTAGACATATCATTGATTGTTTTAGCATGATGTTCTCTGATGTGTTCCACAAAGAACTCATCATAAAGGAAGTGAGCTTCACATTGCGGACAAATGAAACCATGTGATATTTCAGCCAACTCCTCCTGTTCAGTTTTTATTTCCTTTTTGATCGGAAAATTTAAATTTTTGTCACTCTTTTCTTTATCAGCAACGGTTGAGGATCTCTTACTCCGTGTTAACATTACAAACCTTCCTGGAAAAACAACTGATTAAGGCCAGAGGGGGGGGGGGGGGTAAATGGCACTTTTCTAGTTTTCACATATATTTGATAATAGCTGCTTGAGACGAACAAGAAGAAAAAAACCGGATCAAAATCTGACCTTGCGCTTTTGAGATATCGCACGCTAAATTTTGAGGTTTACCTGATGTTTTCAAGAAGGCTCTCAAGACCCATCTATTTCATCAAGCATATCCTGTATGTAATGTGCGAACAGTATTTTTGGTGATTCAGTAGTCATGGACGCAGGACTTTAAGATCAATCTACAATTTATAAATTTGAATTTTAATTAGAAAAGGGACTACTTAGCTATATTTATCTGCACCGCTTTGTTGGCCAGTATCAACTCCATTTTTTGGACTTTGGTCGCTTATACGGCCTAAGCGGTATACAAATAAAGCGTTATTATTATTATATCAAGTCTCAATTTAAAGAGGTCTCGACTACCTAGGCATCAAACCTTGGCAATCGGTAATTTTCCTCTGGCCCGGAGTCAGCTGACCCTAGGGACCAGAGGATAAAGGCGTAGAGACTGTGTGTATCTACAAAAGTGGTTGTTTTTACAAGAAACAGGGCTTGCAACGCAAGGGAAGAAAAACGGGAGAAACAAACGCAAAATGCATATTAAATGACTTAACAAATAGAAATTCAAACAATCCTACACTACAATAAATGTTTATTACATAATTATAATATGTTGTATAAACAAGAAACAGGGCTTGCATGGCAAGAGATGGGACACATAAGAGCTGGCCACAGAGTGTATAATACAGTAATTCAGCAAACACCTATATTACTAATACTGAAAACTGAATCACAAATTATCACAATAATTACAATAATATACGAAATACTAAACACAATTTTTATACAAGAAACAGGGCTTGCAGAGCAAGGGAAGAAAAACAAGAGAAATAACTGTAACAATTGTATATCACAAAGTCCAGACGAAAATAATCTTTACACAAATCTGGGAGTAATTTCAATACAGTATACTTAATAAATACAATAACTTTCCGATATGTACATTGATATGAGTTAAAAGTTGTATAAACAAGAGACAGGGCTTGCGGAGCAAGGGAAGAGATATAGGAGGACCAGGCAAAAAGTAATATATTACAGTTATACAGAATAAACTAAAACTGAAAGAAGAGCTACGGTGTATGAAACACTCTATTAGATGTCCAAGACCATCCTGAGAATTCTGGCTGATCCAAGCAGAGCTGTCTTCTGGAGATTAGAGATGCTCAGATTGCAGTGTACTGCGTCGAGGTGATTACGAAAGTTTATGGTGACAGTTCCTAAAGCGCCTACCGCCACTGGGACAATTGTAACCTTTCGTAAATTCCAGTTCTTCTTAATCTCTCTTTTTAGGTCTTGATAAGCTAGTATCTTATCTTGCTCTCTATCCAAGATCCGGGTATCTCCTGGGACTGCAACGTCGATGATGCATGGATGGTTGCTGCGTTGGTTACCTTGTCTACCAGGAGAAGATCCGGTCTGCAGTGCTCGATAACGTGGTCTGACTGGATGTGAAAGTCCCACAATAGCTTGACTTTTTCATTCTCCAACACCTTCTCTGCTCGGTGTTCGTACCACTTTTTACTGCGTGTGAATCCGTATTCCTTGCACAGACTCCAGTGCAATGCGGCAGCTACTTTGTCATGCCTACACTTATATTCTGTCTGTGAAAGTTTTGGGCACCCATTCAGTATGTGATCTATTGTCTCATAATGATTTCTGCAGAGTCTCCAGAGTGGAGAAGAGCCGGGTGTTTTGTCAATCTTATTCTTTACATAGTTAGTCCTAAGTGCTTGGTCTTGGGCTGCTATCAACAATCCTTCTGTCTCCTTCTTCAAGTCTTGTTGAGTGAGCCAGTACAGTTCCAAGAGGTTATCGGATCTGCTATACCCGTCATCTGCCTTGGAAACTGTCCGTGCATCACTTTAGTTGTCCACTTCTCCTTGCATATTTCCTCGCGTTGTGTTCGGTCAGTATCTTTGTCTATCTCTTCACCTAAGAGTATCTTGTCTTTGACAAAGTAGTCCTTCAGAGCAATCAGTTCCGGGTCTCTACTCTTCATCACATAGGTGGTGAGTGCATTCTCCTCTCTCTTTACAACTTCCTCTATACTATGAAGCCCACGGCCACCAAGTTGACGGCTGACGTATAGCCGATCAACATCTCCTTGGGGATGATGACCTCCATTTATCCTCATTAGTTTCCGGGTCTTGACGTCCAAGGCTTTGATTTCTCCAGCGTTCCAAGAAAGAATTCCAGCTCCATATCTTATCACAGGTACAGCCCAGGTGTTAATTGCTTGTATACTATTCCTACCATGAAGCTGGGATTTTAACACCTTTTTGACTTTTCTGATATACTCCTTTGTGACAAGTGCTTTCATCTCTTTGTGTAGAATATTATTGGCTTCTAGTATTCCCAGATACTTATGCCCTCGTCCTCCAACTCATGGATCTGTTCACCTGTGGGTAGGGTGATGCCTTCAATAGCGGCTTTTGCTCCCTTCTTCACCTTCACCACGGCGCATTTCTCAAGCCCAAACTCCATTCTGATGTCTCTGCTAAATTCTGACGTGGTGTTTACTAGTGTCTGCATTTCATCTTCACTCTCGGCATAGAGCTTGAGGTCGTCCATGTATAGCCTATGCGACACTTTTGGTCCATCTTTTCTGTCCAGAGAGTATCCTATGACGTGCTTATTCAAAAGAATGGAAAGGGGTATAAGACTAATGATAAAGTGGATAGGGGAGACTGAGTCTCCTTGAAATAAACCTTTATTAATTTTAATCCTCCCAAGGGAAACTTTACCAAGCATCAGGTTTAAATATGATTGATTGAATGAGGCTTCAAAGAGGTCTATGATGGATGATGAGATACCGCACATGGTCATACAAGACAGAATCCAGGAGTGTGGGACGCTATCATATTTATTATTATTATTAATTACATGCTAACCTGGATCTTTAAACGGCTGTTACTTTTTTGACCTTTCGATTCCTTAATAATTCGAGAACCGAGTCAAATAAAAAATATCACTGCACCATATAATACGAGGATAATTGTCCAAGAAACCACTGTACCAATCTCAATATCAGGGGGTGGCTGGTTTTCTCAACTAAGGAACTGAAAGTTACAAAATGTGTTTTGAGATAGATGCAATTTAGTGTTTTTTAAAATTTTGAATATTCACTGGAATGTATCACAGTTCGTTAGTTAGGACTTTGTATACACTTAATAACGTTTACTTACCTGGCCAATGGCCATTCCTTAAATGATTTTAGCCACTTTCAGTAGTTAATGTCCTTGTATTTAAACTTGTCCCGAACCTTATCACCCTTCTCTTTAACAATACCAGCAAAATCAATACCTGTAACGGGCCCTTTTATTTGCCACCTCACTTTGTAGTCGACAGGGTTGATAGCTGCTGCTTTTACACGAATTAGTATGTTGTCTGCTCCACATTTTGGTTTTTTGTAGTCCGATTTAAAGGAGAGGTTACCTCGACTAAAAACAGCAGCTTTCATGTTAGAGTAACCTGAATTTAGTTATTTAGTTAGTGTTTCTAAAGTAGGTAGTAAAATGTGGGATTGTTTTAGCACTGAATTATTTAATGGCTAAAAATATTTTAGTGCAGTATATTATTTAACTGTTTGGCAGTGTTTTATTTTGACGGAGGAGGAGCGAATTAACAATAATTCAAAGTCAGAAACAACAACATATTTAAACAAATTTCAGTAATAATTCTGACAACAATTCATCAAAGATTCAGAATAAAGATTAACTATATACAAATTTTAAATTTCAATCATGAATCATCAGTAGTGACTATAAGTTCATTTTCAATCGTATAAACAATACACATTTATATATATTTATTTACTGGTTACCCAACAAAACTTAAGTATAGATAAAAATCTTTTAAAGAACATACAAAATCTAAATAAATTCAAAACATTTTCTGGATCATTTTCTAATCCATTTTGAAGACTATCTTTCCTTTGGCCCTCCTACTTTTCAGCAGATCAAAACCCTTCTCAACTGCCTCAGCAGTAAAAGGTAACTCCTCTGCTATAACTGGTTTTAAATACTCCTGAACTCCTTCTGAGTTTGTCCAACCATCATCCACTAACTTAGCAAGTTGTTGTAAATCTTCAGGGTTCTGTTTCGTGAGAATCATATGTTGGTTAGCTTTGAAGCCGATGGTGTACATCCGAATCCACATATCCCTACTACCATTGATTGCAACGTACTGCCCATGGTTTTTATCTGCAGTGGCAGGTTTCAGTAATTCCATTGAAATGTTTTTGTAGTCCTCGCCACCCCCACTATTAGTGGCAGCATCATAAATCACATCAAACTGTAATTCAGGGTTAATAGCCCCTGATTCATTAAGGCAGTAATCTTTAATAGTCTGCTTAGTGTAATCTATAACGTCAGTTGCTCCCAGAGATTTTACAAATTCCTCATTTTTACCACTGCAAACCCCAACAATATCTTTAGCTCCCATAGATTTAGCAACCTGGATCCCAGCAGTACCACACCCACCACTAGCCCCAATTACCAGAACACGATCATTCTTAACAAGGTTACCATAGTCCCTAAATGATTGAAGAGATGTTGAATACGTAGTGCACATTCCAGCAGCTTCCACGAATGAAGCACTTTTAGGTTTATGAGCCACTCCAGCAAGTGGAGCAATGGTAAATTCAGCTAAACTACCATTGAATGTTCCACCATAAACTTCATCTCCGACCTTAAACTCGTCCCCAACCTTTTCACCCTTCTCTTCAACAATACCAGCAAAATCAATACCTGTAACGGGCCCTTTTATTGGCCACCCCACTTTGTAGTCGATAGGGTTGATACCTGCTGCTTTTACGCGAACTAGTATGTTGTCTGCTCCACATTTTGGTTTTTTGTAGTCCGATTTAAAGGAGAGGTTACCTCGACTAAAAACAGCAGCTTTCATGTTAGTGTAACCTGAATTAAGTTATTTAGTTAGTGTTTATAAAGTAGGTAGTAAAATGTGGGATTGTTTTAGCACTGAATTATTTAATGGCTAAAAAGATTTCAGTGCAGCATATTATTTAACTGTTTGACAGTGTTTTATTTTTGACGGAGGAGGAGCGAATTAACGATAATTCAAAGTCAGAAACAACAATATCTTTAAACAAATTTCAGTAATAATTCTGACAACAATTCATACCAGATTCAAAATAAAGAACATTATTTACACTTGTAGGGTTTCTCTCCTGTGTGAGACGTGAGTCCTCATATGTCTCTGGAGATCACTTTTCTGAGCACTACAATATAAACATTCCTTACACTTGTAGGGTTTCTCTCCTGTGTGAGTCCTCATATGTCTCTTGAGATCACTTTTCTGAGCACTACAATATAAACATTCCTTACACTTGTAGAGTTTCTCTCCCGTGTGAGTCCTCATATGTTTCTTGAGATCACTTTTCTGAGCACTACAATATGAACATTCCTTACACTTGTAGGGTTTCTCTCCCGTGTGAGTCCTCATATGTCTCTTGAGATCACTTTTCTGAGTACTACAATATGAACATTCTTTACACTTGTAGGGTTTCTCTCCTGTGTGAGTACGTTGGTGTTGATTAAGATTTGATTTAACAGAGCAAGTATATGAACATTCCTTGCACTTGTAGGGTTTATCTCCGGTGTGAGTCCTCATATGTATTGTGAGATTACCTTTCTGAGCACAAGAATATGAACATTGGTTACACTTGTAGGGTTTCTCTCTTGTGTGAATACGTTGGTGTTGAACAAGACTAGATTGAACAGAGCAAGCAAATGAACATTTCTTGCACTTATAGGGTTTCTCTCCCGTGTGAGTCCTTATTAAATGTAATGTGAGTCGACTTTTCTGAGCACTACGAAATGAACACTGGTTACACTTGTAGGGTTTCTCTCCTGTGTGAGTACGTTGGTGTTGATTAAGATTTGATTTAACAGAGCAAGTATATGAACATTCCTTGCACTTGTAGGGTTTTTCTCCGGTGTGAGTCCTCATATGTATTGTGAGATTACCTTTCTGAGCACAAGAATATGAACATTGGTTACACTTGTAGGGTTTCTCTCCTGTGTGAATACGTTGGTGTTGAACAAGACTTGATTGAACAGAGCAAGAATATGAACATTCGTTACACGTGTAGGGTTTCTCTCCCGTGTGAATACCCAAATGTTTCACAAGATCACTGTTCTCAGTACAGGTATAAGAACAATCGTCACATTTAAAAGCTTTCCCAACAGGTGAAGCATTTTCTTTGCCAAACCTGGCTGATGATCGTAAAGAATTTAATTGGACATTTGTAGTAGACATATCATTGATTGTTTCACCATGATGTTCTCTGATGTGTTCCACAAAGAACTCATCATAAAGGAAGTGAGCTTCACATTTCGGACAAATAAAACCATGTGATATTCCAGTCACCTCCTCCTGTTCAGTTTTTATTTCCTTTTTGATCGGAATTACATTTTTGTTAGTCTTTTCTTTATCAGCAACGGTTGAGGATCTTTTACTCCGTGTTAACATGACAAATTTTCCTGGATAAATAACTGATTAATAAAATAAAAACACAGAAACTATCCAAATTCAAATAACTAAATCTTTAATTACCAGTGGGTATAAATAAATGGAATAGTATTAAATTATAATATTTAGACCACGCTCAGGTCCATTCTAAACATCAAATGGCCTAAAGGTATGATGAGCAACAAAGCATTGTATGAAAGGTGCAAAGTTAAAAAGTTATCTAAGCGTATCGAACACCAGCGGTGGAAGATGTTTGGACACATTCTCAGGAGTATGGAGAACACCCCAGCCCAAACGGCTCTCTCTTTTGCTATTGAATCAGATAATTTATTCACTGGAAGATTGGGGAGACCTAGAATGAACTTGTTATCGGTTTTAAGAAATGATTTAATTAGTAGAAATTTGCAAATGGACAACTCTCATGAATTGAACGAAATTAGAGATATAGCTGCATGCAAAAGATGTTGGGAAAATCTTTTTCAAGGGTACAGTTTACCGCATTAAGGTATTTTTAAGAATCATTTTTGTCGGTAAGATCCTGTTTTATAATAATAATAATAAGACCACGCTTACAGCCCAGTTCCACGGCTCAGTTTTGCGACCAGATTTGACACAAAACTCCGCGAAAAGAGTTTTGAAAGGCAAAACTCCGCGAAGGCAGTTTTGTTTACAATGTACGTTCCCACGGTTGGTATTTTTGGACGCAGATTTGCGCGCGCACGTGGGCGCATTATAATGAAATGTACCACGCGAGCGCCCAGGTTAGAACTGCTTTCACGGAGTTTTGGGTCATATCAAAAATATTTCTCAGTGCGGAGAAATATTTTTGAATTTCATTTCCGGTCGCAAAAATGTGAGAAAAAATGTGAGCAAATCTGGTTGCAAAACTGAGCCGTTGAACTGCAGGGTAAGACATCCATATTCTATCAGTACCATGCAGTAATAATGCAGTTAATATATGTCATATCATAGTTATATAATAAAAATAACAAATAATATAGATTGTGGAAAAACGATAAATTTACTAATTTCTACTATTGAGACAAGACAAAATCAGTGGGATTCAATTAATGGTTAGATAATAGATATATATCAAAGATTATGATTGTTTCCTCATTTATTTGTGCAACAAACTGCAAAATTCTTTTCTTTAAATCAGAAAAATTAATTTCAAACATAGCTCTAAACATTTGTGGAAATTATTTCTAGACTATAAATGCAATCATTGATCATACCTCGTTGTTGAACTAATAATATAAAAGTGGAAGTAAACTGACATTATTTACCCGTAAATACGCTGGTATCTAATAAAGTGTGACTGATCAGAACAAGTATAAAAGTTGTTATATGAGAACATTCCTGGCAATTTTAGAGTTTCTCTCCCGTGTGAGTACGTTGGTGTCTGACAAGACTTGATTTAACAGAGAAAGTATATGAACATTCATTACACTTGTAGGGTTTCTCTCCCGTGTGAGTCCTCATATGTTTCTTGAGATCACATTCCGGAGCACTACAATATGAACATTCCTTACACTTGTAGGGTTTTTCTCCCGTGTGAGTCCTCATATGTCTCTTGAGATCACTTTTCTTAGCACTACAAAATGAACATTCCTTGCATTTGTAGGGTTTCTCTCCTGAGTGAGTCCTCATATGTAATGTGAGATTACCTTTCTGAGCACTAGAATATGAACATTCCTTGCACTTGTAGGGTTTCTCTCCCGTGTGAGTCCTCATATGTCTCTTGAGATCACTTTTCTTAGCACTACAAAATGAACATTCCTTACACTTGTAGGGTTTCTCTCCCAAGTGAATACCCAAATGTTTCACAAGATCACTGTTCTCAGTACAGGTATAAGAACAATCGTCACATTTAAAAGCTTTCCCAACAGAAGAAGCATTTTCTTTGCCAAACCTGGCTGATGATCGTAAAGAATTTAATTGGACATTTGTAGTAGACATATCATTGATTGTTTCACCATGATGTTCTCTGATGTGTTCCACAAAGAACTCATCATAAAGGAAGTGAGCTTCACATTTCGGACAAATAAAACCATGTGATATTCCAGTCACCTCCTCCTGTTCAGTTTTTATTTCCTTTTTGATCGGAATTACATTTTTGTTAGTCTTTTCTTTATCAGCAACGGTTGAGGATCTTTTACTCCGTGTTAACATGACAAATTTTCCTGGATAAATAACTGATTAATAAAATAAAAACACAGAAACTATCCAAATTCAAATAACTAAATCTTTAATTACCAGTGGGTATAAATAAATGGAATAGTATTAAATTATAATATTTAGACCACGCTCAGGTCCATTCTAAACATCAAATGGCCTAAAGGTATGATGAGCAACAAAGCATTGTATGAAAGGTGCAAAGTTAAAAAGTTATCTAAGCGTATCGAACACCAGCGGTGGAAGATGTTTGGACACATTCTCAGGAGTATGGAGAACACCCCAGCCCAAACGGCTCTCTCTTTTGCTATTGAATCAGATAATTTATTCACTGGAAGATTGGGGAGACCTAGAATGAACTTGTTATCGGTTTTAAGAAATGATTTAATTAGTAGAAATTTGCAAATGGACAACTCTCATGAATTGAACGAAATTAGAGATATAGCTGCATGCAAAAGATGTTGGGAAAATCTTTTTCAAGGGTACAGTTTACCGCATTAAGGTATTTTTAAGAATCATTTTTGTCGGTAAGATCCTGTTTTATAATAATAATAATAAGACCACGCTTACAGCCCAGTTCCACGGCTCAGTTTTGCGACCAGATTTGACACAAAACTCCGCGAAAAGAGTTTTGAAAGGCAAAACTCCGCGAAGGCAGTTTTGTTTACAATGTACGTTCCCACGGTTGGTATTTTTGGACGCAGATTTGCGCGCGCACGTGGGCGCATTATAATGAAATGTACCACGCGAGCGCCCAGGTTAGAACTGCTTTCACGGAGTTTTGGGTCATATCAAAAATATTTCTCAGTGCGGAGAAATATTTTTGAATTTCATTTCCGGTCGCAAAAATGTGAGAAAAAATGTGAGCAAATCTGGTTGCAAAACTGAGCCGTGGAACTGCAGGGTAAGACATCCATATTCTATCAGTACCATGCAGTAATAATGCAGTTAATATATGTCATATCATAGTTATATAATAAAAATAACAAATAATATAGATTGTGGAAAAACGATAAATTTACTAATTTCTACTATTGAGACAAGACAAAATCAGTGGGATTCAATTAATGGTTAGATAATAGATATATATCAAAGATTATGATTGTTTCCTCATTTATTTGTGCAACAAACTGCAAAATTCTTTTCTTTAAATCAGAAAAATTAATTTCAAACATAGCTCTAAACATTTGTGGAAATTATTTCTAGACTATAAATGCAATCATTGATCATACCTCGTCGTTGAACTAATAATATAAAAGTGGAAGTAAACTGACATTATTTACCCGTAAATACGCTGGTATCTAATAAAGTGTGACTGATCAGAACAAGTATAAAAGTTGTTATATGAGAACATTCCTGGCAATTTTAGAGTTTCTCTCCCGTGTGAGTACGTTGGTGTCTGACAAGACTTGATTTAACAGAGAAAGTATATGAACATTCATTACACTTGTAGGGTTTCTCTCCCGTGTGAGTCCTCATATGTTTCTTGAGATCACATTCCTGAGCACTACAATATGAACATTCCTTACACTTGTAGGGTTTTTCTCCCGTGTGAGTCCTCATATGTCTCTTGAGATCACTTTTCTTAGCACTACAAAATGAACATTCCTTGCATTTGTAGGGTTTCTCTCCTGAGTGAGTCCTCATATGTAATGTGAGATTACCTTTCTGAGCACTAGAATATGAACATTCCTTGCACTTGTAGGGTTTCTCTCCCGTGTGAGTCCTCATATGTCTCTTGAGATCACTTTTCTTAGCACTACAAAATGAACATTCCTTACACTTGTAGGGTTTCTCTCCCAAGTGAATACCCAAATGTTTCACAAGATCACTGTTCTCAGTACAGGTATAAGAACAATCGTCACATTTAAAAGCTTTCCCAACAGAAGAAGTATTTTCTTTGCCAAACCTGTCTGATGATCGTAAAGAATTTAATTGGACATTTGTAGTAGACATATCATTGATTGTTTCACCATGATGTTCTCTGATGTGTTCCACAAAGAACTCATCATGAAGGAAGTGAGCTTCACATTTCGGACAAATAAAACCATGTGATATTTCAGTCAACTCCTCCTGTTCAGTTTTTATTTCCTTTTTGATCGGAATTACATTTTTGATACTCTTTTCTTTATCAGCAACGGTTGAGGATCTCTTACTCCGTGTTAACATTACAAACCTTCCTGGAAAAACAACTGATTAAGGCCAGAGGGGGGGGGGGGGTAAATGGCACTTTTCTAGTTTTCACATATATTTGATAATAGCTGCTTGAGACGAACAAGAAGAAAAAAACCGGATCAAAATCTGACCTTGCGCTTTTGAGATATCGCACGCTAAATTTTGAGGTTTACCTGATGTTTTCAAGAAGGCTCTCAAGACCCATCTATTTCATCAAGCCTATCCTGTATGTGCGAACAGTATTTTTGGTGATTCAGTAGTCATGGACGCAGGACTTTAAGATCAATCTACAATTTATAAATTTGAATTTTGATTAGAAAAGGGACTACTTAGCTATATTTATCTGCACCGCTTTGTTGGCCAGTATCAACTCCATTTTTTGGACTTTGGTCGCTTATACGGCCTAAGCGGTATACAAATAAAGCGTTATTATTATTATATCAAGTCTCAATTGAAAGAGGTCTCGACTACCTAGGCATCAAACCTTGGCAATCGGTAATTTTCCTCTGGCCCGGAGTCAGCTGACCCTAGGGACCAGAGGATAAAGGCGTAGAGACTGTGTGTATCTACAAAAGTGGTTGTTTTTACAAGAAACAGGGCTTGCAACGCAAGGGAAGAAAAACGGGAGAAACAAACGCAAAATGCATATTAAATGACTTAACAAATAGAAATTCAAACAATCCTACACTACAATAAATGTTTATTACATAATTATAATATCTTGTATAAACAAGAAACAGGGCTTGCATGGCAAGAGATGGGACACATAAGAGCTGGCCACAGAGTGTATAATACAGTAATTCAGCAAACACCTATATTACTAATACTGAAAACTGAATCACAAATTATCACAATAATTACAATAATATACGAAATACTAAACACAATTTTTATACAAGAAACAGGGCTTGCAGAGCAAGGGAAGAAAAACAAGAGAAATAACTGTAACAATTGTATATCACAAAGTCCAGACGAAAATAAAATCTTTACACAAATCTGGGAGTAATTTCAATACAGTATACTTAATAAATACAATAACTTTCCGATATGTACATTGATATGAGTTAAAAGTTGTATAAACAAGAGACAGGGCTTGCGGAGCAAGGGAAGAGATATAGGAGGACCAGGCAAAAAGTATATATATACATATCACCGGAGACTCGCGGGCGGAACAAAATATTGCACGCGCACGCGCGTGCAATATTTCATATGTCCCCGAGGGCGCTAGCCCGAGGAGGACATATTTTCGTATAGCACGGAGGGCCCATCGGGCCCGAGTGCTATACGATTTTTCCGCCCGCGGGTCGAGGTGATGTGGATTATATCCACCAGCGGGCGTATTACAGTTAATATATAATTTTATAAATAAACAATGGAGCTTGTATAAAAGTCAACTCTAGAAAAGGTCGCCACTAATTGTTGTAACCATGGTAACACGTCACGTGTTCAATGTAAGCCAATCATAAAGGGATGTGTCGTATATATAGGGGCTGGAGATGCACTGCATTCCTGGGCCGTAGGAATAATGAATGTAATGTCAGTGACGATGAATATCAATAATATAGGGGGATTATAGTGCTGATGTGTATTATGTAGTGTGTTATAATAACTTTGATATAAATCAAAGTATCATGTCATCTGCTCACGAGCTGCATGAGCAGCCCTACCGGACACAAAAATAAAATGTATTATATAGTTGCAGTGTAATAAGGAATTTCACATGGAGACGATACAGAAACTGAAAAAATTTTAGAGAACTCCGGGCTATATTGCTACTGGTCAAATTAAATGTCACTTGTTAGCGGGCTATATCGTGAGCGGGCTGTAGAGATATCGGGCCCTTTGACAGCGGGCTGGTGAGAGCCCGCTATGCGAAAAAGCGCACGCTGGTGGATATATTACAGTTATACAGAATAAACTAAAACTGAAAGAAGAGCTACGGTGTATGAAACACTCTATTAGATGTCCAAGACCATCCTGAGAATTCTGGCTGGTCCAAGCAGAGCTGTCTTCTGGAGATTAGAGATGCTCAGATTGCAGTGTACTGCGTCGAGGTGTTTACGAAAGTTTATGGTGACAGTTCCTAAAGCGCCTACCACCACTGGGACAATTGTAACCTTTCGTAAATTCCAGTTCTTGATAAGCTAGTAGGTATCTTATCTTGCTCTCTATCCAAGATCCGGGTATCTCCTGGGACTGCAACGTCGATGATGGTTGCTGCGTTGGTTACCTTGTCTACCAGGAGAAGATCCGGTCTGCAGTGCTCGATAACGTGGTCTGACTGGATGTGAAAGTCCCACAATAGCTTGACTTTTTCATTCTCCAACACCTTCTCTGCTCGGTGTTCGTACCACTTTTTACTGCATGTGAATCCGTATTCCTTGCACAGACTCCAGTGCAATGCGGCAGCTACTTTGTCATGCCTACACTTATATTCTGTCTGTGAAAGTTTTGGGCACCCATTCAGTATGTGATCTATTGTCTCATAATGATTTCTGCAGAGTCTCCAGAGTGGAGAAGAGCCGGGTGTTTTGTCAATCTTATTCTTTACATAGTTAGTCCTAAGTGCTTGGTCTTGGGCTGCTATCAACAATCCTTCTGTCTCCTTCTTCAAGTCTTGTTGAGTGAGCCAGTTCCAAGAGGTTATCGGATCTGCTATACCCGTCATCTGCCTTGGAAACTGTCCGTGCATCACTTTAGTTGTCCACTTCTCCTTGCGTATTTCCTCGCGTTGTGTTCGGTCAGTATCTTTGTCTATCTCTTCACCTAAGAGTATCTTGTCTTTGACAAAGTAGTCCTTCAGAGCAATCAGTTCCGGGTCTCTACTCTTCATCACATAGGTGGTGAGTGCATTCTCCTCTCTCTTTACAACTTCCTCTATACTATGAAGCCCACGGCCACCAAGTTGACGGCTGACGTATAGCCGATCAACATCTCCTTGGGGATGATGACCTCCATTTATCCTCATTAGTTTCCGGGTCTTGACGTCCAAGGCTTTGATTTCTCCAGCGTTCCAAGAAAGAATTCCAGCTCCATATCTTATCACATGTACAGCCCAGGTGTTAATTGCTTGTATACTATTCCTACCATGAAGCTGGGATTTTAACACCTTTTTGACTCTTCTGATATACTCCTTTGTGACAAGTGCTTTCATCTCTTTGTGTAGAATATTATTGGCTTCTAGTATTCCCAGATACTTATGCCCTCGTCCTCCAACTCATGGATCTGTTCACCTGTGGGTAGGGTGATGCCTTCAATAGCGGCTTTTGCTCCCTTCTTCACCTTCACCACGGCGCATTTCTCAAGCCCAAACTCCATTCTGATGTCTCTGCTAAATTCTGACGTGGTGTTTACTAGTGTCTGCATTTCATCTTCACTCTCGGCATAGAGCTTGAGGTCGTCCATGTATAGCCTATGCGACACTTTTGGTCCATCTTTTCTGTCCAGAGAGTATCCTATGACGTGCTTATTCAAAAGAATGGAAAGGGGTATAAGACTAATGATAAAGTGGATAGGGGAGACTGAGTCTCCTTGAAATAAACCTTTATTAATTTTAATCCTCCCAAGGGAAACTTTACCAAGCATCAGGTTTAAATATGATTGATTGAATGAGGCTTCAAAGAGGTCTATGATGGATGATGAGATACCGCACATGGTCATACAAGACAGAATCCAGGAGTGTGGGACGCTATCATATTTATTATTATTATTAATTACATGCTAAACTGGATCTTTAAACGGCTGTTACTTTTTTGACCTTTCGATTCCTTAATAATTCGAGAACCGAGTCAAATAAAAAATATCACTGCACCATATAATATGAGGATAATTGTCCAAGAAACCACTGTACCAATCTCAATATCAGGGGGTGGCTGGTTTTCTCAACTAAGGAACTGAAAGTTACAAAATGTGTTTTGAGATAGATGCAATTTAGTGTTTTTTAAAATTTTGAATATTCACTGGAATGTATCACAGTTCGTTAGTTAGGACTTTGTATACACTTAATAACGTTTACTTACCTGGCCAATGGCCATTCCTTAAATGATTTTAGCCACTTTCAGTAGTTAATGTCCTTGTATTTAAACTTGTCCCGAACCTTATCACCCTTCTCTTTAACAATACCAGCAAAATCAATACCTGTAACGGGCCCTTTTATTTGCCACCCCACTTTAGGCATCATGTAGCCTCCAGGCTCGACAAACCCCGACAAACCCCGACAAACCCCGACAAACCCCGACAAACCCCGACAAACCCCGACAAACCCCGACAAACCCCGACAAACCCCGACAAACCCCGACAAACCCCGACAAACCCCGACAAACCCCGACAAACGGGGTTTGTCGGGGTTTGTCGAGGGGTTTTGCCTCGGGCCCACCGGCTACATGAGGCCTTCTTGTATAGTGTTTTTCCACGTAAAGCTTGATGACTCCGTCTCGGCTTTTTGTTGGGAGACTCAAAAAAAAAAGAAAAAAAAAAAAAAAAAGCCTCCAGGCTCGACAAACCGGAAACCCCGTCAAACCCCGTCAAACCCTGACAAACCCCGACAAACCCCGACAAACCCCGACAAACCCTGACAAATCCCGACAAACCCCGACGTGTCAAGAAATGTCGTATCATGTCGGGCCCACCGGCTACATGATGCCTCACTTTGTAGTCGACAGGGTTGATAGCTGCTGCTTTTACACGAATTAGTATGTTGTCTGCTCCACATTTTGGTTTTTTGTAGTCCGATTTAAAGGAGAGGTTACCTCGACTAAAAACAGCAGCTTTCATGTTAGAGTAACCTGAATTTAGTTATTTAGTTAGTGTTTCTAAAGTAGGTAGTAAAATGTGGGATTGTTTTAGCACTGAATTATTTAATGGCTAAAAATATTTTAGTGCAGTATATTATTTAACTGTTTGGATCTTAAGTACTAAGTGCCGTACGTGACGTCGACTAAGTGCAGTTTTGGACTTTACAAAAAGGACTCACCCACCCCCTTCACGGTACTAACTGCTTTTTCGGGCAATATTTAGGACACCCACCCCATTTTGCCAGCTTTGCGGTACTAACTGTTGAGAAATCACGGTACTAACTGAGTCTTGGTATATAAAATAGGATACCCACCCATAAATTGCTTTAAACAGCTCATTAAACATTGGGAAATGGGCAAATTATACCCACTATTTAGTAGGGGTTTTGTTTTCAATGTACTAGTCGAATTAGATAAAAAGTTACAAAAAAATTTGTAATTACAAAAAACCCAAAAAAAACCTCAAAACCCATTCCCAAAATTGAAATTTGAGGTAAAATGGGTTTTTTTTGGGGTTGGACACTCAAAAAATAAACCCCTTAGTACCATGTACCAACTGTTTTTCTGGGAAATGAGCAGCAGACCCACCACTAAGTACAAGAGTACTAACTGCGTTTTGGAAGAAAATATGACCCACCCACCCAACGTCACGTACGATTCTGACCATATGATTCCCCCCGCTGTTTGACAGTGTAATTTTCATTTTGACGGAGGAGGAGCGAATTAACAATAATTCAAACTCAAAAACATCAACATCTTTAAACAAATTTCAGTAATAATTCTGACAACAATAATCTAAGATCCGAAATAAAGATAAACTAATATACAAATTTTCAATTTTCAATCATAAATCATCAGTACTAGTGACTATAAGTTCAGTTTGAGTCGTATACACATTTATATATATCATTTTACTGGTTACTCAACAAAGCCTAAGTATAGACAAAAATCATTTAAAGAACATACAAAATCCAAAGAAATTCAAAACCATCCAAAACATTTCCTGGAACATTTTCTAATCCATTTTGAAGACTATCTTTCCTTTGGCCCTCCTACTTTTCAGCAGATCAAAACCCTTCTCAACTGCCTCAGCAGTAAAAGGTAACTCCTCTGCTATAACTGGTTTTAAATACTCCTGAACTCCTTCTGAGTTTGTCCAGCCATCATCCACTAACTTAGCAAGTTGTTGTTGATCTTCAGGGTTCTGTTTCGTGAGCATCGTATGCTGGTTAGCTTTGCAGCCAATGGTGAACTTTCTTATCCACATATCTGCACTTCCAGTGATTACAACGTACTGCCCATGTTTTTTATCTGCAGTAGCAGGTTTCAGTAATTCCATTGAAATGTTTTTGTAGTCCTCCCCACCCCCACCATTGGTGGCAGCATCATAAATCACATCAAACTGTAATTCAGGGTTAATAGCCCCTGATTCATTAAGACAGTAATCTTTAATGGTCTGCTTAGTGTAATCTATAACATCAGTTGCTCCCAGAGATTTTACAAACTCCTCATTTTTACCACTGCAAACCCCAACAATATCTTAAGCTCCCATAGATTTAGCAACCTGGATCCCAGCAGTACCACACCCACCACTAGCTCCAATTACCAGAACACGATCATCCTTAACAAGTTTACCATAGTCCCTTAATGATTGAAGAGATGTCATATACGTAGTGAACATTGCAGCAGCTTCCACGAATGAAGCACTCTTAGGTTTATGAGCCACTCCAGCAAGTTGAGCAATGGTAAATTCAGCTAAGCTACCATTTAATGTTCCACCATAAACTTCATCTCCGACCTTAAACTTGTCCCCAACCTTATCACCCTTCTCTTCAACAACACCAGCAAAATCAATACCTGTAACGGGCCCTTTTATTGGCCACCCCACTTTGTAGTCGACAGGGTTGATAGCTGCTGCTTTTACACGAATTAGTATGTTGTCTGCTCCACATTTTGGTTTTTTGTAGTCCGATTTAAAGGAGAGGTTACCTCGACTAAAAACAGCAGCTTTCATGTTAGAGTAACCTGAATTTAGTTATTTAGTTAGTGTTTCTAAAGTAGGTAGTAAAATGTGGGATTGTTTTAGTACTGAATTATTTAATCGCTAAAAAGATTTCAGTGCAGCATATCATTTAACTGTTTGCAAGGGGGGCCGGGGGGGATCAGGTACTAAGTGCGGAAGTGCCGTACGTGACGTCGACTAAGTGCAGTGTTGGACTTTACAAAAAGGACCCACCCACCCCCTTCACGGTACTAGCTGCTTTTTCGGTACTTTTTTTTGCGGTACTAACTGTTGAGAAATCACGGTACTAACTGAGTCTTGGTATATAAAATAGGATACCCACCCATAAATTGCTTTAAACAGCTCATTAAACATTGGGAAATGGGCAAATTATACCCACTATTTAGTAGGGGTTTTGTTTTCAATGTACTAGTCGAATTAGATAAAAAGTTAATTACGTACAAAAAACCCAAAAAAAAACCTCAAAACCCATTCCCAAAATTGAAATTTGAGGTAAAATGGGTTTTTTTGGGGTTGGACACTCAAACAATAAACCCCTTAGTACCATGTACCAACTGTTTTTCTGGGAGATGAGCAGCAGACCCACCACTAAGTACAAGAGTACTAACTGCGTTTTGGAAGAAAATATGACCCACCCACCCAACGTCACGTACGATTCTGACCATATATGATTCCCCCCGCTGTTTGACAGTGTAATTTTCATTCTGACGGAGGAGGAGCGAATTAACAATAATTCAAACTCAAAAACATCAACATCTTTAAACAAATTTCAGTAATAATTCTGACAAAAATAATCTAAGATCCGAAATAAAGATAAACTAATATACAAATTTTCAATTTTCAATCATAAATCATCAGTACTAGTGACTATAAGTTCAGTTTGAGTCGTATACACATTTATATATATTATTTTACTGGTTACTCAACAAAGCCTAAGTATAGACAAAAATCATTTAAAGAACATACAAAATCCAAAGAAATTCAAAACCATCCAAAATATTATCTGGATCATTTTCTAATCCATTTTGAAGACTATCTTTCCTTTGGCCCTCCTACTTTTCAGCAGATCAAAACCCTTCTCAACTGCCTCAGCAGTAAAAGGTAACTCCTCTGCTATAACTGGTTTTAAATACTCCTGAACTCCTTCTGAGTTTGTCCAGCCATCATCCACTAACTTAGCAAGTTGTTGTAAATCTTCAGGGTTCGTCTCCAAATTCATCAAATGCTGGTTAGCCTTAAAACCTATGGTGAACTTCCGTAGCCACATGTCTGCACTACCATTGATTGCAACGTACTGCCCATGTTTTTTATCTGCAGTGGCAGGTTTCAGTAATTCCATTGAAATGTTTTTGTAGTCCTCGCCACCCCCACTATTAGTGGCAGCATCATAAATCACATCAAACTGTAATTCAGGGTTAATAGCCCCTGATTCATTAAGACAGTAATCTTTAATAGTCTGCTTAGTGTAATCTATAACATCAGTTGCTCCCAGAGATTTTACAAATTCCTCATTTTTACCACTGCAAACCCCAACAATATCTTTAGCTCCCATAGATTTAGCAACCTGGATCCCAGCAGTACCACACCCACCACTAGCCCCAATTACCAGAACACGATCATCCTTGCTGACCTTTCCAAAGTCCCTTAATGCTTGAAGTGTCGTCATATACGTAACATACATTCCAGAAGCTTCCACGAATGAAGCATTTTTAGGTTTCAGAGCAACTCCAGCTGGCTTAGAAACAGTGAACTCGGCTAAACTTCCATTCCAACTACCACCATAAACTTCATCTCCGACCTTTAACTCGTCCCCAACCTTATCACCCTTCTCTTCAACAACACCAGCAAAATCAATACCTGTAACGGGCCCTTTCATCGGCCATCCGATCTTGTAATCCACTGGGTTGATAGCTGCTGCTTTTACACGAACAAGGATACTGTCCGCACTGCATTTGGGCTTTGCATAGTTCGATTGAAAGGATACATTTCCCCGACTGAAAACAGCAGCTTTCATCCTAGTAAAATTTTAAATGGAGTTACTTTATTAGATAGCGATAGGTAGTACAAATGTGAGATGGATACAACACTGATACGATTAAATGAAGCTAAGATGTGGGCCTTATTACTTTATTATTTGAGTGGTGCACAGAATTGCTCAGAATTAAGTTTAAACTAAGGGATTAAAGAACATGAGCTCACTTGATGCAATTAGCACTGTATAATCTTTATTCTGTGTTTCCCTGTTTATACTTGTGTTTGAATTCAGAACCACAGGAAATGAGTACACAAATACTGGTTGAAATGAGAGTTAAATAATACATTGTCATACTGTAGTACTACAATAATATCATAATCTTAAGATGAGTATTTCATCAAAAAGTAAAATTTATTAATTTGTGATACTAAAATTCGAAAATGTCCTCAAATGGCCTTAAAATAATTATTGCTGTTAAAACCTTTTAAAATGATACAATGAAAAACCATATTAAAGTAATAAAATAAATATCAGAAACAAATTAAAATAAGAAAATGAGTAAAATATAATATATAAAAAATTGTAAGCATGTTCAATTAGTTTGTCTTTACCATGTTTACACTTTCACAGTAAACAAAATACAGGCACACATCCCCACACACAGAAAGCTAATATATTATATATTTTGTCAGATCTTTTAAAAATGTCCTCTTTGGCACCAAGAGTCCCAGACTCCTAGACTCCTGTGTTTTTGGATGTGGGCCAACATACACACGGTCTTTTTTTTCAAGTTCGAACCTTAATGTGAGAAATGATCCTGAGTATCCATTGTAAACATTTTGCGTCTTGAACCTTCATTCTGATAGTTAATCTTCTGGTATTTCTCGGGTCAGTCTCTCTATAAAATATCTAAAGAAGTTCCCAAGTCGCAACTAAAAGACAAAAGAAGCTTTGCCTGTCTTAGTTTGAAACGAAGTTTATGTTTTACATCCAAAATGTGCTTCAAGGTTGTATACTGTGTGTTCTTTGATGTCTGATCAGAGTACACTTCACATTCACAGCATACGAGCATAATGAACACTTGAATGACTTTCCCACTGAATCATGAGATTTTTGATGTTTGTCCAAACCGCCTTTAGTTGTAGCTGCAAATGGGCACTTTGAACACTTGTAAGGTTTACCAGTCGCAGTATGGATTCTTTGGTGAACTTTTAGCTGTGAATTTAGTGTGGCAGCAAATGAACATTCAGAACATTTGTATGGCCTCTCACCAGTGTGTGTTCTTTGGTGGGATGTAAGGGTTGATTTATGGGCAGCAGCAAAAGGGCACACTGAACACTTGTATGGTTTCTCTCCAGAGTGGGTCCTCTCATGACACCGGAGATGTGATTTTTTTGATGAAGCATATGGACACAGCAGACACTTGTATGGTTTCTCACCTGAGTGAATCCTCTGATGACACCGGAGATGTGATTTTTGTGATGAAGCAAATGGACACAGTGGACATTTGAACGGTTTCTCTCCAGAGTGGGTTCGTTCATGAACATTCAGACTATCCTTGTGGGCTGTTGCGAAAGGACACTGTGTACACTTGTAAGGTTTTTCCCCTGTATGAAGCCTCTCATGAATTTTAAGGTGCATTCTTTGACTTGCGGTATACGGACATGAAGGGCATTGGTAAGGTCTTTCTCCTGAGTGTGTTTTCATATGGCTATTCAGATTAGCTGTTGCTGACGCAGCAAATGAGCATAGAGAACATTTGTATGGCCTTTCACCAGTATGAGTTCTTTGGTGAACTTTAAGCTGTGAACTTTGTGCAGCAGCAAATGAACATTCAGAACATTTGTATGGCCTCTCCCCAGTGTGTATTCTTTGGTGGGATGTAAGGCTTGATTTTTGGGCAGTAGCAAAAGGGCACACTGAACACTTGTATGGTTTCTCACCTGAGTGAGTCCTCTGATGATTCCGGAAATGTGCACTATGTGATGAAGCATATGGACACAGTGGACATTTGAATGGTTTCTCTCCAGAGTGGGTTCGTTCATGAACATCTAGACCATTCTTGTGGGCTGTTGCAAAAGAACACTGTGTACACTTGTAAGGCTTATCCCTTGTATGAATCCTCTCATGAATTTTAAGGTGAATTCTTTGACTTGCGGTATACGGACATGAAGGGCATTGGTAAGGTCTTTCTCCTGAGTGTGTTTGCATATGCCTATTCAGATTATATTTTGTTGACGCAGCAAATGAGCATAATGAACATTTATAAGGCTTTGCCTCTATATGGATCCTCTGATGATCTCTAAGAGCCTTCTTTTGTGTAGTAGCAAATGTACATAAGGTGCATTTGTGTGGTTTTATCCCAGAGTGTATTATCACATGTTTGTTCAGATCACCTTTAGCTGCTGCAGCGTAAGAACACAAAGGACACTTATATGGTCTTTCAACAGTGTGCGTCTTTTGATGTCTATTTAGAGTAGCATGTGAAGCTGCAGCAAATGGACATTGTGAACATTTATAAGGTTTCTCCCCTGTATGTGTTCGTTGGTGACTTTGAAGATGGCCTTTCTGTGATGCAGTATAAGGACACTGGACACATCTGAATGGTTTACTTTTGGCACTGCTTCTGGTCTGCATCTTCAAAATATCCCCCTCTGCTGTTGCACAAATGGAAGACAAATCATCACTTGGTGAGGTTGTTTTATCATGCAAGATAATTTCAGTGGACTGAGAAAACATCTCCCCATCATCTTTATCAGCTCTGCCTTCTGCTGAAGTTGGACTATTATTAGCATCCGAACTCTCTACTGCAGGGCAATCCTGTTCTGGCGATATCAAGTCATCATCTTGAGACGAAAACTCTTCATGATTAATATGAGAAGCATTTCTGTCGAAAGTCATCTGATCATGGTGTTGCTTCACATGTTCCATGAATGTGGAATCTGAGTAAAAGTGCTCTGCACAGATAGGACAAATAAAACCAACTGACTCTCCTTCAGGTTCACATTTAATTTCTCTTTTCGTCAAATTATTTGATGTTTCATGTTCTTTGATGTGACCAACAAAATTATCTTCAGTGAAGAAATGTAAAGCACATATTGGACAGAGGAAATTGCCCAAAATAGCCGAGGGATCTTCTTGTTCAGACTTTATTTCTTGTTTTATCCTGAACGACATCCTGAAATTTTAGTAAAGTTAAAAAAGAGCTTTTAAATATAACTTAACTAATGAAATATAGCCTAGGTGTAGACTTTTACATCGGATCGTCACAGATATTTTAGTAAGTAAATTAAAAGATTAATTGTATCAAATACATTTTACAGGATTGTGGTTTATAAAAAGCAAGCGTTTGTTTTGTGAAAAGAATGAAAATATGAACGGAGGTCAAAATAATTTAGTAATTACACACAACAATATCATATTATATATATATTATACATAATATTATATATGTTTCTGTACAATAAAAGATAAAACACATCATAATTGGTTATCTTCAGCATTAATATGCTTGTCACAAGAAAATTTTAGTCGCAAGCATTACTTGTGGTTTTCATTTAAAAACATTAAAGAAGGGGAAAGCACTATTTTCAGGGTCCAATAAATCAACCAAAAAACAAAGTGTCCCGGCCCATCCCTCATAAAGAGAGAACGGGCAGTCAGGATTTCTAGCTTCAGCAGTAAACTCTTCTGTAAACATGAACTGGCCGAATTGGTGAGCCCGATATAAATGTTTGAGGTGCCCAGTAGCCCGATACAAAGCCAGGAATGCATAACCACTCCCTGCAACACCGTGACAAATGCCCGGTCCCTTCAGAAGTAAGCCGTGTTTCCAAAGATTGTCACCACCTGCTCTTAAAGCTGCATCCCCAAACTTCTTATCCTGGATAATTTGAGTCATAAGTTAATGCATATTAATACTAAACATGTAATTTTCATTTGTTAATAAAATCAATTTCAAAAGAAACAAAATATGGAAGTTAGTGCAAGGATATTGAAGTAAATTTTAAACACAATATCGATAAATAAAATATACCTTCAACTCAAGGCTAGCTTTGATGAGAAAGTATATAACCCCAGGGGATCCATGACACCAATGCCACAGATGATCACGATTCTCATTCAAACAAGCTGGGTAATTATTATTCTCTGTTTCACAACTCAACAAACAATAACAAGCTGCTGTAACGTCCTTCATAGCTTCACTGTCCAGGTACTTGGAGTAAGCCAGCAGCATCTGTAATATTGCTGAGAGACCGTGTGCAGCTCCCAGGTAAAGACTGTCGTAGTAACTGTACATTAGGGGACTTGGAGAGTTTAGCTTAGCTGCGTTAGCTCTTCCTGACTGTATAATGGAGGTAACGATAGACTGAATAACATTGCTGGGTATGATATCCTCTCCCAGTTCTTGTTGAAGGTAGAGAGCTCCACAGAGGTATCCAGCACGTCCCACTAACAGTTCATCTCCTCCACAAGCTAAGAAGTCTACTGGTTTACACATCTTGTGAAGAGAAACAAACTGTTTAACATACTCTTCCGATTTTGCAGTGTCGCCTGTCCGTTCATAGAACACAGCAGCAAAGGCGTATACCCCAAGATGTCCCAGTAAAAATGCTGCACCTGTACAGTTTTTAGTTTCCGATTTCTTACGGCAGTATTCCAGAGATGCCTCCAAGTATTTGCAGGCTGTGGTGCGACACAACTCTCTGGATTCATCAGTGAGATGGGAGGACTGTGACGTGTAGAACAAGCCGTAAGCAATTCCAGATAATCCAACATACAGACCACCATCTTCAGCTCTTGGATCTGCTTTAACACGTGACACTATCAGCCCTACTATATTGTCAATCTCTTGAATAATGTCTGATTTGTAGTTCGATTGTATAGCTTCTTTTGTGAGCTTAGTGTCGAAGTCATGAAGATGGTTTGTAAAATAACGCTTTCTCCGCCCTAGATGATGGGCCATCCTTAAAATTTCAGATTAAGAAATTAGCTGCAATAAAACATGGACATGCATTCGTTATTCATTTAAGATTGCATATCAAATACCATCATAGTTTGTATCTAATTTCAACTAAACTTCAAGATTTGTAGGAGGTTGATTTGAATCAATGATATTTCATTATTAGATAATATATCATTTAAAGGTTATAATGTAGACAAAAAGGGTTTCAACAACGAATAATAAATTATGTATGTTAGTAAATAGGATATAATTTAAAATTGAAAGCACATCGTTTTCATATAAATACTTAAATATAAACCCTTTTAATATAGAAAAGTTTTAGAAGTTTTAATCCAAATACTAATTTTAAAAGATAATTTATAGATACGTTGATAATTTAATCAATGTAATTTATTTATATAATTAATTTTCATGTAACATCTTTAAAAAATTAACAGATACAGTATCGCAGATTGCAGGCAAAATTGTTAATTACCAATTGAAAGTCATTGAAATTCATGATAAACCAGTATGATGTTAATTTAAAAATGTAGGGTAAATTCGATATGATAAGTTAATCAAATATATAATTCTGATAAAAACAGTAACAGCCCAGAGATACAAAATAGAAAATTCGTTAAAAACATTTGAAAAAATATGATTGATTAAAAATGTGACTTTTCCGTGCAATCAGAAATGAAATTCAATTAAGGCAAACAACATTGAACAAATTTGAGAATACAACAAAAATCTAAAAACATTGCCTTGATAAACCAATAGCAATTAATAAGGAAGAAACTTTGTTCCAAATATCCCTTACTTATATCTTTATATAATAGTATAACAATATGTTGAACGAGTCAACTGAGTTTAAAAATGGAAGTATTAAAATGTTTCAGCGTATGTGGTAGACAGGTTGACCTGGAGGTCGCCACTCTTCTTTTCAGTTGCAGCAAAGTAAGCTTTAACTCCTCCGTAACCTTTCTGTATCACTTTCTTGTGAACCGCTTTGTAATTAGCATCTGAAATATTCGTTAATATGACAAATACAACCATCCTGTTGAAAACACATCGAGAAAATGATGTAATTTTATGAATTCAAGGTAATCATAGACATAGACATAATTTCAAACTAAACTACATATCATAACGAATTTCAATCTTATCTTACACTTTGTACTTTTATAGTATATTTTGTAATATAATGCCAATAACTCACCACTCTCAACTATGTAGCATTTGTAGGAGCGGTCTTTGTTGTATACAAGCATTGGCCCATCTTCGGCTCCTTCAGCACCAAGGGATACCTGAGGTTTTTGAAATTTATAAATTTAATCAACCAATTCACAAAGATTAATCAGTAATAATTATAATTGGCAAACATTCATTTAATTTAAAAGTCAAACAAAGGTTCCTAGGTTTGGTTTTTTCTAATTTGGTACAGGTGAATGTTTGATATTGATGACTTAAAAATGTAGAGGCAAAAATAGTGGAAAAAGTCTTAGTTATCTTACCTGAATCTTAACTTTCATAGATTTTTCAGCTTGCGGCTTTTGGTTGTTTCCACGACTGCTTTTATCAACCTTTTTTGTTTTCTCATTGTATGTAATAAATTCTTTTCCATACGGATTGGTCACGGGTTTAACATACACTATATCACCCTCAGCCTTTGTAGCAGCCTGATGCTCCTTGCATGTGGGCTTGTGTGTCTTCCAGTCATGTGTTTGACAAGCCCTGCTACAATACCTCACTGACAAACAGCCTGCACATTTGCTCAGCTTACCAGATCCATTACAATAAGTACAAACAGCATCTTCTTTATCATCACCACCATCTTTAGAACTTTGAGCTCGTTCAGATTTTGCCATGGCTCTGTAACCTTTCGAGAAAAGAGATGCTATTCTAGGAATACGACCTCCCATGGCCTGACATGAGATTCCGTCATTGTCTTTTAATGCAGGATTAGCACCTTTAGTAACCAAGAACTCAACAAATTCATAATTGAAATTCATTATGGGTTCAAAGAGTGGAGTGCAACCAAATCTGTTAACAGCATTAACATTTGCTCCATTTTCAACAAGAAGATGGGCAATACTCAAAGTGGTAGAGTTCCCAATCTGTGTCAAGCAATGATGCAGAGCAGTGTATCCAGCAACGTCCTTAACATCCAGTTTACAACCAGCCTCAATAAGCAGCTTAGCCACAGTAATGTGGCTTTTGGAGGGAGATATTCTAGCCCCACAGATAACATGCAGAATTCCACAGAATCTAATCATACTCTCTCGTCTCTCTAGCAGCTTAAATTTGTCATCTTCACTGACAATTCCATTGATGTATTTTCTTACTTTTTCTTCATTGCCATAAAAGCAAGCCTTGCACCAATCTGACAGCCTTCTATTGGTTTCAGGATTGTAGTCAAAACCTGTGGACCATTGTGTTCTCAGCTTCATAGCTTCAAATCCTTTCAACGGAGATTGATCACCATTTCCAAAGGGATCACTATCATGATCAATTATTCCAGCTTGTGATTCCAGATATCTTGCAAGAAACTCTATTTCCCCTTCTCGCTCTGCATCTTTATGTTGTTTAAACGCAGCCTTGGAAGCCTTACCGAGCTTGACATCATTCCTACCAGTCATTTCTTTTAACCCCTGCTCAATTATTTCATGTCCATTTTCATCACCATCAAGCCCAAGTCTAACAAGATCAGCAACCACTTCTGTGATTTTAGTAGTTGTTTTTCGGTACTGCTTGAAGAACTTTGTACCATCATCTTCACCAAATTCTTGATCTTTGTGACCACTTGACATGTTTATTGTTGAAGTTACCTACAATAATTACATTACACTTTACTTTAATCATTAATTATTAATAAACATACTGTTTCAGAACTTACATCAAATAAACAACCAACTTGAAATTTTGGGAAAGCATTTCAATTATCAAACCACATGTGTCTGGAAATTTTGGAGTTCCTAACTCAAAACGTTCTCACTTTATGGTGACAAAAGAGAAAAAGAGGGAGTGCTGTGCCACACCAGTGGCGTAACGAAGGGCCCTGCTGACCCCGCTGTGCAGGGGGGCGCCGTATTAGGGGGGCGCCAAATCGTCGTTTGAATGTGGGACAGTTTCGAAAACTTAACTAAAGTACTAGCAAAACTGCGCGTTTTGCTCTAGATACACACTTTTTTAGAGATTTTACCGGCGTATCCTCTAAAATCACCTAATTTGTTTAATTTTAGGGAGGGGCACCAAAAGGGGAGGGGGCGCCAACAGGGGGGCGCCTTTGCGGCAGGGGGGCGCCAACAGGCAACGTTACGCCACTGTGCCACACCCTTTGTAATCGATGAAATTTTACGAAAATTCTAGGAAATCTAAGTTTGACCCATATCTATATTCTCTAAATTTTTTAAGCAATTTTAATTCCAATTACGTAAGTTATTTAATGGTTGCGTGTGGGTAGTTACTTTTGTGCCACCCTGTATGTTTACTTATGCAATGTATTTCTTGAAAGTGTTGTTTTCTTTATAGTATTATGTTTACAATAAACTACAATGTATAGTAATATGTTTACAGTACACTACAATGTATAATAGTAATATGTTTACAATATGGACTGAAGAGGTATCTTAACAAGATTCTTGATCTTTTGGCAATTAACCCTCAATCAGTGGCGTAACAAAGGGCCCTGCTGACCCCACTGTGCGGGGGGGAGGGGCGCCGTCTTAGGGGGGCGCCAAATCGTCGTTTGAATGTGGGAAAATTTCGAAAACTTAACTTAAGTACTAGCAAAACTGCGCATTTTGCTCTAGATACACACTTTTTTAGAGATTTTACAGGCGTATCCTCTAAAATCACCTAATTTGTTCAAATTTAGGGAGGGGCACCAAGAGGGGAGGGGGCACCAATAGGGGGAGCTTCTTCTTTATTCTGAATATTTGTTTTATTCTTCGGCTGGGGGGGGGGGGCGCCAACACGCAACGTTACACCACTGCCCTCAATCACGATTCTCTGATCAGTCAGAGGTCAGAGGGCACGGAAACATTAAACAATTGTGTAACTCCGCATAGATCCAACCAATAGTAATGTCGATGTATTGAAGTGAAATCCTAAAAAGATTCTTCATCTTTTGGCAGGGACTCCCCTCATTTCGCATAGATCCAATAGATCCTTAACTACTCCCTATACTTGGTGACACTGCAATTCAAACCCTAGACCAGTGCAGATGGCAGAACCTTTAATCACTACGCCACTTAGCCTCTAAGATAAATCAATATCATGATTCATAGACTTGAAAGTTACAAATTTATGGTATGGTACCACATAACATTCTAAATTAAAAAAGGGAGCTTAATGAGGAAATGGAAGAGGCTGAGAGAGACTTGGTCGGTGAAAAAAAAAAAAAAAAAAAAAAAAAAAAGGGGGGACCCCCAACCCATGTAGCTGAGACACCTCACAGCAAGTAGACCAAAGTGGCTCTTGCTTGTGAAAGGTGCGTCAACTACCCGCCGAAGCGGTGGGTTGGGAGTCCCCCCTGGGATCATTTCGTCCGTAAAATTATATACAACATAAAATAGTACAGTAAAATATCAAAATTTACATAAACAAATCTAGGAGACCTCAAAGCTCGTCTTCTGGGGGATGAGGTTGAAGGAGATGTCATGCAGTTCAAGATGCTGGGCCGTTGATCTTCCTCTGATTCCTCTTAGTGCAATGAGTCGGTGAATCAACCGGAATCAATGCAAGGAATCATGCAACCACACAGTAGATTAGGTAATGGTTTTGGCAACTGGAGAAGATGGATAATAGGGAAAGATAGAGGGAGATGGTGCTTGGAGTAAAAAATAAGATGGAGTTGAAATTTGAGGTGGAAGAATGCTCTTTGGAATTGCATAGCAAGTGAGGAGAGTGGATAGACCAGTGGCATAAAGTTACATCAAATCTTCTAATGGGAATTGTGACCCCCACTGTCGAATCACTATAGTAGAGTTTCTACGATACAGGGGGAACCGCGCACTCGAGTGCGCGGCGGGTCATACAACGTATGACAAATATTTAATACTTTACTATAAATATATTTCATTTTTTGTTAAACATTAAAACATAAAAGTATAAATTAACTTTACAGCTGGAAAGTTTGTTTATATTATTTAAATAAACACATTATTCACATTATTCACTGCACAGCACGTCGTGGCCCTTACTTGTGCAGTGGTGCATTTTGCCCTTGGTCCGATTGTGCCCGGTTTAATCATAATTTCACTTACTGGGCCGCGCGCTTTAATTGACGATGTCAATTCATCGCAGCTCGGCGCAGCACAGAAGCGCATTTTGCCGATCTAGCTGTGAGAAGCCTCATTGAGTGTGGATTGCATGTGGATCAAGCGCAGTGCCGCGCCTAAGCAACAAAAGAGTTATTTATTTAAAAAATTTATTTTTGTACCTCAAAAATGATGTAAAGTTTTTAATATGACGTAAAATTAAAACTATTTCCGTACAGCCTAAGTATGCTCATTAAAAAAACAATGATCATGCTAGCTTTTTTATTTTTGTAAGTCGCGTCCGCGGCTGACATCTTGGGTTGTACTGGATGTAACAAGTTTATTATCGGATGTCTACTTATATTTATTATGATATCATTATTCATTTTAATGGCAATAAAATTTAAATTTTGTTTTACTTAAAAAAATTTTGTTTTATTTAGTGCGCGGCGCGGCACAGTAACGCATCTATCAAAAATATTACCCTCTTTTTAATATAAAACCTAATCAAACTTTCCATGTGTAATAAAGATTTATAAAACGCTTCTTTGCTGCAGTTGTCACATTGCACATACTGTAAGTATACATTATTGATTATGCAATGTAAACTTACTAATTGAAGCGAAATCGAAACAGCTAAAGTATTGACATACGTTGCATGCCACTTTTCGCGCGCAGTACGTATTTTAAAATAAAACATGGTTTTATGTTTAATTTGAAGCAAATAAAATAGCATAGTTATTATGTAATCATAACCAATAAGGATATCAGAAAATTGTAATTTTGTTAATTTTATCGTTTATAATTTGACATTTCACCGAAATGTGCAATGTGTTGTAATTTTACAACGCAATTCTTAACTAGTAAAACAAAGTATTTTAGTAAAACAAAATATTTTATTTATTAGCAGTGCAATCTGCAATTCATATGATATAATTATAAGAATGTAATAGTATGTCACACTTATTTAACTGTTACGTTTGAGTAGTCGTGCCATGGCTAAATCAAACTAGGACCAGTGGTGTCGATTAACATTTAATAGGTGAGTCTAAGTGACACAAATGGAAAATTTTAAGAAAAGACGGATCAAAACACAGATCCAAGGACAAGGAGACCCCACTGCAGGACCATACTTTGCTCTAACCAGAGCCCTCTCGCTTGCAGTAGCGCGCGACCGCCGGAAACATGCGCGTCGCGTCACGCAGTACGCGTAGGCACATGGCTATGTGAAGACCATACTTGCTATTGGCTTGTGCATGGCCCAAAAGGTTCCAGTTGTCCAGGAAACTGTACGTAGCTGGTCAATTAGTTTTGAATTCAGACTACACAGGAGGGGCTAAGTGCAAAGAAACTGCTGCTAACTGCTGCTCACTGCTATTCACTGCTGCTCACTGCTGCTCACTGCTGCTCACTGCTACTAACTGCTGCTCACTGCTGCTCACTGCTACTAACTGCTGCTCACTGCTGCTCACTGCTGCTATCGGCGCGCGCGCGACAGCAGCAGTGAGCAGCAGTGAGCAGCAGTGAGCAGCAGTTAGTAGCAGTGAGCAGCAGTGAGTAGCAGTGAGCAGCAGTTAGTAGCAGTGAGCAGCAGTGAGCAGCAGTTAGCAGCAGTGTCTTTGCACTTACCCCTCCTGTGACTAGGCTTGATGAGTTCTGGGGTTTCTAGAGGTAAGATTTGATGGTGCCAGGTTTTATTTGTTCAGGCGGACATGGAAATTATTCGATGAATATATAGGTATATAAAAATCATATCAATATAAAAATAGATCCAAAAATAGATCCAGAGATTCACACGGCAGTCAGGGAACTTCCAGACAGGATGCTTTTGAAACAGGTATAATTAGCGCTTTTGTAATTAATTGTATGCAAGGGATGGGATGCTGATCAACTAAGCTGGTTCAATGCCCCAGCTATTTAGGGGGAGCCACTCAATTCACGCCCAGGTGTTGTCAATTGCTGGGTTTCGAGTAAAAGCTTTTTGATACGGCTCTTGATAATTTAGATGGGGGAGGAAAGGTCAGAAAATTTACTAGAGCCAGGGACCATGACATCGTTTTCATTAGGAGTGCATTTGTCGAATATTTTATCAACCAAACTGTTCCATATAGTCGTACCTTTGAAGACAAAATTGTGTTTAGAAATGTCAAGTTTGTGTCGGGGGACCCGCATAGTTTGGCTACATGTTCTGGAACTTGTTTGGAATAAACTTGTCAGAGAGATGGGTTGATGCAGTTTCAAGATTTTAAACAATTCAGTGGATATATGTTGGGTGTACAAGTTGTGGATTGACATGATCTTCTCGGTATTGAATATTGGCTTAGTGTTTTCCAAAGCAAAGCTCCTTTTTGCGATGTGTTCACTGTATGGTCTTGCACGTGCACATGTTTCATAGTACTCTGCCCGGTCAAAGCTTGGTTTGCTTCCAAATAGAAGGCGTACGCATCTTTTTTGGATGGAGGACAGCTTAGATAGTCTATAAGGTTTTAATACTTTCAACACTACTATATAACAAATAATTTGAGGGATGGCAAGTAACAATGTACCCGAGAGGGTGTCGATACGAAAAAAACGTGGAGTCAAGACGAGTCCCCCTAAGGATTCATCTTCTGATAATGTCCCAGTGCCAGAGGAAAAATACTGCCAATGTGATCTTTACATGTCAGAAGAACTATCAGTTGAATGTGAAGCTTGCCAATTATTTTGGCACCTGAGACCTGAGTTGTGTTGGTTTATCTGGCCTTAAAAACGAGATGTTACTGAATCTAACAAACTGGAAGTGCCCATACTGTTTTGTGGCGCCTCATACCTCAGCTGACACTAAGGAAAACGGGGCTGTCAGGGCTATTATTAAAGAGGAACTCCAACATTTGACCCCAGCCCTGACTAACTCGATTAAGGAAGCTATTAAAGGAAGCGCAGAGAAAACAGTTGACAAAGCTGTTCGTCTCTATTCTGAGGTAACAGCTCAAACCCAGAAGAAGGTTCTCGATGACATGAGTCGTGAACAAGCTTCTGAAACTGTTATTTCGGAAGTGCAAATGAAGATGCACACTGATACATTTGAGCGAAACAAACGAAAACTCAATCTGTGTGTGCTCAAGGTTCCAGAGAGCAAAAAGACTACCTCTAAGCAACGCCAGGAGGACGACTCCAAGTTCTGCAGGGAGACCCTAAAGATTAAGAAGGACGACATGATAAGTTGCCATCGCTCTGGCAAGCTTGATGCTGACAAGCCAGATCATCGTCGCCCGCTCATCATCCAGACACGAGATGAAGAGTCAGTAAATTTCTACGCTGACCATGGTAAGGGCTGGAAAGAGTCAACTTATTGGATCAACTTGGACCTCTGCAAGGCAGACAGAGATATTCGTTTTTTAGCCAGAAAGGAGAGGAAGAAGAGGCAGGAGGAAGCGAAGAAAAGAGAGACAGAGAAGACGAAGGAGGAAGCAAAGAAAAGAGAGCCAGAGAAGACAGAGGACAAAGCGGAGGCCGCAGTGCCCAGCCGTTAAATATTTTTTATACCAATGCTAACGGCCTATTTAATAAAATTGATGAACTAAAATGTATTTTATCAATGTATAAATCTATTGAGGTAATTTGTGTAACAGAAACTCATTTTAGTAGTGATATATTAGATGCCGAAATTTATATTGAAGGATTTAGTATGTTTAGAAAAGATAGAGATTTTAGAATTGACAATTCCACTGGCAGTATAAGTGGTGGAGGAGGCTCTATAATTTATGTTAAAAACTGTTGTAATGCTTCACTAGTGAACTCTTTTTTAAAGGCACCAGATTCTTTAGCTGTTAATATCAACACATCAGGTGGACTGATTAGTATTTGTTGTATTTACAGATCCACTCCATTGAATTTAGAACAGAATAATGCATTAATATCTTGTATCAAGAGCATCTGTAGTGAAAGGAATGATTTTGAAACACTCCTTTTAGGAGATTTTAATTTACCAAATGTTTTATGGGAAACTGGTAGCATAAATAGTAATATTGCTAGCAAGAACCAGTTTTTAGTTACTCAACAGAAATTCATGGATGTTTTCAATGACAGTGGTTTAACTTGGTATTTCACCAACGAGACAACTAGAAGACGGCTTGTGAAGGATACTCTCCAGGAGAGTCTTCTTGATCAGGTCCTGTATACAAATGATGCTCTTGTCAACGGTTGTAAGATCGTTTCTCCGCTTGGTAAGAGTGATCATGTTGGGATACTTGTCGAACTAGTTGTTTCGCCGGATACTAGCAAATGTTTAAAAGAGAAGATTATCAAACCTATATGGGGTAAGATTTCCTCTGAAGAGTTATTAAATTTTAGTTTGAAAAATATCGACTGGGATTATAGTTCTACCAATGATGTTCAAGATATGTGGGCTGAATTACATGGTAAACTGGAGACTGTTGCTGCAGCTGTTCCGACTGCTTCGGTTTATCTCGACAACAGACCTGTCAAGTTGCCATGGAGTACATCTGCACTTAAACGAATGAGAAAGAATAAAGATAAAGCATGGGCTGAGTTTGATATTAATCCATCTGATGTTAATTTTAGTTATGCAAGTAGCAAACAACATACTTATGAAGTAGCAGAAATTAAAGCTAAAGTTAACTATGAAAAGAAAATTACATCTAATCTAAAGCAGAATTGTAAGTCTTTTTACTCTTATTTACGAAATAAACGTCAAATTAAATCAAGTGTGGTTTCTTTAGATAGAGGAGATGGTACACGCACAGATAGTTCAACTGAGTCAGCTGAGGTACTCGCAAGTGCCTTTAGCTCTGTTTTTGTGCGTGAACCACCTGGCCCTCTCCCTAAAACTGAGAATTTAAGACCTGACAATGAGAGTATTGATGATATTGATGATATGGAAGTCAGCAGTTCTGATATAAAAAAGCAACTTTTAAAGCTTAACATTTTTAAGAGTTCTGGTCCGGATGGTGTTCATCCGAAGTTGTTGAAATCGCTAGCTTATGACAACAATTTTGTTGAAGCATTAACTAAATTATTTCAAAAGTGTTCAGATACAGGATCTTTACCTGCAGTGTGGAAATCTGCATCTGTTGTAGCATTGTTTAAAAAGGGTATTAAATCGGACCCCTTAAATTATAGACCAGTTTCATTAACGTGTATTTTGTGCAAAGTGTATGAAAAGTTGGTGAGAGCACATGTATTGAATTTTCTAGAACATCGAATTTCGAAGCATCAGCATGGATTTGTTAAGGGTAAATCGTGTTTATCTAATCTTTTAGAGACATTTGATGACATTCTTGACATTTTAGATGAAGGTGCCCCGGTTGATCTTCTATACTTTGATTTTAGTAAGGCATTCGACACAGTCCCCCACTTTAGACTTCTGTCTAAATTGGAAGGCTTTGGTGTCAAAGGAAAGGTTTTAGATGTTATTAAAGATTTTCTGACAGACAGGACTATGAGGGTCTCTGTAGAAGGACAATGGTCCGAGGTTAAACATGTTTTATCTGGTGTTCCTCAGGGGTCAGTTCTAGGCCCTCTCCTATTCATTCTGTATATTAATGATTTGCCTGACCTTGTAAAAAATAAGATAAAGTTATTTGCTGATGATCTTAAATTAATTGGTAATGCAGCTAACCACGGTAGTGTTGCTGAAGATATCGAAGAATTAGAAGTTTGGGAAAGTATTTGGCTTTTACAATTTAATCCTGCCAAGTGCAAAGTAGTGCACATTAATTTTAACAACAATCCTAATTTAAATTATAAAGTTAATGGTATAGAACTTGAAGTATCTGCACAGGAAAAAGATTTGGGGGTTATTACCCATAGCTCCCTGCTTTGGAACGAACAGATCAAAGCATGTATCGCTAAGGCAAATCGTATGATTTGTTGGATTGTAAGGAATTTAGTTATTAGAGAAAAGGTTGTTATGATTGCTATATATAAAGCTTTAATAAGACCTCATCTTGAGTATTGTGTCCAATTGTGGAATCCACCTGCGGCTCATGGAAGTTGGGGGACTGTTTTGGAGCTGGAGAGCGTCCAGAGGCGGTTTACCCGTCTGATTGATGAGGTGGGTACTCTTCCTTACAGCCGTAGACTGGAAATCCTCAATTTGACAACGCTGGCAGAGCGGCGAATACGTGGGGACCTTATTGAAGCTTTTAAGGTTATTAATGCTATGACTGATTATGGTTCAGACTTGTTCAGACCAAGCAGATCAGGTCTTAATCTGGTTTCATCCAATAGATGTAGTAAAAGTGTGACAAAGGTCAAGAATATCCAGAAGTCTTTTCTCCCGGAGCGAGTTATTCCATATTGGAACAAACTCCCTCCGGACGTCAAGAACTCTGTGACAGTTTTAGGTTTTAAAATTAAATTAGAAGGATATAAGATAGATATGATTTCTAAAAGTATTACAAATGATTGCTTTTTTTGGAATGTTTCTAATGAAGTTTTAGTAAGAATTGAGGGAGCCAGTTATGTCAGTAATAAAGAGAAACATAACAATTATCTTTGGTTCCATCCTTATGTGGCAAAGAAGCGTTTTATAAATCTTTATTCCACTGGGAAGTTTTTAAAATAGGATAATGTTTTTGATGAAATTGTTTTTAAATATTGTATTTGATAATTAATTAATGTTGGTGGGGAAATATTTATTATATATTTTTTCACACAGTGCGATGATAGTTTGTAGACATGTGTGATGATGTGATGTCATAAATTTTACTTTACTTTACTTTACTAAGGTATGACACCACCCCAGCTACTGATACAGTAGCTCATATGAGACTTGAATAAGGAGTCATACAGTTTATGGTATTCTGTTTCTGGAATAAACTTCATAATACGTTTAATTATAGCTATACTTGTAGTTAGTTTACATTTTATGTTATCTAGTTGGGGTTCCCAGGATAGTTCAGATCATGGTCTATGATTACACCAAGGAATCTCACTTTATCAACTCGTGTAAGCGTGGTGCCTGATAACGTGAGTGAGTTCTCAGAGCCATATTCACGAGCATGTGCACAGGACAAGTACCGGCCAGGTCTGAATAACATGTAGACCGATTTGCTTTGGTTAATGTGCAGCAAGTTAGATTCCATTATATATATAGTCATTTACAGATTCAAGTACTTTATTAGCATTCAAATAGGCTTCTTGTTCAGTTTTTCCAGCAACAAATATGTTTGTGTCATCTGCAAACTGGGCCGTGCCGCACATTGAATAATGCTTATCGCATCGCTTCACAAGATCGTAGCACTATATCTATTTAATAAAGCTGCTAAAATCTACATGCTACTCACTGGAAAAGTTGTGTAGGTTTATATAATTATTAACCTACCAAGACGCACGCCCGCGCCAAGTTGGATTTGGACTCATTGACCATCTTCAGCTTTGAAGCAAATATTAACTGCAGCAGTTAGCAGCAGTGAGCAGCAGTTAGCAGCAGTTTCTTTGCACTTTAGTCTCCCTGTGTCCTTTGATGTAGTGGTGCTTGTTTGGCTAAGCATTCTTCTTCTTTTGAAAGTTTTGAACAAGAAGTCTATGCTTAACTCGATCCTCCAATGAGCGGTCTGGACTAATAATGAAGACTGGACTAAACTTCGCTGATTGTCGCAGCTTTCGAGCTTGACTGATTATTTGATGGGCTGTACTGGAACTGGACAGAGTAACCTTGACTAGCCGAGTAGTCTTCTCCTTTAACTTAACAACTCTACTGAGCTCCATTGCTGGTTTCAGTCCAATCTCCTCAAATATGCCCACATCCAGAAACACGCCATCTTGCCAGGCAGCCTGGGAGGAAATTTTTTTTGGGAGGAAAAACGGGAGAAAAAGAGGAAATTTTTGAGAAGTTACTCCTAAATTTCGAAATATTTTTTTGGAATAAAGACAAATTAATTGAGGAAATTTTTGAAGAAAATGTTTCGATTGTATAAAAATCAAAGAGGAACATCTTGTCAGTTTTGTAAAATATTCTGATTGGAGAATGCAGATTGCTGTTGTGAAGTTACCAAATTTACGTGAGTACTTGATTCTTTTCAATCCCAGTTTATTGCTGTCCTACAAATTTCTTTAATGCCAAATGCCGTCTAAAACACCCTATTTCGCAAAAAATTTCCAGCTTGCTTGCTTCGCTCGCTGCGCAGCTGGATTGGACACGTCGACTCCAGACTCGCTTCGCTCGCCGACAGCCCCCTCCCCAAACTTGCGAGCGAAGCGAGCGGGCCACAGAATTTAGAAAAAAACGCATCTGGGAGGAAATATAAAACTTTCTGGATGTGGGCAAATATGTCTCCGACAGTTCTGTTCAAGTCTTTACTTGACTCTTCAGGTAAACCGAAAATCATGATGTTCTTGCTCCGGTCTTCTGCTTGCACCACAGACTTGACAACTTCCTTCAAACTCTTGGGGGTGACTGAACTTTCAGGTTGACAAAACATGACGTTTTCATGAACTGCATCGCTGTATGATTTAAACTGAGTTTCTACTGTGTCTTTAACGACAGTCTGCACTGCCTGCAACTGTTTCTGCAACTGTTTTTCTTTGCAATCAATTATTGATTCCTGAGCGCTGATAACCAATTTCGGCAGTATCGAGATAGCCCGACCACTGGTCCGCGGACCACTGTCCGCGGACCACTGTCTGCGGACCACTGTCCGCGGACCACTGTCTACCAGATCATATTACTGTATAATAACAGTATCCCCTGAATCAATCGTAATCATTTATTTCATTGAGCAATCAATATTATTCGTAACTAATTATATCCGAGAGACCACATTTGAATCGTAATCAATAGTTTGATCCAGTAATTTACTACGCTACAATTAATTATGCTAGTCGTAACTAATTGCATCCAAGATACCATACATACCATTCATATGATCTGGTAACCAATCAACTATTCACAAACACCTGTTGCTTGATTCAGGGGATACTGTTATTATACAGTAATATGATCTGGTAGACAGTGGTCCGCGGACAGTGGTCCGCAGACAGTGGTCCGCGGACAGTGGTCCGCGGACCAGTGGTCGGGCTATCTCGATACTGCCCCAATTTCTGATTCTCAATCAACTGATTCTTGATTGAGCTTAATCCGTTTTTCATTTTCTTTAAATTGTCATTTTGAAAGAAAACCAAATGAAACGATTCTGACAGAAACGCATCAAACTTTTCTTTATCCTTTAATGACCTTTGAAGCAAAAAATGTTTGCACAGTACAGAAGTCATGTCAGCTGGTGCTTCACAACCGAACTGATTCATAATTTTTGCCATCCAATCCTCAGCTTTAAACATAATACCGTCAATCTCCGTGTCGTCCACAGCTGCCATGATGTTAGGCTAAACTACATGGTGAGAGGCACAAAATCTCGTCGTAAAACAAGGCGAGATAAGAAAGCAGATAAGAGATAAGAGAGCTATTAGTGTATGGCTGAACTGATATTAGTGTAGTGCTGTCAAATCAAAAACACCCATCTCAATCCGATTTGTAAGTTGTGTTATTGTTGTGAATTTGTTTGACATAATACCATTGATTTAGTTACATTCATTGGCCGAGCTTTTTGTTTTTTAGCATTCCTAATCTCGGTTTATTTCATTATTTGAAAATTTTAACAAATTAAAAAATGTTTATAGCTATGATAGCATCAAAATTGTCAAGAACTCTCCTCCGTTGTCACAGCACTGCTGCTGCTGCCATAGCTTACAACAGCAAGAATGTGCCGATTGAGCAAACAAAGGTAAGTAATTTGATTTTGTATTTTCGGGAATTGATGGAACCACCAAAATATGTAAAGACTCACAATCATAGTTAATCAATCGCAAGAACCACACTTTTGCCAACTTGCTCTAAATGTGCAATTAGGTTTCCAAACTGTTTTATCTTAACTCATCAATTCAACCAATTAAGCATAATATGCTTAATATTATGATCATAATATTCAGTACATATTAGACAGGAAGAATGTGATCTTATGAATCTACGTCGAACTGATCAACTCTTGCAGCTGTTCATCAATAATGAGTTTGTGGAGGCAGCAAGTGGAAAAAGGCTAGAAGTTATCAATCCATCTACTGGAGACACTATCTGCGATGTTGCAGAAGCTGACAAAGTTAGTTTACCATCGAATTTTATAAATTCTTAGACACCAAATTCTTCAACTGGCATGATCAAGTAAATTATTAATTTCTTATCTTATATACCCTATCTTAACAACTGTTATCATTAAATTCGTTTTAAAAGTATTATTTGAGACTTAACATAAGTATAGATTGTACAACTTCCTTTAAACTTGTAATAACTTGGTATGAACAGGCTGATGTTGATATTGCCGTGGCAGCTGCCAGGTCAGCTTTTAACTATGGATCTGAATGGAGGACAATGAATGCAAGTAATCGTGGCAGGCTGATGTACAAATGGGCGGATGCTATTGAACGAGATATACATTACATAGCTGTAAGTCATTGGGTTTATCAAAAATAAACAATTCATATTTTATTTAGTTAAGTTCAATTACATAGTTAAATTATTCAAATCTTAAAATACCACACTGTATTTTGGTATTACAGGCTCTAGAAACTCTAGATAACGGCAAACCTTTCGACGATTCACTTCATGTTGACATTCCTCTTGTTATCAACACTCTGAGGTACTATGCTGGATGGGCAGACAAGGTTCACGGGAAGACAATTCCTTCTGGTTAGTTGGTTTGTTAACTGCTTAATAGTATTATTATGATAATGATGTGTGCCTTCCACGTGACTCTTTCAATAGATGTTCTGACTTCAGATCGTTAAAAAAGCAAATGAATTAAATAGAAAAACATTTTTAATGGGCCTAACCTTTTAAGCTTAGGCCCATTACGTACAATTCTGTATTAAGATAACAGCACTTCCGAAATTACTGATAAATGCAGTGGCGTAACGTTGCCTGTTGGCGCCCCCCTGCCGAAAAGGCGCCCCCCTGTTGGCGCCCCCTCCCCTTTTGGTGCCCCTCCCTAAAATTGAACAAATTAGGCGATTTTAGAGGATACGCCGGTAAAATCTCTAAAAAAGTGTGTATCTAGAGTAAAACGCGCATTTTTGCTAGTACTTTAGTTAAGTTTTCGAAATTGTCCCACATTCAAACGAAGATTTGGCGCCCCCCTAAGACGGCGCCCCCCTGCACAGCGGGGTCAGCAGGGCCCTTCATTACGCCACTGGATAAATGTGAGAATAGCCACTTTGATCATTGATCACGTACAGTGTACAATGTTCAATGTACAATGTACAATGTACAATGTACAATGTATAATGTAAAATGTACAATATACATGTACAATGTACAATGTACATGTGCCCATCAATAATGTTCCTATCTAGAAACTACATGCTCTCCAGAGAGACGGGTATTGTACATGCTTAAAAAAATTCAGCAGAAGGAATTGAAATTATTTATTTCAATAGTTAAGTTTTATCCCAAAGTTGACACACTCCAATAACCACCACCACTTCCCCCAGATGGAGGCACCTTTGTGTACACTCGACACGAGCCTGTGGGTGTGGTTGGTGGTATTACCCCCTGGAACTTCCCTCTTGCTATGTTCGCTTGGAAGATAGCTCCTATCCTAGCTTGTGGGAACACGTGTGTTATGAAGGTGGCTGAACAGACCCCGCTCACTGCTCTCTACTGCGCTAAACTTGCTAAAGAGGTAAACGTCGGGGGTCGGACTTGGATATCACCTTTCCTGCTATCATTCACGTCTTTTGTATTTTATCAGACCACCGCACTTTTTAACTTGCATTGTGCAACAACCAAAGTAAAAGAGATTCGCCAGTCACCAGTGTGAAGCGTATTTTAAAGACGGACCATGGTTATTATTTCATTAATTAATTATTTAGTATTAGCAGGTTCAATGTTCATAATGATAATCCAGGTTGGATTTCCCGATGGAGTGATCAACATTTTATCTGGCTACGGGCCAACTGCTGGTGGTGCTATTGCCAGTCACATGGATATCGAAAAGGTCGGCTTCACTGGCTCAACAGAGGTAAGTTTAACACACTCATACTTGAGAGAGAAACGTTTTGTTATAAATGTTTTAATTGTCTTTTATATTAAGGGGTTTATTAGCGTGAATAACGCCAATAATACTTTCATAGATGTATTTAAAGTTTTTATCGGTTTAATACACTTCTATCACAATCAGGTAGGGAAGATAATCCAAATGGAATCTGCAAAGTCCAACCTGAAACGTGTCACCCTAGAACTCGGGGGAAAGTCTCCTAATATTGTCTTTGACGACTGTGATCGTACGTACAGTTTTTATCTATATAATAAACGTGTTTAACTTCAGTTTTAATTTATCCAAACAGCCATAATATGGTTAATGGTTAAAACCGGCTAATAACATGCGGCAGGCTGAAAAATTAGTGAAGATTATGAGAATATTATATAAGTATATAGTTATATAGTGGAGTTTAAAATAATAATTACTTAAAATATTTGTCACATTTCAGTGGATCAAGCAGTTGCAGCTTCACACATGGCTGTGTTCTTTAATGTTGGCCAATGCTGCTGTGCTGGTACACGCCTCTACGTACAAGGTAAGATAGGCCACTTCTTCTTCTTCTTTACGTAAATAAAACATTCAATTAGAAACTTAATATTGATCACTATAACATAATAATGTATAATGTATAATGTATAATGTATAATGTATAATGTCCAGTCCATGTTTAGTGTTCACTGATCTGTTACGTGACAGTTGACACTTTCAACCTCACATTACCAGAGACAATGTATGAGAAGTTTGTTGAAAAGATGGTTGAGAAGGCTCAGAACCGTATCCTGGGAGACCCTTACGATCCCAAAACTAATCACGGTCCTCAGGTATTTCAATAGATTTCAATAGATAAAGTTAGTCCCTGCCTTTGCAGGCAGTTTAGGGAATGAGGTAATTTCTTGCTCCAAGTTAAGGAATTTTGGTACTTGTTTGCCTTATTTCAGAGAGTCTGGGCATATTTGTTATAGACGGAGACAGTATGCATTTTTTGTATAAGAAAGTAGTTGTTGTGGTTACCAGTATCTGCCCACATTGTTGCAAATTGAGTTTCTTCTCAAGTATGTACATTGACACTTGACAGGTTTGGTGTAAGTCTTTACAAAATAAGCTACCAGTTTAGTATTTCAAAGGAGTAAATAATAATACACATAATATAATAATATAATAATATAATACATAATATATATAACGTGGTCCATGGACAAAAATTAGTCAATTAAGATTTGTAATTTTCGTCTTTTAAAATCTTTTACTTAAAACATAAAATAATAATATTTGATATAAATAAATGTATTGGCCTTGTATGTGTGTTATGAAAGTAGAAACCCAACAGTGTCTATTTATTGTTGGCATCAAAGAAGATAGAAACATTTTTGCCATCGTAAATGTAAACACTATTGCGGCTCACAGTGTAGGGCGGATTTTCGTTGTTTTTGTAAATGTGCATCGCTCCCCAGCCCAAGCAATGCACCTCTACTGCACAGTAACCGCCCATGTGACTCTTGAACTGCGTGAACCATTTTACCGGAGCCGCATCGTTGTAGCAGTGCCAGGTGAACTCCTTGTCAGACACATTTAAGATGTAAGCATGGTCTGTTTTCGTGTTGGAAATGAAGGTCCGAGCTTTAACCAACACATCTATGGCTCTCCCAACGTTTTGAATCTGCTCTCCATACGCCTCAACAGTAGTTTTTGCTGCGTTTGCGAATGCCTCCGGATTGTCCAATACTGCTTTCGTTATTACCGCCGCACCAGCCATCTCTAAATTTACTGTCAGATATTATTATGTACATATAATGGAAAGTAACCAATCCTTACCCAAGCTCTGCCTCCTGGGCAAAATGTAAACGCTGGAATATTATTTAATTCAAATCTCACTTATAAAGATGTTGATATGTTAGGCCGGTACAGTGAAATACTTTTATAAGCCTCAGTGCTTATATTTTAGTACAGGGTGGGCCAAAAGTTGGCCTTTATAGCTCAATCACTGATTGCCCGATTGAGGTAATTCTTTTTGGTATGAATTATTTATATTATTACCACTCATTCGAGGAATATGTTAAATCAAAGAATATTCATGTTCATTTTTTTTTCGAATGAAGGTTCATTATCGCATTTATTTTATAGTTCTGATAATCGCTTCGAGTCAAATTTTATTGAATTGTGTTTGGCCATTCGAATTACGTTCGTCACGTTAAACGTATGTAACGTTACTTTTGGCCCACCCTGTATATTTTCACAAAAAACAGGAAATTGCACCAACATTTACAACAAAAATCTTCCTGGTTTTAATAACGTTATAAAAAACTATGAAAATAACAAATTGAACCCTTGAAAAGACTGGTTCGACCCACGTCCCACAAGCTTTGTGAAGACACTCCACAATAACAACAACAATAATATCATCGTTTACAATTAACATGGTATAAGGAGCAAGGAAGTTAGCTATTTTAAATCTCAGTTAAACAATGAGACAACAGCAGGAAGTAATGGCATGAAGTAATGCACCGTGATATTGTGAGTTCTAGTTGCAGTTCTATTATTACTATTTCAAGATACTGTGGGACTGGTTGTTATATCTGATTACGTCACTGATCCAAGTGTAAGCTAACTATTAATTAATATGGCTTGTTCATGTTTATATAGTTATATCGTATTGCTAATTAATTGGTATTTATGCTAATTAATTGGTATTTATGTGTGTTAAGATAAGGTTCTCGTCACGTTGAGTCCTTTCAAAGGAGACAATACTAAACCAATAGCTAAATTAATAGAAAAAATAACTAAATTGACGAAGCATTTTCATTGTTACCTTTTAAAATCTTAAACTTATTTAAATTGTATTATTATATATTTTTTTAAATTATAAAAGTATAAAGCTGTCTATTTGTAGGGATCAAATAAAAGGTAAACATTTTTGCCATCGTAAAAGGAAAACACTTTTGTGGTTCACAGTGTAGGGTGCAGGTGGATTCTCGTTGTCGTTGTAAATGTGCATTGCTTCCCAGCCCAAGGTATACACCTTGCACCTGTACTGCACAGTTACCGCCCATGCACGTCTGGAATTTCGTGCACTATTTTACCGGTTCCACATCATTGTAGCAGTGTCAGGTGAACTCCTTGTTTTTGAGAGTCTGGGCCTAGTTGTTGTCTAAGACAATACATATTGATCTATATAAGGAAGTTACGAATTTTATTGCAATTTGAGTTTATTTTCAGATAGATAATAAGATAATATACTAGAAACCCGCTCATCCAAATGCAGCTATATTCGCGGGAATTTGATATCATTTATATTATAATTTCACTTCATCATCTAGCTCCGTTCTGTAAAAAGTATGAAGTTTTCGGAAGATGACGGTAAAGTTCCAATTGTTCCTTAGTTGATTAGGGCCTGTCATGATATCATGGATCGATTAGGTTCCACCAGGATCTGGTAGTCCTCATAATTCTGCGGCATCTATGTATCGTTATCTTGCACAACTCCGTAAGACCCTTGTGAGTTTGGCATGTGAAAATTTGCAGCCTTCCAGACATTGATTGGGTTAACGAGGTGTCGTATGTCAGCTAGTTGGGCCAAGATTTCAAAATTGATGGGCAGCCGTCACTCACCAAACCATGGTGTGAATGGTAGTGGCTCTCATTAGAGCTGCGAAAATAACACGAGTGCATATGCCTGGGGTTGCGTCCTGACTATGCTGCAGGGAAATCTGTACCGAAAGGACCGTGGCCGCACCGCAAAAGAAAAGGAGATCGGCCCCTCGATCCTAGCTTGCTAGGTTCGCCATTGTTGTGTTGTTGTTGTATGTCACCTCAAGATCGGGTGACAGGGGGCTGACCAGGCCAGAACCCAATTGATTGGGTCTGAGGTCACGTGATTATGAGCCTGAGGTTACGTGACTGTGACGTCACCAGAGCTTGTTCTCCGTTTCCCGCTCATTGGACCAGTAGTTGACCAGTAGTTATAGTAAGGGGAAAAGTGGTCGATTTAAGGGTTCCGTTGGATTTAAATGTTCACAAGGATTTAGCAACGGAATATGGTAGTTAGAACCCCTACGAACATAATTAGACTTGTCACCAATTTTGTATCTCGACAGAAACACCACTTTTTACCACTTTTTACCACCTTTGTACCACCTTTCTAGTTTGCCAAATATCTTTAGTTGTGAACGTCGTAGAAGGCTGGAAATTAACCTAGAATGTTTATCTTATCAAGGAGTAAAACTTTTGTTCAAAAAATTTTTACATCGGACAATCAGCTAATTGGATAATTACTAATTAGTTAATTACCAAAAAAAGTGAAAAATTTTTATTGGCTCAAAATAATTAAAATCGTTTGAAACACGGAGAAATGTAATTTTTAGAAAAACTTCAAAACTTTTTCTCTTACACAAATTTTTTTCGAGACTTGGAAAAATTTCGAAAATTTGAAAAAAAAATTTCCGCCAAAAGTGATCGAATTGCATGAAACGTGGATAAAAATGCTTTGCAGAAAAACTTCGAACCTTTTTAGATTGGGGAATACTAAAATCATCAATATTTGAAGTTGGAGTTCAGTAAATCTCGGCATATTTTAGTAATTAGGAATAGCTTAGCGGAAAGGGCTGAACCTGAAAAACGTTAACCACACAATATTAGAGTTTCATAACTAATTACAATATAGCTTTATCAAATTCCACATAAAGAAACAGCACAAAAGGACCGTTTAAGATCGAACCGATTTTACCTGCTGTATACTATCATTTTATTGATTTCAATGATCAAAAGTCAAAACCTCTCTGTACCGTCAATCTTGCCAATCTATACCAGGTATCTGAATGTACCGGACCTCTTCTTTGCCTCTATAATAATTAGACCCAGTTGTGCAAGAAATGCGATTTCTCACAGGGGCTTCTTTTAACTGTGCACCTTTTGTCACTCCCGCAAGAGGCCCGGTATTATAGGGGGGTATAGGAAGTGTAAATATACCTTCCATCATCCACTGTGGCTTTTTTGTGTTGTGAATGCACATTGCACATGCCGCTTCGTTTGCTATGCAAGATACCTCGAATAACCCGCATATGTCATTGCCAGGGTCGGGATAGAGCTGGAGATAGCATTGAGAGGTTCGGTACATTCAGATACCCGGTATAGATTGGCAAGATTGACGGTACAGAGAAGTTTTGATCATTGAAATCAATAAAATGATAGTATACAGCAGGTAAAATTGGTTCGATCTTAAACGGTCCTTTTGTGCTGTTTCTTTATGTGGAATTTGATAAAGCTGTATTGTAATTAGTTATGAAACTCTAATATTGTGTGGTTAACGTTTTTCAGGTTCAGCCCTTTCCGCTAAGCTATTCCTAATTACTAAAATATGCCGAGATTTACTGAACTCCAACTTCAAATATTGATGATTTTAGTATTCCCCAATCTAAAAAGGTTCGAAGTTTTTCTGCAAAGCATTTTTATCCACGTTTCATGCAATTTTATCACTTTTGGCGGAAATTTTTTTTTCTTCAAATTTTCGAAATTTTTCCAAGTCTCGAAAAAAATTTGTAAGTGAAAAAGTTTTGAAGTTTTTCTAAAAACTACATTTCTCCGTGTTTCAAACGATTTTAATCATTTTGAGCCAATAAAAATTTTTCACTTTTTTTGGTAATTAACTAATTGGTAATTATCCAATTAGCTGATTGTCCGATGTAAAAATTTTTCTTTTAAAAGTTTTACTCCTTGATAAGATAAACATTCTAGGTTAATTTCCAGCCTTCTACGACGTTCACAACTAAAGATATTTGGCAAACCAGAAAGGTGGTACAAAGGTGGTAAAAAGTGGTAAAAAGTGGTG